TAGAGCATTGATTCCCAAAGTGGTCTATATCGACCCCTAGGGGTCTCTGATAACCTGCAAGGGGTCTACGTCAGCGAAAAAAAATTTGCGGGTCCATGAAATGAATATGGGGGTCCACGATAGTGGATCTCAACACATACACTGATAGTACCTATTTACTTACATCATACTATCTTATAATATCAAAACATATACATTATTTATAAAAGTACCTATGAAGTAAAAAATTGATTATATATGTTTATAAAATTGTGTAAGTTGTAGGATGTTGGTATTCGCTTTGTGGTCGCAATACATTTTGAACTTGTAAAAACCTGACAGTCGCAGTCTCAGAGCTTCGCTACCTTGCACTGACTTGTTCAATTCGTCACTCTATAAATACGAATGTGGGACAAATACGTTTATTCGTTTCCTGAATCTTGAAAAGGAAAGTGCTAAGAAAGTATTTTAAAAAATATAAACAGATAGTATATCACACAAATTATAGTCAGTGTTATTTTGTTTGAGAGTGCTGGAGAAAAGTAAGTAAATTATTATTTATTAAATTTTAGTTTTGTACTCGTAGTTAGCAAAGATAGATAAATTACGCCAATCGTGACTTTAGTTATTAATAGTTAAATATTCAATCATGCAAAATTACACGAGTACACCTCAATAGTTTCTTTTTGAAAGTTTTAGCAATCGGTAATATAATTACAATGCAATCTCCGTAATTCGAGCTAATTGTTGCAAGAATTATGGAATGTTTTCGGAAAAATCAAAAAATATTTTTAATATACAGCTGCTGGATTTTCTGTCTTATTTAAATAATTTAATTTTGCCCACAGATGACTGATGCCATGTCCGAATCTAAAAAGAAATGTGGACAATACAGTGTTGATTATTTGAAATTTGGCTTCATTCCATCATTGCCGGACAAACAATCGCCTCTGTGCCTTTTATGCAACAAAGTTTTGGGCAATGACGCTATGAAACCATCTAAACTGCAAGATCATCTGAGAAGATGCCACCCTGATAAAACAGAGAAAGATTTGAAATACTTTCAAACACTCAAAGATAAATTTCAGAAAAGACCTACACTGGACAGAATGTTCGCTTCGACGTCACAAAGAAATGATGATGGTTTGCGGGCGTCTTACAATATCTCGTTACTTATAGCAAAATCTCGAAAACCGCATACTATCGGAGAGAAGTTAATTTTGCCAGCCGTTGAAGAGGTTTTAAAAACTGTTTTACACAAACCTGCATCTGATATCATTAAAAGAATTCCCTTAAGCAACAATACTGTTGAAAGACGTATTGATGAAATGAGTTCTGATATTGAAAGCTTCTTATGTAATTATTTGCAAACGACCCATTTCTCTATATAACTGGACGAGTCAACTTTACCTGATAATGCAGCATTATTATTGGCATATGTTCGTTTTATTATGAATCAAGAAATCTACGAAGAACTGCTCTTCGCAAGAACTTTGATAACCGACACAAAAGGTGAATCAATATTTCATGTTTTGAAGGATTACTTCATTGAAAAAGCAATTCCTTTATAAAATATAATATCAGTAGCTACAGATGGAGCACCTGCCATGGTTGGACGTTGTCGTGGATTTATAAGTTATTTAAAACAAAATGTGTCAAGGGTGTTAGCAATACATTGCGTCATCCATCGGCAACATTTAGTTGCTAAAAATTTTAGTGTTAGATTGCATGAATGACTTCAATTAGTCATTGATGCAGTAAACCGAATCAGAAGCAACGCGTTGAATACGCGGTTATTTGCGCAGTTGTGTGAAGAAAATGGCGAACACTTTCATCAATTACTCCTTTACACTGAAGTACGCTGGCTGTCGAAAGGCTTATGTTTAACAAGATGTTTTGCAATTTTTGAGACTATTTTAGAATTTCTGGATACTAAAGATAAAATTTTAAAAGAAAATTTAATGAAGAGGAACACAGACATCGCCTATTTAACAGATTTGTTTACAAAATTTAATATGGTTAATTTGCAGTTACAAGGCGACAGTTTAAATTTAATTAAAACAAAGTCCATCTTATCAGCATTTCTTGCCAGAATTGAACTAATGAAGCAAAATATTGGACGGGGCGAATTTTCTCAGTTAGCCAATTTGTCACAGACAAGCTGCTAGGAAGACGACGTTTCAACTTACGTTCAACATTTAAATGCCCTCTATTCAGATTTTGAATGTAGGTTTGAGGATATTTTGACTATGGTAATACCATCGTGGATAATTAATCCATATGGTGACATAGAAGAAACGAATGTCATAATACAGGAGGAACTGACTGAACAAGTACAAACGAAGAACTTAAGGTTCAGTTTAAAAACGGATATCAGCAATTCTGGCTGCAAAACAACATACCCGTTACTTATCCCGTATTATGGAATATAGCGAGGAAATTTTTAATTTGCTTTCCATCGTCATACCTAGTGGAAAGGGCTGTTACCAATCTCCTAACGAAAAAAAGAAACAGACTGGACATCATTAGCCGAGGAGATTTAAGATTAACCCTTACAAAATTGAGGCCAAATGTTGATAATGTATTATTAAAGCATCAGGTTCATCCTTCTCACTAAAAATATGGACTTATTGCTTATGTTATTTTATTTATAGTTTATTTTATGTTTATTGGTGTCTGACCAATAAATGTCCGCATTGGGAATAAGTGCCCGCATTGATTTTTTTAAAGAACCCCCCCTTTATAGAAAATATTTTTTTTTAAATTATTCTGAAAATTCAAGGATAGGTACACACCAAAATTCGTTAATTTTTTGCCTATTTTTAGATAACTTAAACGTATAAGAAGCGGAATTTAATCAAACGAACAGTGAAATTATTGTAGAACATACGTTTGTATTATAATTAATAAACAAACTCGCTTATTGTACTATTTTAATTAAATTTTTTTTTTATTATTTTTCACTTTTTTTTATTTTATCCCTCTTATTTTTTTTCAATGCGGGTACTTATTCCCAATGCGGGCACTTATTGGTCAGACACCTGTTTATTTATTGTTACGTATATTTTGCATAACATATACAAAATTTTATTTTGAGTAGTTTTAATTTAAATTCAATTAATAAATGTATAAATTAACATGTGTTTTTAATTTAAGTTTTTAACACTAAACTTCACTACAGTTAGAAATTTACAGGAAATCAATATCAGGTAAGTAGGGGCTGTACCCAACACGGAAATACATGGCAAGGGGTCTACGACACAAAAAAGTTTGGGGAACTCTGGCTTAGAGGATAAAGTAGTCCAACTCCTTATTTTTCTTGTTAGTGGATCGAAAATCTACAGTTCGTTGCATGCAATGTTTTGAAAAACCATGATTCAGAAATCTTGGTTATAGATAGGAAAGAAAAACGCTATCAGCTTTTACAGGGTGGCCAAGTATGCGGGAATCTATCCATCATAGAGGCTCGCGACAAAAAAGTTATTACTGAAACAGACAAGGGAAAAACCTGGAAAATATTATCAAGTTCCTGAAAAAGCCGCTAGGAGGCGTAACTGCAATCTTGAATCTAAAAAAGTGATGCTTCTGTGAATCCCGGTATATTGACCTAACAAGAAAGTACCTGATCTTTGAATTCGAGGATAATCTGAACCTTTTTTGTTCAACAATTTTTGTTGTATCTCTAAAAATAAAGTGGTGGGGTATTCAAAGGTTTTCGTAAAAAAATTAAATGCATTGTTATAATTTTTTTTTATAAAAAAGTAGCTAAAAGCCGCATCTCGATATCTTGTTCTTAATCTAAAATTTAGGCCAAAGCAAATTTTATACGTAAGGCACTTAATTTTTTATTTCTTAAACTAATTTTTCTGAAATTCCTTTTGAATCATCAGAATAAAATCACCCCTTTTTGAAAATATTACTTTTATTATTATTATGTATTTATGCGTGAGAATTACAAAACAGCCACCCTGATTCTTTTTCTCATTCCCATCGTATCAAATAAACGATACTCGTTCCACCCAAAAATACTCACACTGATTAATAATTACACTAATTTTTCTGAAATTCCTTTTGAATCATCAGAATAAAATCACCTCTTTTTGAAAATATTACTTGTATTATTATTATTTATGCGTGAGGATTACAAAACAGCCACCTTGATTCTCTTTCTCATTCCCATCATATCAAATAAACGATACTCGTTCCACCCAAAAATACTCGCACTGATTAATAGACAGCGAAAGCATGGAATGAACCTTTGGTGAATCACTTTCCAATATCTGAGAAACAACATACAACTTTAGAGAAACATAAAGAGAAATATAGAGCTGATGTACACGTTATGCGTGAATCATGATCAATTTTTCACACATACACACGCGCGACTATAGATCGTTGGGTGATTACTGTTTTCGAACGATGCGAATCATTTATTGACAGCCGCGATTTACAGACAGGCTGTAATGTATTTTTAAATAAACGCAATATATGCTTAAAATAATAAACAGGACATTTTTAGAAAGTGAAGCGGTATCCGAAGGTCAAATACGCATAGAGGTTGATAGCGGTGAACAAACTGATGATTGACTGCACATTGCTGCATGTCAAGCTGTCAATATTTTGTTTTATGTCACTCATGTGCATCATTTTTAGCTAAGACATAACATACGAGGGTGGTCCCAGAAGTACCCGGCCTTACCTAGAGATGGCGATAGTTGTTTGAAAAATATCATTGTACAACATAATTTTTAATTACAAAGAGTTAATATTACAGTAGTAGATGGTCGAACAATCAATCATAATCGATTAAAATTATAATCAAAAGTTATTAACAGAATTCAGACTAAAAAGCGTAGAGAGCTTGATATATTAAATGTTACAATCACTAAATTGGCAACTATCTATGAGATAATAATAAAATGTAGTAAAATGCACTCCACGCATTTAACTCTGCATTGAATTATTTTTTAGTTTTTTAAACCTTTATTATGAATAAATACTTACGAACGTCTTTGTTGCAGGCGTTTTAATATACGAGATGCTGGCAGGCTACCCTCCGTTTTATGACGACAATCCGTTCGGGATCTACGAGAAGATACTCAGCGGGAAAATCGAGTGGCCCAAGCATCTTGACCCCATTGCCAAGGATCTTATCAAGAAACTTCTGGTGCACGATAGAACGAAAAGACTGGGAAATATGAAGGTGAGGCAACTTTTCAAATCTGCAGCCGCTACTCCACCGAATTGGCCTTGCGTAGATCTTATAATTCATAATTACTATTTATATTGAATTATATACCGGGTGGTTCTCCAAGTTGGCTCACCTCTATGAGTTATTGAAGGTAGAAGAACGAAATTTGGGGGTTGCTTATTATAGATGAATTTTTTGACATATTCACTTACCTTGACGTGCTTCCAGTTTGATCGGAAACTTTCGATTTTGAAATGGGACACCCTATATATTTTTACTTATTTCGGTCGGGAATGACTTTCTGGACAACGCCTCACACACACAATATTTGACAAATAAAGTCATTTTTATTTAAATTTTTATTTTTCGATCTAGAATGCCGTGGATCCTGTAAGTCGCTTCATTTTTACTATTTTTAAACCTTAGAGTCGTTTTAAAGATTTTCGAAAAATTACAAACTCTAACATTTTCAGCTAACTTAATTTTTTCAAATAGATATGGGGTGGTTCGTCTGGTTTTTTTAAGAGGCCATTTTCTTAATTTTCTTAAGAATCATTTGACACTACACTCTCTCAATAATTGTAAGAAACAATCATACCTTACAACAAATAATATATAATACGTATCTGCAGTCCTAATAGTATAGTTATTCGTAACAAACAATTGAAGGTGTTGCTTTCGAAATACAAAATGTGCAACGAACCAGAAGAAAATGCGAATAACTTTGTCACTGAAGAAAAAGAAATAGACGTATTGACCTATGTTGGTTTAAACTATACAAATCAATTAAATGCATATCCTATCATAATTATAACAAAAAATAAAATTCAAAAATGTGTTATTAAGGCTCTGTGTTCAAAATGTCCTCCTCCGTGATCACGGCAAAGTTCAACTCTATCAATTCTTGCTTGCACCACATTGATTAACTGTTCCGCAGTGACGTTCAGGATTGCCGCTCCAGTTCTTTGCGAGTAGCTGACGTAGTTAGCCACTTTGGAGAATCACTCCGCGACAATGGGGTTTTCCTTTTCAGACACAACCACGCTTGATATTACAAAGCTTATGTGTGGTGAAACGTGAGCGAACAAGTAAAAAAGTAAATGAAAAAGTACTCACTGTTCAGTTGAATTGAAATTCCAAGAGTACGGCTCTGTCATAAAATCAGTATTTACATCGTAGTCGTACGTCGTATAACTGTACGCTGGCGCTGGTGCTGTGGACGTGATCGAGGGACAGGACAGGACCGGCTTCGGTTTGGTACAGATTTGATTGAGTTTGCGGAGGCCAATATTTCGGTTCTCTTAAGACATTGATGTTTATGCTACTAAGAAAATCCGCTTATTTTCTAAAGTTCTACACGCCATGTAAAGGAAAACCCCAACTTTGCGGACAATCTGTATATGTATATTATTGGGGTACCTTGTGTGTACTTACCCTAACTATACTTATGGTCATATACGTATATGAATGTATGATTCAAAAAATCTCGTATTGTTTGCAGAGCGGTGCTGATGATATAAAGAGGCATCGATGGTTTAAAGGCATAGACTGGCATGACGTTATCACCAGAAAACTCAATGTAAGTATACAGGTTGTTTGAATATATCGTGCACAGCGACCGTAACGTGACATAGATGCTCAAAGGGCAAACATTAGAACAGAGGCAAGGGTAACCTAATAATCTTACAGCTTAGGACCCAACAATCCGGTACATAGTATACTGAAAACTGAACGAATGAGTTCGGTTAGCACAAGCTTTTTTGACAGTACCAACATACTAAAATTGCAAGCAATGCGTAACTAGCAACCATTGACTAACGAACTCGTTCAGAAATACCGGTAACATTTGTCTTGAGCTACATCACTGTTGGCTTTTACTAAAAAAGTAATGATCTTGTATCTTTGAAGTCGATTTTTAGGTAACTAGCGTATACGGAAAAGAATTGAGGTGGAGACAGATTACCTACAAAAGGGCCTGATACCTTCAGTCTGAATTCAATTCATAATACTAATCTTGTTCAGGGCCTGATTGAAAACTACATTAGCAACATCAAGTCCTTTTGTAGCAATCTGGCTGAGCCCCCTCAATTATTTTTTCTTGTGTTTGTTATGATAGCTTCATAAATATTATTCAATTCTTAGCAGCACCTTCCACAAACTGATTATTCTATCATCTTTATTTTTCCAGCCTCCCATAGTCCCTAAAGTTGAGTACGATGGTGACACCAGCAACTTTGATGACTACCCAGAAAATGACTGGAAATCAGCGAGAACGCTAGAGGAGTCAGAACTGAAACTTTTTGAAGACTTTTGAAGCCATTATATGCATAGCAAATGCCTCTGCATATCTTACGGAAGCTTTTAACAGCTGTCACAAGCCATTGACTTCTATGTGAAACGTTTTCCTTTCAGATCAGTAGTTGCATCGTAGCCGTATTGTATTGAATTGCCCATATCGTGAAATTGAAATTTACGATATCGTTAAATCATCAGTTTAACGATTTGGCCTTCAACGATTGACCAGATCGTAAAATCGCCAACGTTCATTAACGCTTGACCATATCGTAAGATCGCCAACGTTTAACGTTTTCGTCGTCCACGATTGGCCACATCGTAAAATCGTTATCGTTTAACGATTTGGTCAACCACGATTGACCATATCGTAAAATCACCAACGTTCAACGTTCTCGTCATCCACGATTGACCATATCGTAAGATCGTCAACGCTTAATGTTTTGGTTATTAAAGCTTGACCATATCGTAACGTCTACTGCATTTAACGTTTTCGTCATCCACGATTTGGCCACATCGAAAGATCGTCCACGTTTAACGATTTAGTCAGCCACGATGGACCATATCGTAAAATCGACAACGTTTAACGTTCTCGTCATCCACGATTGACCATATCGTAAGATCGTCAACGCTTAACGATTTAGTCAGCCACGATTGACCAGATCGTAAAATCGTCAACGTTCATTAACGCTTGACCATATCATAAGATCGCCAACGTTTAACGTTTTCGTCATCCACGATTGGCCACATCGTAAAATCGTCATCGTTTAATGTTTTGGTTATTAATGCTTGACCATATCGTAAGGTCTACTACGTTTAACGTTTTCGTCATCCACGATTGGCCACGTCGTAAGATCGTCAACGCTTAACGATTTAGTCAGCCACCATGGACCATATCGTAAAATCGACAACGTTTAACGTTCTCGTCATCCACGATTGACCATATCATAAGATCGTCAACGTTTAACGATTTAGTCAGCCACGATGGACCATATCGTAAAATCGACAAGGTTTAACGTTCTCGTCATCCACGATTAACCATATCATAAGATCGTTAACGCTTAACGTTTTGGTTATTGACTCTTGGTCATATCGTAAGATCGTCAACGTTTAACGATTTCGGAACCACGATTGACCATTTGGTGAAATCGTAAAAGTTTAACGATTTGGCCATATGCGATTGACCATATTGTAAAATCGCCAACGTTTAACGTGTTCGTCATCCACGACTGATCATATCATAAGATCGGCAACCTTTGACGATTTGGTCATCCACGATTGACTATATCGTAAGATCGACAACCTTCAACGATTTGGTCATTCACGATTGACCATATCGTAAGATCGTCAACGCTTAACGATTTAGTCAGCCACGATGGACCATATCGTAAAATCGACAACGTTCAACGTTCTCGTCATCCACGATTGACCATATCGTAAGATCGTCAACGCTTAACGTTTCGGTTATTAATTCTTGGTCATATCGTAAGATCGTCAACATTTAACGATTTCGGATCCACGATTGACCATTTGGCTAAATCGCAAAAGTTTAACGATTTGGCCATCGACGATTGACCATATTGTAAAATCGCCAACGTTTAACGTGTTCGTCATCCACGACTGACCATATCATAAGATCGGCAACCTTTGACGATTTGCTCATCCACCATTGACTATATCGTAAGATCGGCAACCTTTAACGATTTGGTCATCCACGATGGACCATATCGTAAAATCGACAACGTTCAACGTTCTCGTCATCCACGATTGACCATATCGTAAGATCGTCAACGCTTAACGTTTTGGTTATTAACTCTTGGTCATATCGTAAGATCGTCAACGTTTAACGATTTCGGATCCACGATTGACCATTTGGTGAAATCGTAAAAGTTTAACGATTTGGCCATCGACGATTGACCATATTGTAAAATCGCCAACGTTTAACGTGTTCGTCATCCACGACTGACCATATCATAAGATCGGCAACCTTTGACGATTTGGTCATCCACGATTGACTATATCGTAAGATCGGCAACCTTTAAAGATTTGGTCATTCACGATTGACCATATCGTAAGATCGTCAACGCTTAGCGGTTTGGTCATCCACGTTTGACCACAACGTAAAATCGTCAACGTTTAACGTTTTCATCATCCATATCCATATCGTAGAATATGGTGTCCAAAAGAACAAACTAATCAGCATAGTACTCAAGTATTTTTTTGTAGTTATGCTCGATGATTTCATGAAATGGTCGATTAAATTTGACCATATCGTGACATCGTCGGCTTAACGATTTGGTCATTCACGATTCACCATATCGTAAGATCGTCAACGCTTAACGATTTGGTCATTCACGGTTGACCACATCGTAAAATCGTCAACATTTAACGATTTGGTGATTCACGGTTGACCATACCGTAAAATCGGCAACGTCTAATGATTTGGTCATCAACGATTAACCACATCGTAAAATATGGTGTGCATAAGACCAAAAAATCGGCATAGTACCAAGTACATTCTTTGTCGTAAAGTATTTTAGTCTTACTATCTTCCTCATTTAGTAACAAATTAATAGGATTTTCACTTGGAGAAACAACTTTGTTATTAGCGGCCGCCGTGCAATTAAAGCACTACAAGTGACTCTATCGGTGATTAATGTAATTATTTTACGATTTGATCAAATAAGTTTGACCATATCATGAAGTAGCCGGGCGCTTAGATGATCATATCTATAAGCGATTTGTTGTCATTGATCTGATCAACGCACATAACGATCTAGCCGATGGACGATAATACGTTTCATGAAATGCGACCATATCATCGAATCGCCCATTATTTCATGAAATGGGCAATTTTACGATATGACCACCTATATGTAAATCAATCTGTGTATCCTGTTTAATTCGGTTCTACTTAAAACTGTAAACTCCAAGCACTAATTCTTTGTCTGTGTTATCACCCCTCAAGTGGAAAAAGTGAAGGTTCATTCAGAGAGGAAAGCATTAATGTGATTTGTACTTAGAAATAGATTTTTGTATAGTATGTTTAGTAGATTATTGTTATCACTAGGTATTTATAGCTTATTGATATTTACACACAAAATTATTCATCATTACAAGGTGCTGTAAAGCAAATCTTACATGCCTACGCATGTCTCATAACAATGAAAATATTCTCCAGTGAAGTGTACTCACATTCATTATTTTATTTTTTATTTATAAAAGCTATATTAAATATATTATGTTTTTTTTTGTACTATATTTCGTTTTCTAAGATCACGAATGTCTTTTTGTAGATTCAAGATGTGTTTGTTAGTAATAAATTTTATCTGTTACTTGCTTTATTTTATTTCTGGTGCATTTTCGAAAGTAGTCAGCGTATATTTTCCACGCAAGGCAACCAAAACAAGTGGTATGACGACTTTACTATAAATAACACTTCTGATCAAAAAAAATGAAAACGTCTATTACAGAAAAAATATGTTTTCAAATAACTGTCAATTGTTTTTGCTACTCAGGCAAGAATATCAAATTAATACGAAGAGAAAATTTAACAATACCAAGACTACTGAAAAAAAGTTAAGAAAATGTTTTTGATAAGAGTCATGCTTTTACGCGCTTTCGTCAGAATTTTGTCACTGTGAAGTGCATTGTTTCGCGAAAAGTGGGTATTATGCTTTTTAGTAATTTAGGTGGCATTCTGCTTAATCAAACATTGATTTTGAATTACGCTGATTCCAAGTTTTTCCATAAATTTGTTCGTAAAGCCTCAAATCACAGGAAAATCAATTCAGTAAACCAACATTATTTTTATAACGTGTACGTGATCTTTCAATATAAAATACCTTGGATTATTCCTGGATCCACACTTGCGTTGGTATGTTCATATTTCATATATTTAAAAAAAAGTTAGATATGTCTCGTATAAAACTAAATATACTAAGTGACATATAAATCCGAACACCCAGTTCAAATGGTTTTATTTTAATAAAAGTTGGTGAATGTATTTATCTTACTGTAAATAACAAGTGAAAAAATTTTCAGCCTTATCAGTTGGACATTCCATTCCGGTTTTTATACTGCTTTTTTTTAATTCACTAACGCTCTAAAAATGCATATTATTTCAGCCGCAGTAAAGAATCAACGTTGGCGGATTTTGGTTCTTGACATCCTTTACGATCGGTTACGATGCCTAGAGTACGGAGACCTGTGCGATTTCGTCAACTTAGTGAGTTTGATAGGGGCCGTATAGTGGGACTTCGGGAAGCTGGACTTTCTTTTCGGGCAATTGCACTTAGAGTGCAAAGAAGTGTAGACACTGTGGTTAGGTCTTGTCAAGCATGACTTCGAGAAGGCCGTACGCAAAGAGTAAGGGGCACTGGACGCCGCCGTAGAACAACAGACCGTGAAGATCGCCGCCTTAGATTATTGGCCTTAAGGGACCGTTTCTCCACTACCAGGTTCATTGCAAATGAATGGTTTGCAGAACACGGAAGACCTATTGGCATGCTTAAGTGTTTACCGACGAATGAGAAGTTTTGGCTTGTTTTCATACCGGCCACACTGGGTCCTCCCTTTAACTCGAGAACACCGATGTAATCGCCTTGAGTGGTGCAGACAACGGTCACTCTGGGATCAGAAATGGAACAGTATTGTCTTTAGTGACGAGTCTCGATTTTGTTTAGGCATGCACGATGGTCGTGCCAGGGTTAGAAGGCGACGTGGTGAAAGGAGGAATCCACAGTTTTTTGTTGAAAGACATGTTCATCACACTGTTGGAGTTATGGTTTGGGGTGCTATAGCTTATAGTTTCAGATCACCTTTAATCTTCATCAGAGGTAACATGAACGCCCAGCGTTATATCCACGAAGTTCTAGAACCCCATCTTTTACCCTATCTTGACACCCTGGCAGATCCAACTTTCCAACAAGATAATGCCCGACCACATGTTGCAAGAGTCACAATAGACTTCTTTCAACATAATGATGTCACATTGTTACCATGGCCACCAAGATCTCCCGACTTATCCCCAATTGAGCACGTGTGGGATATGATGGGTAGGAGATTCCTCAATTTGCAACGTCCTCCTCAGACTCTAGAAGCACTTCGAGAGGAGTTGGTGGTTGCCTGGAATGAGATACCACACATTATTAAAGGTCAAAGGGCTTTAAAGCAGTGCAATCATTTTGAAATTTTTATCATTTACTTATTATGCTTCATTAAGTACTTATACAAAATTTTATTAAAATAAAACCATTTAAACTGGGTGTTCGGATTTATATGTCACTTAGTATATTTATAATTTCGATATTTTTCAAGAAATGATTTTAAAAACATGGTTAGCAAACCAATTGTATCGAACTGATATTTTATACAGATATGCCTGTATATGACTCAAAACTACTTTATCTCTTACATGCTACAACTAGGGTGACCATAATTTTTAAACCAAAAAAAGTACACTTTTAAGGAAAATTGCCACTGATACTTAGAGCAATTTTTTGTCTGAATCTAATACATTTTTAATCAAACAAAACAAAGTTATTTATATTTTATTATAATACAGATGCAGCAGCAAAATATCAAAAGATTTTTAAAAAAATATGTACGTAAATATTCAAAAGTTAATTTTCCTTTTCAGGCGGCACAGTGGATTGAAATCCAAATACGCAATACATTAAAAACACAAAAACAGTTATAATTATTTCTTCAAGCAAAAAGTACTACATACTTCTTTTCATTAAAAAAAAGTTAATTTAGTTGTACTTGATAAACTTTTAGAGGACAGTAGTGCAGAGTTGGAAAAGAAAGTACTGTTCTACAAAAAAAAAGTGCATATAGTCACACTAGCTATAAGCAACTATCACAAATTTATTAATATACACCGAAAAATTAAACACAATCATCACACAAGACTTAAACTAAGAGGAGCAGATACCAAATAAATCTATAACACAACGATAATACCTTTATTTATCTTTAAAGGATATGGTATCGACCTACGAGCCCCTTCCCACTTCAGTTGGCCCACTTCAAGATTTGTTCCAAAATATCCCTTTATAAACTAAACATGACGAAACAATTTACTTCTAAAACAATTTATTTTCTCAAAAACATTTTACAGTATATTCAGATAAGAGATAGGCCGGACATAAACAAGACCACGTGATCATCGAACGCTGTAACATCCGGCAGGGACGTATTAAGAGTCACGCAGTACATATTTTAGATAGTAGATGCTGCTTTGCGTAACTTTGTAGTAAATTAGCACAATTCAATGTGTATACGATTGGTGATGGATATAGGATCATGTGGGGGTGGGGTAAGAAATATATAATGATGTAAATATAGATAAGGGTTTCAAAATTTTCGCTTCGATTTACAGCTTCGGATGCCGCCTGATGTTTGGTGAAATACAGTCGAATATAATCTCAAAATGGCGTTTAAATTAGCCTAAATTAAAAATAATCGTATATCTCTTAAAATTGCTTTTAGAATATTGATTAGTATATTTTTTGATTTCTAGGTAAATATGTAACCAAATTAAAACGTTCAAAACGTAAAAAAATGTGCATGGTTGAACATTGTCAGAAAGTAGATTCTTGAATAGGTTTTGCCAAAATGGGTTCAAAAATGTCAATAATTAATTAAAAAATACAGTAGCTTTATAATTACTTATAACTTACCGAATTTGATGAACGACATCTTTTATTGGAAAGATGAGCTTGATGAGCTTTCATCATCGCTACTGCCTGAAGCACCAACGTCAATAATGAATGGCTCGACTTGTTCCTCTAAAATATTGTCCAGTTCCCACATTCTCTTTTCAACTTTGTCTTTCACGTGCTTAATACAGTTTTCCCATCTTTGCGCTGTTATTAATACTAGTGCTTCTTTGAAAAGTCCTTTGAGGTCACAAAATTTAAAAGTTGTATTGTGCTTAGCTATATAATTTTTAACCTCTGCCCATATGAGCTCAATGGGATTGAGCTCGCAATGGTATGGAGGTAAACGGAGCACAGTTTTATTTTGACTTGCTGCCATTTCGTCAATGGCGTATTTTTGATATTCCACCTTGTGATCCTTGACAATTCTTAATAATTGTACTTTCAGCATTGCTTCTTCAAAGTTGATATTTTTCGAGCGGAGCCAATTTTGAACAGGTCCCAACAACTTTCCTTGAAGCCGTTGTTGGGACCTTCTCCATTCTTCGAGAATGATAAGGCGCATTATCCAACACAATTAGTGCGTTTTCCTCTAAGTTCGGTAAAATTTTTGAAACCACTGTTCAAACGATTCGCCATTCATTTCCTCGTGGTAATCTCCAGTTTTCTTAGACTCAAAGCACCACAGACCGTCAACAACAAATCCATCCTCACTGCCAATATGGCAGATAATGAGCCTTTTCCCTTTACCTGGAAATCGAAGTACTAACTGGTGTAGATTTATTTCAATAAGCGAACCTTTTTCAAATGTTTTCATCACATTCAGCGAAAAAATATTGAGACATGAGTATCAGATTGCTATAATTGGGATTATTTAGTCATATTGAAAGAAAGAATATTGAACGTCGTATGATTACTCAGCGCTTCACAATTTAATTTAAAGTTATAAACTTTTAAAAAATGAATGATCAGGAACCTGAAATACGCGCAAATATTAATATTAACAAATTATAACTTTATAAAGCTTAAAGTATGAATTAAAATGATTAGAAATATTAGGAACGGTACACAATATAAAACTTAGTAACTTTTTTTAAGTTTATAATATTCGACATATTTTAAGATTATAAAAAAAAACATCCGCGCATTTTATCGAAAGTTATAAAAGTTTTGTTACTTGTAATATGTTTTATCTGCCCCCTGGAATTAATATTTAGAACCTTGTTCCCAAGGTTTGAAAAACATCCGATTGTTGTCTATTACTCGTATTTACCTGCTGGATTTTTTAATCCGGTGGACAGTCCATCTAGAAAGGCCCTCCTGGATGAAGTTACAGAATCATCAACCCATACTTTACTTGTAGTGTGTCCTGCGTTTACCCACGTTTCATCAAGGTAATAAATCTTCCTGTTTTGATTTCTATATTTCCCAATTTTTGTTAAATAATCCCTCCTCCATAGCACAATTTCTTCTCTATCCAGTAGTAAACTATTACGACCCCGTTTTTTTCCATTTGAAATTTAAATGCTTCAGTAATGCATGGAAAGTTGATCGTTTGGAATTTGGCAACGTTGTATCTCCATTTACCTCCTGCAGTACTTTATCTATAGTTGGTATTTCATTCCTAAAGAAGAATTCATGCACTTTCCTCCTAATCGCATGCTTATCAGCTTCATCCAATGATTTAACAATACTTTTGCCATGTTAACTGGTCATTGGCTCAGAAAAGGTGTGATTTTTTTTGTATTGTCTTAACACATTAAACACTGATGCGCGACACACCCCAACTTTGTGAGAAACCTTCACAATAATTTCTTTGATGGTTGATGCCTCGTTCTCCTCTCGCTCGATCTTATATATATTCAAAATGACCTCTTTCATTTCTGCACTCAGGTGTCTTTTTTTAGAGCGTTTCCTAGGTGGACTACAGGAGTTTACAACTTCATCGGCAGTATCTGTACTACTGGGCATTTTACGTAAGCAGTTGATAACAATAACAATCAATAACAAGGTATAACAATAACAACGACAAACTCAACAACTTAATAAGATAACAAACGAAAACGTCCAAAGAAATATCAAATTGCAATGATGCACACGACATACGTCTGAACCTGAATGTGACTCTGCCTTGATACGACTGCTCTGCCGCTCGGCATAGGCATTTAATTGCGAATTGACCAATGAGGGCTCCTGTTTTACGTCGAGACGGCGGCGTTAGCGTGAAAATCACCCGAACCTTTTGTTTACATCCGGTCTATCTCTTATCTGAATATACTGTAGATACACTCTAGACGTAAAAAATACATATTTGAAATCACTTAGACCTCTAACTAATAGAAAATCTGGACAAATAAACAATGTGCGAATAAATGCGCGAAGTTAACAAAGCAAAAATTGAAAGATTACTATTGGGTAACATCACCTTTATTTTTTATTACGGCTGAAATTCTGTGGGCATTACCAATAACCGAATTTTCTCACTAATAACCTTTCCTCTACTCATTTTGAAAACCTTAACTACTCAAAACTATTTTAAACGTATTCTGACAGCTGTGATTAATAAAAACAATTGTCATGGCTTTTATTTTTCACAGCCACCTATGCGTTATAGACTTATTTTGCATTGAAATGAAAATAGGTTGATATGCTGTAATTGCAACGTGCGTTATTTTTATGCTGCAAATTTGATTAGGGAGTGATAAAGTTGGTGTTTTCTACTATATATTATCAAAATATTCATTGTTAATATTTTAAACCTATAACACGTATATTCGTCATATACAGGGTACACCCCTATTTATGACTCGCCTGGTATACTTTGTGAAAACCGCTTGGACGCGTAAAATAGCTTCACAACGATTGAAGATAGGTATAAACTTTATTATACACAAGTTACCAAAAACTTCATGAAAAATCTAAAAATGGTGTTTACATTCTGGATCACCCTGTATTGTACGGCTATACACGAAACATCCTCCTAGAAATCAAAATTGACCTGTCCGAACATCTTTCCTAAAATACACCAGGAGAGCCACATATAGTGACCTTTAGCGTTTGGTTTGAAACACCTCGTAAATCATATCGATCCTGCTATTATCGATGCTTAAAGCGTGCAGTAGATCCAAACAAAACGTGTCGTTATCTCACCATCGCCATCATCATAAAATTCAAAGTTTGCGCACCTTATCTAAAAGAGTACATCGAGGAGATAAGATTGTAGCTTACGTTTATTCGATCAAATCAAACAACGCATAAATTAACTAGGGCTGAGGTGCAACCATGTGAATTATGCACAGTTTAAGACGTTCTTGTAGCCTAGAAAGTCTCCAAACATTAGGTAACGATGAAACCGACGTCGCCGGTGTTTCCAACAGGACCAGATGGATAAACGATGGCTCTGAGAATGGGTAAGTTCAATCACTTATCTTCTTGGGTGACAGGTAAAAATAATTTTCGACAAGGTTGAATACTCCCACTTCAACATTTAGAGCGTATGTCAGTATGAGAATGATTGAAAGGTTCGCAAGATTTCACGATCCGTTTTTGTTGCAAAGTGGATTATAAGATTAGCGTACACTGAGAAAACAGTTCTCCATTTCCCGTAATGAATGTTTAACTTATTCTAATCGGTTTAATTCATCTGAATTTTCTGGAACCACTTTATTATACTGTAGCATTTTTCTGGGTTCTTTTGGTGTGGATTAAACCACTGGATTCCACGAAAAGAAATGCGTTAATTTATTTAACTTGATAGAACATTTATATGCACCACTATTTATGTCCGACTAATTCTTACGTCGCCATTGACTGCACTATACCCCACTCCGCTCCGCACTGGTGTAATCTGTACTCTGCTTCCATCTCCCGGCCGTCGAGTTATATACAGGGTGACTTGTAATGTCACGCATTCCTGTTAAGGGGTGATAGATTAGGTCAAAAGCAACCGATTTTGTCCTATCATGTGTTATCCAAAAGTTAACCATTTTTGAGTTACTTGAATTTCAAGTTTTTTATTTTTTATTCCGATTTGAGACGGTTAAAATTGAAATACAAAAGAACTGCATTCTTGATTTTGGGTTTTTTTTATCGTCGCATAGCAGACATTCCAATAGTTCATAATAAGTAATAAAATGTTGAAAAGCTACAAACGTTTTAAAATTACGCTTTTCTGTAAAAAATCTCCGAGTAATGAAATGTGCAAATCATGTAAATAATATCTCTAGCTAATAAGCTTTCATTTGAGGTATAAAAGTTACAACTAACTCAAGTACAAAGACATAAAATTGCCACCACTACTACTACTACTACTCTCTTTACGCTGCTATATTAACGCGTCTAATCGACAGAACATACAAAAAAAACAGGCATATTCGACTCGTTCATATGAGGTCCCAACTGTAACTTAGCTGTCAAGATTTCGTTAAAGTATACTATGTCGTTCAAAAGTAACTTAAGAAATACCAATTTCCAGTAGAATCTTTTAGGAGCCTGTACTGTAGTTCGGGTAGCCCCGTAGGGCATTTGTTTTATTTGGACTTGTGGCATTATTTTTTTTTGTATTCTATACTACACTTCTCCACTATTTTACTGATATCTTCAAATGAAAAACATTCTAACATCCCTACCGTTAGTAACAACCAGGAAAATTACAAATTTTTTGTCGAAAATTCAAAACTAATATCAAATGTCAAACAAGAATCCTGGGAACAATTATACTCTATAAATAATATAGACAAAGCAACGGGACTGTTCATAGAGAAAATAAAAAAACTAATAGATATTAGTACCAATAAAGTAATAATTAGTCACAAAGAGAAAAGCAGAAATGCCTGGATTACCAAAGGATTAATAACATCGGCAATAGAAAATGAAAGAATATATAATGTAATGAAACTAACGCCAACTACAGAGAATACCGACTGCTACAACCAATATAAAAATAAATTTATAGAGCTTGTAAGGCAAACCAAACGAAAACATTACCTAAATAAATTGAATAATAACTTAAATGATCCTAAGCGCCTTTGGACAACTATTGATGAGATTACTGGGAAACCAAAAGTTAAAGAGTGTGTCACTGAGTTAAATACAACATCGGGAACAGTATTAAAAAATACTCAACAGATATGCGATGAATTTGTACAATTCTTTACTGACATAGGCGAAAATTTAGCAAGTAATATACAAGCAAATGTACAAAATACTCAGCCTCCAAAAAGAACTTTGAACTCATTTATTTTGGATAAAGTCGAGCAATGTGAAGTATACACTACTGTTATGTCCTTAAAAAATCGGAAAAGTCCTGGGTTCGATGGTATTAAAAGCGAGCATTTGAAAATTATAGCCGAGGACATAACAGAACCACTCACTTACCTAATCAACAAATGCTTTGAATCTGGCATATATCCTTCAATTTTAAAAAAAGGTAATATAATACCGATACATAAATCAGGAACAAAAACAGATGTTAACAACTCTAGACCAATATCAACAATATCCAGTGTAGCAAAGGTTTTTGAAAAAGTTTTATCTACTAGAATGATTCGATACCTCACAAAATTCAAAATTTTAAGTGAAAATCAATATGGATTTACAGAAGGGAAGGCTACATCGGACGCAATAACTAAAATTGTAAATCAAATACATCAAAATATTGATAACAGAATCCCTTCAATCTGCATTTTTGTTGATTTAAAGAAAGCTTTCGACACAGTTAATCACAAATTATTATTAGAAGCATTGGAGAGAATTGGTTTCAGAGGAAACGCGTACTCACTGATCGAAAGTTATTTGTCAAATCGCCCACAATCTGTGCAGATATCAGGATCATTTAGTAAAGAAATGTATATTAAGTGTGGTGTCCCACAAGGAACTGTCCGCTGTTATTCAATATATATTTAAATGATATTTTCCAAATTAATTGTGTTGGCAAAATAACTAGTTTTGCAGATGATACTGCAATATTATATGAAGGCACTGACTGGTCTGATCTGAAAAATGTAATTGAAAATAATTTTATCAAAATTATTCGGTGGTTTAGCAGTAGAAAATTAAGCATTAACTACTCTAAAACACATTTTTTACCATTTGGATCTTATGCTAGACATCTGCCAAATTACACAAATTTCTCCTTCAATATTAATGATCAAAAAATGCAAATTAATAGAGTGCCCAACATAAAATACCTTGGAGTGGTCTTGGATCCTCACTTACGATGGGACATCCATGTCAATTATATTTTAAAGAAAGTTAGATTTGTATCCTACAAAATTAAATACCTTGGGAATATATTGACAGAAAAATATCTTCGAACATTATACCATGCACTGATTGAGCCTCATCTCACATATGGTATATTAGCATGGGGAGCTGCATGTTCCTCACATATCTATAATTTAGATGTTTTTCAAAAAAGTATTCTAAAAATGATATTTAAAAAACCGAAACTTTATCCCACTGAAAAATTATACGCAGATGTTCAAATGTATGATATAAGACAGCTTTATTTCTTACACAGTATCACTCACTACCATAAATTTGTAAACACCGACCAAAAAATTAAACATAATCATTATACCAGGTACAAAATTCGTGGCACAGTAGTTCCTCAACCGCATAAATCTATAATGCAGCGATCGTATCTCTATTTAGCGCCTAAATTTTATGAAATTATACCTAAAGAATTAAAAGATTTACGTTTCGGAAATTGTTTCAAAAGAAATTTAAAAAAGTGGCTACATTCTATATCTAGGACTGAAATTCATAAACTCATAAATACGAACATGAACTAAATACATAATCTTCTGTAGCTAATTTTTGTCCTTTTTGTCATTTGCATTCTACAGTTTCAACTTAAATTTATTGGTCCATGTACAGGCGATGCCTTCTATTGGGCCTGTTTTGATTTTATATTTATTTACTCATATTTTTTGTTATCTTTGTACATTGAGTGAATAAATATTATTATTATTATTATACTGATATTCGACATCCATTCTAGGATATTCTGAATATCCTGTTACAAATACACTCAATTAGAGGTCATCATTCTAGCGTCTATCAAGAAATATTTATTATCTTATCATCCTAATCATTTTGCTCATCTACAGCGTCTTCCATACCTCACATTACTTGAAAGCAAATTCCGATCTTCACTCCGAATAATATTTTCAGTAAATTTTAGTTAATCCACAAATGTATACCTAACGCGGTCATCATTTCGAGATTTGTTCATAAAGCTTCTATCAAAATCTACGAAAAAATACGTACAAGGCGCCGCTGCACAAGTGTGTCCGCAGAATCGGTCAAAGTTCAAAAGTTTTCAGGTAAACAAACTAATTAATAAAATTCTGCTCCATCAGATTATAACAATATCGATTCGTTCATATCTAGGTTAAGCAATAATTTCTAGAAATGCATGTGTGTAGAAAGCATCATATTAGCACATAATGTTTCTGTGAAGCTTAAATAAGGTCTAACATTTTGTTTTTTCTGTGTATCGAGGCAGCCTGGAAAAAAATACTTCTTAGCCCTAAACATGTAGCCTAGTTTCTTCTACCGCTATTGACGAGAGGAATATTAATTTTAATAGGAATATTAATGTTTAGCAACTTTTATACTAGATGCATTAATACATGCAAAAAGTACATCGAATTTGAGTTGAATTTAAAAAACTGACAAAGAGCTCATTCCGCTATCTCAAATACTGTAACTATACTAAGTGTCATATAAACCCGAACACTCAGTTTAAATGGTTTTATTTTAATAAAATTTTGTATAAGTACTTAATGAAGCATAATAAGTAAATGATAAAAATTTCAAAATGATTGCACTGCTTTAAAGCCCTTTGACCTTTAATAATGTGTGGATGCACCCTGATGTGCTACGCATTCTCCAACGCGCCTAGGCATGCTTCTGATCAGGTGGTCAATGTCCTCCTGTAGTATCTCATTCCAGGCAACCACCAACTCCTCTCGAAGTGCTTCTAGAGTCTGAGGAAGACGTTGCAAATTGAGCAATCTCCTACCCATCATATCCCACACGTGCTCAATTGGGGATAAGTCGGGAGATCTTGGTGGCCATGGTAACAATGTGACATCATTATGTTGAAAGAAGTCTATTGTGACTCTTGCAACATGTGGTCGGGCATTATCTTGTTGGAAAGTTGGATCTGCCAGGGTGTCAAGATAGGGTAAAAGATGGGGTTCTAGAGATTCGTGGATATAACGCTGCGCGTTCATGTTACCTCTGATGAAGATTAAAGGTGACCTGGAACCATAAGCTATAGCACCCCAAACCATAACTCCAACAGTGTGATGAACATGTCTTTCAACAAAAAACTGTGGATTCCTCCTTTCACCACGACGCCTTCTAACCCTGGCACTACCATCGTGCATGCCTAAACAACATCGAGACTCGTCACTAAAGACAATACTGTTCCATACCTGATCCCAGAGCGACCGTTGTCTGCACCACTCAAGGCGATTACGTCGGTGTTCTCGAGTTAAAGGGAGGACCCAGTGTGGCCGGTATGAAAACAAGCCAAAACTTCTCATTCGTCGGTAAACACTTCGCATGCCAATAGGTCTTCCGTGTTCTGCAAACCATTCATTTGCAATGGACCTGGTAGTGGAGAAACGGTCCCTTAAGGCCAATAATCTTAGGCGGCGATCTTCACGGTCTGTTGTTCTACGGCGGCGTCCAGTGCCCCTTGCTCTTTGCGTACGGCCTTCTCGAAGCCATTCCTGACAACACCTAACCACAGTGTCTACACTTCTTTGCACTCTAACTGCAATTGCCCGAAAAGAAAGTCCAGCTTCCCGAAGCCCCACTATACGGCCCCTACCAAACTCACTAAGTTGACGAAATCGTACAGGTCTCCGTACTCTAGGCATCGTAACCGATCGTAAAGGATGTCAAGAACCAAAATCCGCCAACGTTGATTCTTTACTGCGGCTGAAATATTCATTTTTAGAGCGTTAGTGAATTAAAAAAAAGCAGTATAAAAACCGGAATGTCCAACTGATAAGGCTGAAAATTTTTTCACTTGTTATTTACAGTAAGATAAATACATTCACCAACTTTTATTAAAATAAAACCATTTAAACTGGGTGTTCGGATTTATATGTCACTTAGTATATTTGTTTTTTGGCATTATCAAGCATTTTTCGGACACAATTAAATACATATTTTATCTTCAGCTTTACGGTAGGAAAATTTCAAATTGGATAAATAAATAATCGCAAACCATAGCCTCGTTAAAATGTCATATTTAATACAAAAACGCAGAATGGAATTTGTCGGACCGTTTGATTATATGAATAATTACTAAACAAGTGTCGAAACTTGAACTATATATACTTTGAAGTTGAGTCATTAATTTTCAGATAATGATTGTAGAAGGAAGATAAACCAAAATATGTGTGTAAAAATAAAAAAAAATTAAAAAAAAATGTTACCTTGTTTTATAAAGTATTCTCCCGACAAGTATTTCAGTGCGGACCTGTATTTGATCGTGAGGTCTTGGAGCACCGGCATGCCGTCCATATGTTAGCTCTTAAGTCAAATGATTCACGAACCCGTTGTACTACATTAACAAAGGCACGAGGGGTTGGTTGCAATCGATTGGGAAACCGATCCGCATAAACATGTGCCATTTTTTATTTCGTTTGAGCCACGTAACAGACACCACTATCCACTACCGACTGACACTGACTGTATACAACTGAATGAAATAATTGTAAAAACATCGTTCCAAATTCTTTCGCTTTTTTGTTTCCGATGCGATGAACCGATAAGGCGAATTATTTCCGTTGTCGCCAAACACGAGCACATAATATTATTATTGAGACAGGGCGGTACTCAAACTTCCAAAGGGCTATAACTTTGTTACTTTAATTTTACCAGAAAAATGGTAAAGGAAAGAAACATTTCTTTTGATCAGATCTACTCATTGTTAAAATAAATGACTCAACTTCGAAGTCACCCTGTATATATATAGAGAGAGAGAAAATGATCATGCGGAGAAAGGTATATAATAAAAAATAGGAAAATAATAGGCAAAATCCGCAAAAAGAAGGAAAATGGAATCGAGCAGAAAATAGGATAGGTAACCCGAGCGATACGTATTTCTGCTGGTTGGCTGTATCAGGCCCGAAATGAATGCACATATGCAACTACAAAAGTAGAAACACATGCAGACACATCCGGATTCTGGTGTAACCTGTGGAAACGAAGATGGAGAGGGAAAAAAAATCGACACGCGAAGTCCACAACAAGAGCCAACCTACACATTGTAGTATAAAATGGCTAGAAGACCTCGAATTTTTAAGGCGATATCTAACCACAACCACGCGGCCAGTTATAGCCACTTGCCGAAAGGATCTACAAAGAGAAAATGATCATGCGGAGAAAGGCATATAACAAGAAAAAGGAAAATATTGGGCAAAATCCGCAAAAAGAAGGAAAGCGGATTCGAGCAGGAAATAGGATAGGTAACCCGAGCGATATGTATTTCTGCTGGTTGGCTTCATCAGAAATTGAATTCTTCAAACCATTATAATTTATGGTTTATACACAACTTACTTATACAATTATTATTACTCTTGTTAACTTTGAAATATTCTTTGTTGTACTATTGTACTTTTTTTGGGGTCAAGCGGCAAACCACCACTTGCCCCCTAAGAAAGACGATTATTTTTATATTATTATATATAATCGTATTCACCATTTTTTTGTCTCTAGCCCCCAGGCAGCTGCAAGCATGGATCTCCAGCAAAATACCAACGATGATAAAGGCAGGAGGTTCGTCAGGAAGAACAGCAAAACCTATAGCAAAAGTTGGAGGGGAAGGCAACCGAAATGTTTACAAGAAAAACATAAATACTTCACTGTGTCTCAAGGCAATACCAGCAGCGTCACTGAAGCTGTGAAGGAGTATGAAGCTAGATATTTGAAGGACCTTGATACCGATGCAGCTAGACAGGAACGTGAATACATAGAAGCGTTTGATGCTATGATACAGGCTAAACAAGAAGTACGTATTTTGATGCAAAATAGTATATCAAACAAAATAATATGTACTTCCATCACACAATAGTAGTTATTGCCATTGCCATTTTCCCAAAAGTTTGCAAAAATTTTATAATGATTGAAAATTTGAATCTAAGTAAATAGTAGTCTTCTTTCGCATAACGACAGGTTCCAAAACCTGCAGTAGGCACGTACTGAAAAAATTTTGAAAAGCATTTTTTTGTTACGGTCCTGTAAATATCATACTGAGAAGTTCCTGAACCCCACGATAATTTGTGAACTACTAATAGAAAGATCTAAGCTCCGAGGTTGATAGAAGATTTCCCCAGCTGCCCAATGGTTATCGTGGATCTGACCTTAGCCATGACCTACAAAGTCATTTAAAGGTCAGTCTTATTTTATACTTTTGGCTGCGGAAATGGAGAAAACGGAAAATGTTATGTTCGAATATGTCATTGACCATTTTCGGAATTTGACCTTGGACTTTACAATCAAGGTCAAATACAAGTTTACCTTAATTTCTTGATAATTCAGAAAACTGTGCAATCCCGAAATTCAGGATTGTTTCCTGGCTGAAAAATCTGACCCTCATATGACCTTGAACGTCAGATCCAAGGTCACCATTGAGTATCCGGATGAAATCTTCAAGGTCATTTCAAGGTCAAGTCGATTTTTATGAATGCAACCCTCCATTTTAGACCCGATAAATGAAAAATTATACATCTATGGTCTTGTCCGTTCTTAAGTCTTGACCTTAGAAGGTCGTGGTAAAGGTCATACCCAGGTACGGTGCCAGGAAACAATCCTGATAAACAGTGGAGGTAGTTTATCTGGATATTACACAATTTTACGAATTATCAAGAAATTAAGGTAAACTTGTATTTGACCTTGATAGTCAAGTCCAAGGTCAAATTACAAAAAGGGTCAAGGACAACATATAATATTCCGTTTTCTCATAAGTATAAGGTTCCATTGAAAACAGAACTGACCTTTAAGTGGTGACCTTGGAACTGAAGTCATTTGAAGATCAGGTCGATTTTTCTAAGCAGAACTCTCCATTTTGTCCAAGGTCAATCTCCAAAAATAGTCAAATACGTATTCAAACATAACATTCTCGCTTTCTCCATTTTCGCGGTCAAAGGTACAGAGTTCCATTAAAAAAAATAACTGACCTTCAAATGCTGTCCATGGAAATGACATCATTTGAAGGTCAAGTCGATTTTTTTAAGTGGTGCTCCGTAAATAGAAATAGCGAAAAATTTCACGTCCAAATAGGGTCTTGACCATTTTTAAATTTCGACCTATAGAAGATCATAGTCAAGGTGAAATCCAGGACAGTGATATAGCTTGAACGCCAGTAGTCGTGTAGGGAAGCTACCGTGACATTATTTTCATGTTTTTCCCGGATATCCAATGGAACCTTGGATCTGAACATGTTAACCTCCAAGGTCATGTAAAGTCGATTTTTGTAGCCAGGAAACAATCCTGACAAACAGTGGAGGTAGTTTATCTGGGTATTACACAAGTTTACGACTTATCAAGAAATTAAAGTAAACGTGTACTTGACCTTGATAGTCAAGTCCAAGGTCAAATTACAAAAAAGGTCAAGGTCAACATAACATTTACCGTTTTCTCATAAGTATAGGATTCCATTGAAAAGAGAACTGACCTTTAAGTGGTGACCTTGGAACTGAAGTCATTTGACGGTCAAGTCGATTTTTCTAAGCGGAACTCTCCATTTTTGACCCCGTAAATGAAAGAAGCGGGAAATTTTACGTTTAAGTATTGACTGTTCTTAAATTTTCACCTTAGGAGGTCATGTTCAAGGTCAAACCCAGCTACGGTGATATAACTTGAAAACCAGTAATAGTATAGAGAAGCAACCGAGACAATATTTTCATTTTTCCCCGGATATCCTTGGATCTGACCTTAACCACGATTACCTTCAAGGTCATATGAAGGTAAATTCGATTTTCATAGTCAAGGAAAGAACCCTGAAAGTTCAGTGGATTCAGTATATCTGGAGATTACACAGGTTTATGAATTGTCAAGAAATGTAGGTAAACTTGAATTTGACCTTGTACAAGGTCAATGTCCAAATATGGTCAAAAACATATTCAAACATAACATTTTCCCTTTTCTCCATTTCCACGGTTAAAGTATAGCGTCCCATTGAAAAAAAGAACTGACCTTTAAATGCTGTCCTTGGAAATGAAAGGTCAAGTCCATTTTTTTAAATGGTGCCCCATAAATAGAAATAGCGAGAAATTTAACGTTCAAATAGGGGCTTGACCATTTTGAAATTTCGACCTTAGAAAATCATGGTCAAGGTGAAGTCCAGGACTGTGATACAGCTTGAATGCCAGGGGTCGTATAGGGAACCGTGACATTATTTTCATGATTTTCCCCGAACATGAAATCGTGAACTTGGATCTGACCTTCTCCATGATGAGCTTGAAGGTCATGTGGAGGTAAAGTGGATTTTTGTAGCCAGGATACAATCCTGAAAGAACAGTGGAGTCGGTTTATCTGGGGATTAGACAGTTTTATGAATTATCAAAGAATGAAGGTAAACTTGTATTTGTATTTACCTCGGTTTTATACTCTAAGCGTTCCATTTCGTCCCAAACAAACAAAAATAACGAAGGATCTTTGAAAACGATCTTCATGGACTCGCGAAGCCTCGGTAGCACGTCGAAGATACTCACCTCAAATTAAAATAATATATCTGACATTGCTGTATTTTTAGAACCGACGCTTAAAGGTTTTGTTTACAAACGCGGTCAAAACTGATTACTGATCCGCATTGTACGTGATCACGTTGATTTGATCCAGGTGCAGGACCTGATCAGGTTTGGTTTAGGTCCGATTGATTTCGCGGAGCCCAACATCTCGATAATCTTAGTTAGACTTTGTTGTATGTGACTACAAAAAACTACTTAATTAATCTATGCGTCGTTTAAAGGGAAGTCCCAACTTTGAGGGACGACTTGTATATACCTAGGTACACAGTTTAAGCATGTAAAGTTCCTCTATTGTGGTTAGCGTTAAACACTTTGAGGTTTTCTCAGATATGCAGTATCCTCGATTTCACCTAATCTTATCTCCAGGTGAGAAGACGTAAGCCACTCAAAAGCTTTATCGATGCTGCAAATGAAGGGAACACAGAACTGTACAGAAGGAGTCTAATAGAGCGTATTGACTCAGAACTAGAAAAAATGAGACTGGACGGTTTCATCGATGACAACGAAGAAGTCCCTGCCTTAGAAGATAAAGTTATGACTACAAGCCCCAGCGAAACAAGTACTGATGAAAGCTGGGTCTACCAAAATGAAAACCTCACAGAAGCACTCTACGATGACCTTGAGACAGGCTCAAGCTTCGTCGAAGCCTACAATGACGACGGAAGGGAGCTTATTATAGCTGAAGTGGTCATAGAACGAAAGGCTGTCAATTTTAAAGATCAAGTATCTCTGGATGAAGCAATCCGAGAAAACATGCATGATTCAGAATTGATACTGATTAAAAATGACAAGGACTACGATGTAGTGGAAAAGGCAATACGCAGCTTGCCAAGTTTATTCAATACAGAACCACACTCCAATAGATCCACTGTATATTCCACAGCATCTGAATCTGTGATGGACGACGATGATGATGTGTTCACGGATAACGAAGACAAAAACGTTGACGAAGGGTTCTCTTCTAGAAGGGAAACGTACTGTGATCCAAAAGGAAATGTTAGAATAGAAAGGGTAGGGTCGTTGGGTTCATCAGAAGAGAAAGCAGCCACTTTGAAACGGAAGAACTCATTGACCCCAATCATCATGTAAGTACCAAGTTTATGCAAGCATTATCTAAGTAAATATTACATCTTCAAGTAAACTGATAAGTCTGCGGTCCTTTTCTGTGGCAATGCTAGCAAATGAGTCACTGCGATCAGCTTAAAGTGATTTTTAACCTTATTTGTTATTGGCAAACTTTTGATTTTCACAAGATAAATACTTGTAGTTCTACTGAGTTGGTGAGCCATCGGTCTTTGACTTTTCAGGTTAGATCATATAGCAGACGAAATCAAATCGACGGAAAGGAAGTATTTGAGTGACTTAGCGAAAATAATTGATGTAAGGTACAATATCAGTCTGTACGCATTCGTTTTTCTCATAGTATCATTCTTTAACAGGACTATAAACGGGTCCTATTGCTCTGTACACCTGAAACTCAACATTATGAGCTCAAATTCCTCTTCGGCAATGTTGAAGAAATACGAGAGTACCAATATAGCTTTCTATTGGATTTAGAGGATTGTGTGGATGCCACAGATATTGTGCGAGCCTTTGTGGACCATGTGAGTGATTATGAACGGTTGAATTTAGCTTACTTTGTATGGATCAAATACATATATTGACTGGAATTTCACCGTCTTCCTGTTGCTCAAATGATCTAAAATTTGGTGCATTCCTTTAGCTGTGATGATAATTCATTTCAAGCATTGCACATGAAGTGAGGTTTTAAGATTTGTTCATATTGGGCCTGTTTGTACATCTATTAGGGGTGAAAGAAAAAACACGATATTTTTCGAACTGAAAAGATATTGGGATATAAAGCGTATCGTTTCATAAAAGAAATTTTCTGTACGTTATGATAAAAAATCAAATTTTAAATTCAAAAAATACTTTAGGTGCAACTCCAAAACCCTAAAGTGTGTTTTAAATACATCGGAGGTTTTGAAATGGTATGCGCATTAATTAAGGAGGTATACTTTATCTGAAGTCACTTGAAACACTGTGAAATACCGGGTGCGTTTTATATATCTATATTTAACACGCTCTGTTGCTGCAAAAATCGCCAAATTTCGCAGCAAATATCCCCCGTATAAGAGATCAAAGCAGTTTTACCGGTCCACGTGGAGTAAAGCACGCCTATGCGTGGACATAGCCAATGAGAAAGCGTGTATTTCAGAGCTCGGAACAAGTGCAGGTGGCTACTGAAAATTGAAACAGTTTAGCCAGTGCCGTGTAGCGGTGAATAAACGTGTTTTCTTTAGTCTGTCCGTGTTTTTTCATAGATTTTATTAGTTTGTGTGTTTTTGACTTTTGAATACTCAGTTTACTTGTTGATTTAATTGTTGTGTTGATTGTTCTTGTGTGTTCTAAATATGGCTCTTTGGAGACTTTGGGAAAATGCTCCAAGCCACGAGGAGATGGTTGATGAACCTGTGCAGGCAGAATTCTTTCATAAAGATTTAGAGGAACAGACCCAAAGAGTAATCCTAAATATGTATGATTGTCTGAAAAACGAAAATCCAGATTCCTCGCAAAATCAAATTTTAAACAGAATTTGTATCCTGACAAAAATCAGTCGGTCTACCATTTATCGGGTTATAAAAAGGGGAGATGTAGTCAACCATTCCTTCCACAGAAAGCGCATAGGGCAAAAATTAAAAAGAATAGACGTGGGTTTTCAGGAAGATATTCGTCGTATAATATACGGATTTTATAAAGAAAATTTGGTGCCCACGTTGGAAATGATACGGGATAAATTAAAAGATTATCCTGAAGATTTTTATAATTACAAATGCTTAGACTCACTGCACTGTATTGTAAAACTGTGTGGTTTTCAATACAAAAAATTAGATAAAAGAATAGTGATTATGGAGTCGTCTCGAATCGTTGAATTGCGCCAAGAATTTTTGCACAAAGTTAAAATCTATAGAGAGCAGAAAAGAAATCTGATTTACCTGGATGAAACGTGGTATGATACCCATGATGTTGTGCAGTACGGCTGGGTTGACGACAGCAACAAGTGCATTTTAAATGCACCATGCAACCGTGGAAAACGAATCATTATTCTCCATGCTGGCAGTGAAAATGGATTTATACCTAATGCCTTGCTGTTATCTGCCAAAAATATCAAAGAATCATGTGCCGACTATCATGAGGACATGACCTCCGACTTATTTGAAAAGTGGATAGAGCAGCAGTTAATACCAAACATTTCCCCAAATTCAGTGATTATTATGGACAGTGCGCCATACCATTCCCGACAGAAAAACAAAATTCCGAATACAGGCACAAAAAAACAAGACATTATTGATTTTATGAAGGATAAGGGAATGGAAATACCACAAAAATCAACCAAAGCCATATTATTGGATCTTATTAAAAGACAAAAATTTGAAAAAGAGTATGTTGTTGACAATCTGCTTCAGCAAATTGGCCATGAAGTATTACGTCTACCTCCCTATTACTGCATTTTTAACCCGATTGAGTTGGTCTGGGCTGCTTTAAAAAAAAAGTAAGAAAACATAATCAGACCCCTCAATTAAGTGAATCGCTATTGGCCACAATAAGAGATGCAGGATCTCATATTGCTGCCACAGACCTATGGAAGCAGTGTTCTAGGCATATTATTTAAAAAGAAAATGAATATTGTGTTTTGCCTCCTGTAAATCCCGTTGTAATTCCTCTACAAGATGACTCTAGCGACAGCTCCGAAGGCGAGGATGATATATAAATACCTATAATGTAAGTCTTTATATACCTTTTTATATACCTACCTGCTATGTAAATATTTGCCTATGTCAAACGTTGGAATTCTGTAATTTTTCCATTTCTTAACTTTCAGTCAACATAAATTAAACTCCCAATATAAGTATTTTTTATCCCAAATCAAAAAAATAAGAAGATAGTAAAATCCATTTATTGTGATATAAAAACATTATTATTATCGTTCTAAATAAATGCCGCACGCCTATGATACGTCATGATATTACAAAGGACGCGCCGACCAAAGGTTTTTATGCTATTTCAAGTGACTTCAGATACACCATACGTGTATTTATGTTTTTATTGTATATATATACATATATATACAGGGTGGCGCATCGAAGACGAAACGATTTTGTTTTCGAAGGGGACACAAGTTTGTCAAAAAATCACGTTAACTCGTGCAGCCCCCTGGGCGGGGGTGACACCAACCCTAAAATCTTAAATGGTAAGGGGGGTCGAGTGATACCTTATTTTAAAAGTCTTTCAATTCCCTTTATAATGATGTAAAGTACATGAGCTTCAGTTCAGTAGTTTTGAAGATTTATTCATTTAAAGCTTAGAGTAGACTTTAACAGGTACATCGGATTATTTTGTACTACTTTCAGAAGAAATTTGACTAAAAGAATTTACTTAATAAGTAAATGCTTTTCTTCACTACGCCCATGGTTTGTTTATCATTTTATTGTTGAAAATACATTGCGAATAGGTTGATGTTCCAACAGGATGGGGCCCCTCTACATTACGCATTACGTGTTCGACAATATTTAGATCAGACGTTTCCAGATGAATGGATTGGTAGAAGAAGTGCCATTGAATGGCCCCCAAGATCGCCAGATTTATCAACTTTGGATTTCTTTAAAAAGCAAAATCTATGCTACTCAGCCAACATCATTAGAAAACCTGCGATAAAGAACTGTGAATGGGTGCCTTCAAATTACTCCTCAAATATTGCAAAATCTTTATTATTGCATGGAGAGTCATGGTGGCCATTTTCAACATTTACTTGCCTAACGGGTCAGTTCGTTCTTCAATTTTAAATTACTTTGCTGCCAAATGTATTGATCTCCACTATTGATGATGTATTAGTTTTATTTAAGCTTTAAATCAATAAATCTTCAAAAGTACTGAACTGAAGTACATTAATTTTATATCATTATAAAGGGAATCGAAAGACCTTTGAAATAAGGTATTACTCGACCCCCATTTTCATTTAAGATTTTGGGGGTGGTGTCTCTCCCGCCCAGGGGGCTGCACGTGTCAACGTGATTTTTTGCCAAACTTGTGTCCCCCTCGAAAAGAAAATCCACGGGTCTGAGCGTATTTCCAAAAAAAAACTGAGGTGCTAGTAAATGCATCTGTTTCGTTCGAATATATAGTAAAACAGATCGCTCCGTAAATGTCGTCCTGGGTATGAAGTTAGTCGCTTGTTTAGGTCGACTGGCTTGCGAGATAGCACTAATAATCATTTTATATCCAGCATAAAAATCTCAGTTCATTTTAATACGATTTTCTTAAATATTGGGATTTGAAAAAATAGTGCGCAAAACCGGAAGTAAACGCTTCAAACCATAATTTGGGTAGCTTCTACCATTTTTATTCTGATTTTTTTACTCCAAAATGACGTTGGGCGCTTGTTTGACGGCTCTACAAACAGGCTCAATGTGAACGAATTTCATAACCTCCCTTTTTTGGCTGTCTGCTTCACGTGAAATACCCCTATAGCAATAATAATACTCCGCCAAAATGTCAACATATATTTACGGGTTACGGGGATCCAATGATTGTCAGGCAGACATAAAATACAACTTTCAATGTTATTAATGATTATGTATGTTGTAATTTATATTTTAGGAAGCATTATTTACCAAGTATCCATCGTACCTGAGAAATAAGCCCAAGGCTGATCGAGTACTTCGAACATTTTCACACATAATCAAAGTAAGTTATTGATGTAAAAACTTGACTGGGGTATCTTTTAGGCGGTGCGTAAAGTTGGTACTTACGGTACAAAAAGAAGTATTTGCTATAGTCGCAAATAAGAACAGTCTAAAAGAAGGAATTGCGGCCTGATACAATAAATTGATGTGACAGCAGCTACTGGATATTTTATTCAAAATAACAGTCACTACCTATATGAAAGATAAAAAAGGATGTATTTTTAACAATTCTTCAACAGTTCCATTGCGGTTAGCTAGAAAAACCTATTATTTTCTCTTTATAAGCGAGTATCAGGTGGAACGAGAAAACGGTTGAAAGTTCTATGCAGAAAACATGGAATTTGACCACCAGTCAAAGCAACAGTTCATGTTGTGTTGATCAAATATTCCAATGGACGCAAAGCCCAGAAATGGTATAAGCAAACACAATCAAGAACAATAATTTCAGTTAAAAATTTGCCGGTAGTAAACAAAAATTAATAATAATATTCGGAAATGGATAAAGCCTTCAATAGCAAGGACAGGTCAAGGTTTCTTCATTATCAGTATTTTCATAGAGGTAGTTGCCTACACTTTTTTATTCAAGGTGACTGAATAGTTTTGGAACCCATGATAATTTGTGAACTAATCATAATACGAGGGATGTATTTTAAGTTTTGCATATAGAAACATTGTAGGCCGCGCGGATCGAACGTCAGTACTGAATCTTAAACTCACTCTTTAGTAAACTTAAATTCAAAGTTTTACAACAATACGTGCAGTGTTCTCACTACAGTGACTTTTTAAGTGTCACCAAGTCGGGAGAATACTTCGAAAAACGATAAAGTCATTTAAAACTACCTACCGTGTTGTTTTATTTCCATATGCAAAACTTAAAAGACAATCCCTCGTATAAAAACTAAGCCCCACGACTGATAAAAGTTTTCCCCAGCTATCCAATGATTATCATGGATTTGACCTTGGCTATGCCCTACAAGGTCATTTGAAGGTCAGTTCTTTTATTCATACTTTTGACCTCTGTAATGGAGAAAACGAAAAATGTTATGTTCGAATATGTCCTTGGCCATTTTCGGAACTTCACCTTGGACTTGACCATCAAGGTCAAACACAAGTTTGCCTTAATTCCTTGATGTTTCAGAAAACTGTGCAATCTCCAGATAAACTGAATGTACTGCTCTTTCAAGATTATTCCCTGGCTATAAAAGTTGAATTAACCTTCACGTAAGTCATCATGGTTAAGGTAAGATCCAAGGTCACCATTGGATATCCGGGAGACAATCATGAAAATAATATCTCGGTAGCTTTCCTATGGGTCTACAGGCTTTCAGGTTATATCATCGTAGCTAGGTTTGACCATCATGGTCAAACACAAGTTCCTCAGACAAACTGACTTCACTGTTAATTCAGCATTTTTCCTTGGCTTCAAAAATCGATTTGACCTTCACAGGACTTTGAACGTCATCATAAGTAAGGTCACTATTTGATATCCCGGAAAGAATCATGAAAATAACGTCTCGGTAGTTTCCCTATACGACTACCGGCTTTCAAGTTATATAACTGGGTTTGACCTTGGCCATGACCTCTCAAGGACAAAATTTTTAAACCGTTAAGATCCTGTTTAAACGTAAAATGTTCCGCTCTTTCCATTTTGCATATAGAAACATAGTAGGCCGCGCGGATCGAACGTCAGTACTGAATCTTAAACTCACTCTTTAGTAAACTTAAATTCAAAGTGTCACAACAATACGTGCAGGGTTCTCACTACAGTGACTTAAGTGTCACCAACTCGGGAGAATACTTCGAAAAACGATCAAGTCATTTAAAACTACCTACCGTGTTGTTTTATTTCCATATGCAAAACTTAAAAGACAATCCCTCGTATAAAAACTAAGCCCCACGACTGATAAAAGTTTTCCCCAGCTTTCCAATGATTATCGTGGATTTGACCTTAGCCACAAGGTCATTTGAAGGTCAGTTCTTTTATTTATACTTTTGACCTCGGTATTGGAGAAAACGAAAAATGCTATGTTCGAATATGCCCTTGACCATTTTCGGAACTTCACCTTGGACTTGACCATCAAGGTCAAACACAAGTTTGCGTTTATTCCTTGATGTTTCATAAAACTGTGCAATCCCCAGATAAACTGAATGTACTGCTCTTTCAAGATTATTCCCTGGCTATAAAAGTTGAATTAACCTTCACATAAGTCATCATGGTTAAGGTAAGATCCAAGGTCACCACTGGATATCCGGGAGACAATCATGAAAATAATATCTCAGTAGCTTTCCTATACGTCTACAGGCTTTCAGGTTATATCATCGTACCTGGGATTGACCATCATGGTCAAACACAAGTTTACCTTAATTCCTTGATAATTCAGAAAACCATCCAACCCTCAGATAAACTGACTTCACTGTTAATTCAGCATTTTTCCCTGGCTACAAAAATCTATTTGACCTTTACATGACCTTGAACGTCATCATAAGTAAGGTCACTATTTGATATCTCGGAAAGAATCATGAAAATAATGTCTCGGTAGTTTCCCTATACGACTACCGGCTTTCAAGTTATATAACTGGGTTTGACCTTGACCATGACCTCTCAAAGACAAAATTTTTAAACCGTTAAGATCCTGTTTAAACGTAAAATGTTCCGCTCTTTCCATTGACGGGGTCAAAAAGGTTCCATTTAAAAAAGTCGTCTTGATCTTCTACCTAGTCAAGGTATCACCCAAATGTTGCAACAACTTGGCTTTGAAGAAAATGAGAGTGTGTAGGTTAGGGGTCTAAGAGGAGGAAAGGGTGAGGGTCACTATTAGATAGTTATAGAAAGCTCCTATTATTAAAAAACAAATTATCGTGGGTGTTCCGCAGTTGCGGTAAATAGTGATCTCTCAGGTTAGCGGTAAAAAGATATGTCAACGTGCTAATGAAAAGTTCAACTAGTTCTGAGGCTGATATTAAACAGATGTTCTAGGAGGTGCAAGAAGATTTTGATGACAGGCTGGACTTCTCAGCCTACCTGCTGACACCGCTGCAGCGTTTGGGTAAATATATCTTATTCCTCGAGAACATTCAGAACCAGTTCGAGGCTCTTGGTATTCCAGTAGACATAACAAAAGCGGCATTAGAGATAGTCAAGCGAGAAATGACAAAAGGTACGCTATAAACAATCTTTCATCCTTATATTTACTCTAAATACCAGCCCAGTAGTGACTTGATTATCACCAAACATTCAAAAATACAATATGCTCATTTTTGAATATGGTACGTCAAAAATAATTTCAAAACACTTATGTTCTCTTCTTCAAAAAATATAACCATATGTTGTGCTTCACAAAAGGTAATATAATACGAGTATGACTTCCTATCATAAACATTTTATTTCAGGTAACGATTTTGTAGCCATTGAGTCTATCTACAATAGTCCAATCAGCAGATTGGACTATGGTACTTTTGTAATGAGAGAAAATTTCACGATAATAAAGCCAAGGAAAATGGAGGTTATGGTATTTTTATTCAAGAACATCATCGTTTTTACAAATGCTGATCAAGTAAGTTAGTGTACTTTAAGAATACGTTAGTATATGACGTAGGTACTCTTATATTCCCACGCCACTGTTGGCACTGATATCCTGCTTCGGTGTAAAAAATGGAGGTATCTTAAGACCTATTTTATGAGAAATTCCCGTGTTAACCCCTAATGTACTTTTTGCCCTATAAGTATCACAAATTTCTTTGAATCACCCTGTATAAGAATAGTGAATCAGTACCCCAGTCTACAAATCTTATAAAAATATTTGTTAATTACATGATCAAACGAACCTACCTGTAAGTGATGTTCGATCTTAATTTATGCTTTGCTTATTTTGGATGACATGGGGGGTAGGGGAGTCTAGATGATGATTACGTCATCGGCAGTTATTTACTTTTTTACACGAATGGCAACCCTCACAATGTCTTTGCTTGAAAACGAAACGCATTTTCGGGGATTCCCGCAAATAATGCATACGTTTAGTGAACAGCGCGCGGTAATTCCCCTACTCGCTTTAGAACCGAGTAGGGGAATTTCCGCGCGGTGTTCACTTATCTCAATTTCCTCTATCAGTGTATTGTTTCGTTTGGATACTATAGTGAGTAGACGTATTGTAAGCATAGTAAAGCAAGTTAATATTTGTGTTACCATTGATTCTATTAGCCAAAGTTTAATGTTTAAGTAAGATGTCGTTTCACATAGACAAATCCAAGTTATACCAAAAATTGTTTGAAAGTTTTACTATGTTTCTATATGCAAAACTTAAAAGACGTGCTAGAAGGTCTAATGAATATCCAGTTTTTTGTAAATCATGTCTTGTGGTGGAATCTCCACCGTCAGCGTATTTTGAAAATCCCATCCCAACGCTTCCTACATGATAGCAAGCAAAGGGAATTCTGAATAACCAATAATATCCTGCGAGAGATAAAAAACCACGAAAGACCCGCCTACAAGCCATACACCTAGCAGCGCGTCCCTAGAATATTCTGCAGACGATAATCGTATTGGTTGACCAATCAGCGTCAAACATTTTTTGTGGGACTATTTCTGTTTACTGATAAGAGCGTTCCAACGAGTTTTTTCTGTTCTACGAGAGAAATGTTCAGAAAAAAAACTCTTCAATTTGTATTGGTCGAGCTAGTATGTTTCTCATTTATTTGCATTTTGCAATAATCGTATTGGTTACAAATCAGCCATTTCAGTGTCACTAATTCTTTCTGCCAATAAGAGCACTGGAAAAAATCCGCTTGAACTCGTCGATTTTTATTTCGAGGTAAAAATTGTTTGCTCCTATTTAGTGTTAGAAAAATCAAAGAATATGATGATTTCGATTAAACCATATTTGTTATTTCTATCGATTTGTACTGCCTAACCTTTGTGTTTCTCCGTCTATGATGGTTCTCTGAATATGTCGTCAAGTAGATCGACTCATTACTTATGGCGTTTTGTTATACAACAGACATGAAATGACAAACCGACATAAATCAGAAACACGGACTTGTGTCAAGCAGATATCTTCAGGCAACAGCAAACTTGTAAACCGAAGTTCGAATATTATCGGAGGAGGAGGAGGAAGTATAGAGTCAATCTACTTGACGGAATCGAATCTCTCTCAACTTTGTTGTGGAGATAGCGTCAGTCAAACAATCCGTAGATAATTAATGGCTTCTGTATTTAGACTTTGCCTTTTATCTGCTTGATCGTTAAAAAATCGATACTTTAAGAATACTTAACAACAATTTGACAACATTTCTGGATCCGATTCTAAGATCGAAAAGGTGCGACAGAGATAAATAGATGCAATCCAGACAGCGATATTTTTTCGTGCGTTACTCATTAATGTTATTTTCTGACAAATAAATCATGGCCTTAGAAAAAAACTAATAGATAACATTACGTTTGATGATATTTCGGTGATACTCCAATCTTTTATGCTTTTGTGAGACATCACTAGACTAGAAATTTTGCACTCTTTTCAAAAATCAAAAAATCCAATATGGCGGCCATAAGAAAAATGAAAGTTGAGGCGGGTTGCTGGAAAACAAAAAACGATCGAGACATGTCATACATGCTATCTTATTTTTCTTCAAAATGTCACATTTTGACAGCTGTCAAATTAACCGTTTTAGATTTACTGGCGAAATACAAATTCCGCCATTTCCGATTGTTCGCTAATATTTTCAAAACCAATTGACTGATCTTAAATCTAAAGCATCGAAAGCAATAAGTTTCCTCCTTTGATGTATGTATACTTTTACATACCATGCCGTCAAGTTGTCTAACTTAGTAATTGTCAGTTAAGAAATTTAAGCCAGTTAAGATGTATATATTGAGTAAATGCTGGCATAAGTTAATACTCTTTTGTGGCAAATTCTCATCGATTACACCTATATTTTATCCTGTTATTGTCTCATCTATTTATGTTTCTCATATCGTTAGTGTTGTTTATTATAAACGTTCCCTATTTTATCCAATTTGTGCGAATAACAACTTTTAAAGTGATTTAACGTTATGCTGGCTATTACTTGCTATTACTTACTGTAATTGTTACACCAGACACGTTGTATATGTAAATTGTAAATTTTACTATTTGAAAAGATCTATTGTTATACTAAGTGACATATAAATCCGAACACCCAGTTTAAATGGTTTTATTTTAATAAAAGTTGGTGAATGTATTTATCTTACTGTAAATAACAAGTGAAAAAATGTTCAGCCTTATCAGTTGGACATTCCGGTTTTTATACTGCTTTTTTTTAATTCACTAACGCTCTAAAAATGAATATTTCAGCCGCAGTAAAGAATCAACGTTGGCGGATTTTGGTTCTTGACATCCTTTACGATCGGTTGCGATGCCTAGAGTACGGAGACCTGTACGATTTCGTCAACTTAGTGAGTTTGATAGGGGCCGTATAGTGGGACTTCGGGAAGCTGGACTTTCTTTTCGGGCAATTGCAGTTAGAGTGCAAAGAAGTGTAGACACTGTGGTTAGGTGTTGTCAGGCATGGCTTCGAGAAGGCCGTACGTAAAGAGCAAGGGACACTGGACGCCGCCGTAGAACAACAGACCGTGAAGGTCGCCGCCTAAGATTATTGGCCTTAAGGGACCGTTTCTCCACTACCAGGTCCATTGCAAATGAATGGTTTGCAGAACACGGAAGACCTATTGGCATGCGAAGTGTTTACCGACGAATGAGAAGTTTTGGCTTGTTTTCATACCGGCCACACTGGGTCCTCCCTTTAACTCGAGAACACCGACGTAATCGCCTTGAGTGGTGCAGACAACGGTCACTCTGGGATCAGGAATGGAACAGTATTATCTTTAGTGACGAGTCTCGATTTTGTTTAGGCATGCACGATGGTCGTGTTAGGGTTAGAAGGCGACGTGGTGAAAGGAGGAATCCACAGTTTTTTGTTGAAAGACATGTTCATCACACTGTTGGAGTTATGGTTTGGGGTGCTATAGCTTATGGTTCCAGGTCACCTTTAATCTTCATCAAAGGTAACATGTCACATTGTTACCATGGCCACCAAGATCTCCCGACTTATCCCCAATTGAGCACGTGTGGGATATGATGGGTAGCAGATTGCTCAATTTGCAACGTCCTCCTCAGACTCTAGAAGCACTTCGAGAGGAGTTGGTAGTTGCCTGGAATGAGATACCACAGGAGGACATTGACCACCTGATCAGAAGCATGCCTAGGCGCGTTGGAGGATGCGTAGCACATCAGGGTGCATCCACACATTATTAAAGGCCAAAGGGCTTTAAAGCAGTGCAATCATTTTGAAATTTTCATCATTAACTTGTTATGCTTCATTAAGTACTTATACAAAATTTTATTAAAATAAAACCATTTAAACTGGGTGTTCGGATTTATATGTCACTTAGTATATTATTAATAAGGATAAAGTAGGTGTTATAACTGATTCCATTAATTTCAGAAAGAAATGGAGACATTCTATTACCTGGACAGTATAAAAACCAACGATTTAAGGATAGCTACTTTCGACGATTTGACTCTACACTTAACTGATTTCACGAAGAGTAAAAGAAAGAATCGATCCATCAAATACTCCTACGTATTAGAAGCGAAAAGCGATAAAATAAAAAAATTGTGGAAAAAGACAATAGAGGATATACTTTGGCAGCAGCTGTATATGGCTAAAGGTATGCTGATTTCAGTGAAAAATATATTTGTCGCGTAATGCTAGTTCCCCTCTTTACACTTCTCTTAACATGAATCCATACTTTCTTTACTTTGTAAAAATGCTCCAATAAGAATTATAAATTATTAAAAAAAGTATATCTTATAACCTATAAAGAACGCTATTTTTGGGAGCTGTCGATCGCCGCACCTCCTCTTATTTATACCTTATGTAGGAAACTGCTTTTTCTTTGGTCAGCTATGCTGGTTAGCAGCTAACCATGAAATAACTTTGGCAGTTCGCAACATTTAATCAATAAATTGTCAAATTTGACATAAAAACAAAGACTGCTGTCAAAACTGACATATCTGTCACGTGGTTACTATAAAATATAGCTGACATCTGTTTTTATAGAGACTGTCAAGGCTATGCCATCCGTTCAAGCTTCGACCCTGGAATACGGTACAAAGAAGGATCGTAAAAGGCGTTCCAAAAGAGGTTTGTATTTTGTATGTGTATCCTCATTTTGAGATTGGAAAGTTACAATATTTTCTTTCATTTTCAGGTCTTTCAGCCATTTTCTACGCAGACTAGGCGTTGAATCCGGTTGTGTACAACTGCTCATAGTTATTTATTTATTTGGAAATATTACTACGTTTTTATTAAAATTTTTATAAAAAATCTACGTTGTGCAATAAGTTTTTTCTACCTATAATTCTTTGTGTCTAGGATCCAGCTAGCACAAGCATGAAAATTGGTGATAACTCGTCAACTGACATTATTATTATATTATAATTTTAGTTTTTTTTTCTAATTTTGGCCTTTTTATCCATAGCCAGTGGATAAAAATTTGGAAAAAAATGGAAAAGAGTGATGTGGCTTTTCCTGATGAACATGTCATATAACATCCAAAAAAGATCTTTCATTTTCGAAAATTTTCGCTATTTCAATACTTTCCCGCCAGTAGGCGTGGGAAGAAAAAATGTATGCTTGGGTGTCATCTTGTGAATCCTCCTCGGAAAATAAAAATATTTCTCAAATCAGGAGCATACTGGAGGCTACATTTAAGTGATTAACTTTTTTAGACACCATGCGTAATACCGGAGTTATCAACCCACAATAAAAACTCACTCTGTACACGTAACGTCTTCTCTGTCTTCCAACAAGTTGGAAAACGGATTTTCTGACAAACTAAAGGAAATCAATAGGGCTAATTTTTTCATTATTATACAATAAGCGTAAAAATATCAAGGAATATGCTGTCCTAATATTTTGAATGAATCGCGAATTTGTTTTATGATGAGGCTTTGTTTGTTTGTTGAAGATTTATTCATCATTTATGCTACAATGTCAATTTTGTATAAAATTATTCGTTTACAAATTTTTTAATCCATTTTCTGTAATTTTACATTATTTTCTATTAAAATTACATCACTGTGCATTTTGAATATTCATTAAATGATGTTTTAATTCCACCTTGAGCATTTTTAAATTCGACCACTGTTTAATACTATTATCCAAATTATTAAATTCAAATACTTTTGAAGAACAGATTTACTAATTATGCTACTATTGCAATGTTGCAAATAAAAATCTATACTGCCTCTAGTTTTGTAACTATGATAATGATTATTTAATTTTGTGTTTTCTAAATGTGGTGGTAATAAATGATTTTTCAATTTGAATATGAAAATGAGAACTAAATAACATATGAAATTTTTTACATTCAACCACTCTAGTTCTAAAATAGACTTAATCCTAGTATATTTGTCTTTATTTAAAATAATTCTCATAGCTTTCTTTTGTAGAATTTGTAATTTTACTATGTTTGTTGAATATTATAAAAAATTATAGTGCAAAAATTTTTGAAATTCATACTAAGATTATGGGAAACTCTATAGAAGTAATTTATCTTTTATATTGATATTTTTGAAATGCTCTTGAAAAAGTTTACTATCCGCAGATATAGGTACCCAGATCTTATCCGACTACTTCAATTTTCTCATCATTTTGAACGTTTGACATAATATTTCCAACTTTCGCTTTTTGATTTCTATTTACTGAATAATTTTGTAAAATGTTTAATACTGATCCTTTAAAATCATAGCGATGCAATTTCTTTAACAATTTTTCCCTATCTACAGTCTCAAATGCCCTTTTGAAGTCTAAAAAATACTGTTATAATACATTCTTTCTCATCTATACTTCTTCTCCAGTCTTCCACCACCATTTGGATTGCTGTTTCTGTAAAATATTTCTTCCTAAATCAAGCTCGCTTTTTTTGTCAAACTTTTGTTTTCTTCAATTAATTCAATGATTTGCTTGTATATTGTCCCTTCGAACAGCTTCTCGACATCTGTTAAGACATTAATATATTTGGATATAGCCTTTTGGCACAAAATTAATGGTGGAACACTTTAATCTTGATGGGAACTCACCATGTACTAAACAATGATCCACCAAAGAACTTGAGCATATCCAAGTTTGACTCATGCTAATAAATATGAAAAACAATGCATGCTTGAAAATACTACACGCGACTACATGACCACCCGCATGATCTCAGCGAAAGCCCACTTGGAAAAATACCCTTAGTATCAGTTTCCAGCATACTGTACACGCTACAGTCACTTTTTGACGCTTGCACTGCCAAAGACTGCGTCAATCAGTCCGGTGATTTTTATGTTTGTCAAGATCATCACAGTAATGGTTTTCTTTTATTATTAAGCGGCTGTTACGCTCCCTAAATTAGTCTTAAAGTATGGATACCGCCAAATCATCGGTCAGGGTTAATCCAAAGCCTATCAACGTCTTCTATGTCTGGTACACCGAGTTATGTCGTCGTTCGAACTGTACCCCAGCGCCTGCTGTGAAACCCGCCAAGCCGAAATGTCAGACGGTCTTGGAATTCTTTGCTGACCGCCTGAAAGTCGAAGAGTGGAACCCAATCATAGGAGCGCTCAAACATGATACTAGCCTTCATGTGATTAGTATAAAAGGTAGGATCAACAACTGCCAGTTTCTACATGATGTCGACACCGAAGAGAAGGCTAAAAACATGAAGAGGCGGTTCGGTTCTCTATGGACAGCGTATGTTCTTCAGCAGCTTCTCAAATCGATATCCAACTCCCTGAAGCATACCCAAGTCTTGACGTGCTTAGAGCTAGATGGTTTACCGATGTTCACTGGATATATCGAGCCTCTGCTTCTCGCTCTTAAGAAGAATAGGTCACTCAAGACGCTTTCATTCTCCAACAGCCCTATCGGTGACCATGGATGCGAGTTAATTTGTGCTCATCTAAGGTATATACCTAATGTAGAAATAATCAATCTATCAGGATGTGGGTTAACGTCAAAAAGTGGAGAGCAATTAGCAAAACTAATCAAATACCAGCAGATCAATAGGTATTGCGAAAGTTGGCATAACTCCTTGAGATATGAAGACCCACACATGGCTAATATGCGAGGTTTAAGGAGAATAATGATAAACTGCAATCCAGATTTCAGCGATGCAGGATTTGAACCTATCCTGGAAGAAATGCAGGATGATCTATGGATAAAAGCTTTAGATCTGCAAAAGTGTGGTCTCACGGAAAATATATCTCAAAAGCTGATAGACACCATACACTACAGTAGATCATTAGAAATCGTAGATGTACGACATAACCCAGATCTCAGTATGGAAACGATAGAAAAAGTTCTGCAACTACTTCGAGATCGACATCAACAGCTTGGAAACCACTCGGAATACCAGTGGTGCACCACCGCTGCAACAATCATGTGGAACTCGATATCTGACTCCGTTTCAAGATTCTCATTGGTACCGAACAGCGTCCATAAGTCAAGGTCAGCCCCGATGAGATCCTTAACATCAAAACTCAGCAGTCATCAGCCGGTAAGGAAGTCTAAGACTGTGGACAATATTAAAAATGGCGTGACTCAGGATAATGAGAAGAAGCTTCTGGAATTGAACACGAAATTGAAGATGGAAGTTCAAAGGCGGAAAGAAATAGAGAAGTGCAACGAAGAGTTGAAGCAAAAGTTAGAGCAAATACAAAACTCGATCAAAATTCCGAACGGACACAACAAAAAGACGAAAGTGGTCGTCAGTGAAGCAAATGCTAGAAGTCGTCTCAGCAAGATGTCAAAGAAAATAGACGAACGCAAAAGCGTAGAGAATTATAAAAAAATATCCCAAAGTGTGAACGGGCACACCAACGGCTTTTCTTCAAAGATAATAGACGGTGCCTACAAAATTTTCGAGACACTGCTGAATAAAGAAGCGCCTGCTGAAGAGACGGACTCGGATGACCTAAATTGTGAGGTGACAACCAGAGGTAGATTATGCACAACAACTGGAAGTGTTTCAGACAGCGACGTATCGCTATACACATACATGGAAGAAATAAAAAATAGTAATTACAGTCAAACACTGAGCTCCGGCTCGAAATGTGCCGCCAAAAATGGAGTAAAAAAGAAACAGAAACGTTGACCTGTACAAATAGAGAGTAGCGAAAATGCATTAATTAAGGAGAATAAATAAACGAATACCCAAGTTACTGTACTGTGGATTTATCAACTTCTGTTAGGTATAGCTCTTAAGAAGAGGATTGTATCCAATTTTATATTTGCACTCAATTTGGTTGTAATATGAAAATGTTTCTTAAAAGCTGTAAAGGACCATGTCAGTAAAAATTCCCAGTGAACGATGGTGTTTTTTTGTAGCTAGATTAAAAAAATATGATATCACGAATGCTGCTTCTTTATGCAAACTGTCGTCCTATGGCCTCCCAGAACAGCTTTGCAAATGGGTGGCTTTGTTTGTTTGTTTCAGATTTAGTTAGCATTAATGCTACAATATCCATATTACACAGTATATCACAAAATATATTATGTCTTCAAGACTACATATTTTCCATGAGATATTTTTCAATTTCCCTTTGAACATTTTCAAACTGACACACATCTTGATATCATTATTTAATTTATTAAATTCGTACAATCCCTTTTGAAATACTGACTTGCTCGTTAAATTGCTACTGCAGTTTTGTAAATGAAAGTCTATACTTCCTCTAGTAGAATAATTGTGGCACTCATTGTTCAATACAATAAAATTTTCTAAGTGATTTGGTAGTAGATGATTTTTTAATTTGAATATGAAAATAAAAACCATTGTACAGTATGTTCAGATAAGAGATGGACCGGATGTAAACAAAAGGTTCGGGTGATTTTCACGCTGATGCCGCCGTCTCGACGTAAAACAGGAGCCCTCATTGGTCAATTCGCAATTAAATGCCTATGGCGAGCGGCAGAGCAGTCGTATCAAGGCAGAGTCACATTCAGGTTCAGACGTGTTACGTATGTCGTGTGCATCATTGCAATTTGATATTTCTTTGGACGTTTTCGTTTGTTATCTTATTAAGTTGTTGAGTTTGTCGTTGTTATTGTTACACCTTGTTATTGATTGTTATTGTTATCAACTGCTTGCGCAAAATGCCCAGTAGTACAGATACTGCTGATGAAGTTGTAAACTCCTGTAGTCCACCTAGGAAACGCTCTAAAAAAAGACAGCTGAGTGCAGAAATGAAAGAGGTCATTTTGAATATATATAAGATGGAGCGCGAGGAGAACGAGGCATCAACCATCAAAGAAATTGTTGTGAAGGTTTCTCACAAAGTTGGGGTATGTCGCGCATCAGTGTTTAATGTGTTAAGACAATACAAAAAAAATCACACCTTTTCTGAGCCAATGACCAGCAAACATCGCAAAAGTATTGTTAAATCATTGGATGAAGCTGATAAGCATGCGATTACGAGGAAAGTGCATGAATTCTTCTTTAGGAATGAAATACCTACTATAGATAAAGTACTGCAGGAGGTAAATGGAGATACAACGTTGCCAAATTTCAAACGATCAACTTTCCATGCGTTACTGAAGCATTTAAATTTCAAATTAAAAAAACGGGGTCGTAATAGTTTACTACTGGATAGAGAAGAAATTGTGCTATGGAGGAGGGATTATTTAACAAAAATTGGGAAATATAGAAATCAAAACAGGAAGATTTATTACCTTGATGAAACGTGGGTAAACGCAGGACACACTACAAGTAAAGTATGGGTTGATGATTCTGTAACTTCATCCAGGAGGGCCTTTCTAGATGGACTGTCCACCGGATTAAAAAATCCAGCAGGTAAATACGAGTAATAGACAACAATCGGATGTTTTTCAAACCTTGGGAACAAGGTTCTAAACATTAATTCCAGGGGGCAGATAAAACATATTACAAGTAACAAAACTTTTATAACTTTCGATAAAATGCGTGGATGTTTTATTGTCATTTTCATTTGTTAGAACTTTTTTAAGCCATGTTTTTATGTGTTTTCGATATTTCAATAATTTTTTAATATAATCTTAAAATATGTCGAATAATATAAACTTAAAAAAAGTTACTAAGTTTTATATTGTGTACCGTTCCTAATATTTCTAATCATTTTAATTCATACTTTAAGCTTTATAAAGTTATAATTTGTTAATATTAATATTTGCGCGTATTTCAGGTTCCTGATCATTCATTTTTTAAAGGTTTATAACTTTAAATTAAATTGTGAAGCGCTGAGTAATCATACGACGTTCAATATTCTTTCTTTCAATATGACTAAATAATCCCAATTATAGCAATCTGATACTCATGTCTCAATGTTTTTTCGCTGAATGTGATGAAAACATTTGAAAAAGGTTCGCTTATTGAAATAAATCTACACCAGTTAGTACTTCGATTTCCAGGTAAAGGGAAAAGGCTCATTATCTGCCATATTGGCAGTGAGGATGGATTTGTTGTTGACGGTCTGTGGTGCTTTGAGTCTAAGAAAACTGGAGATTACCACGAGAAAATGAATGGCGAATCGTTTGAACAGTGGTTTTCAAAAATTTTACCGAACTTAGAGGAAAACGCAGTAATTGTGTTGGATAATGCGCCTTATCATTCTCGAAGAATGGAGAAGGTCCCAACAACGGCTTCAAGGAAAGTTGATGTTCAAGGATGTAATCCTTGCATTATTGTCATACCCTTGTATACCAATTTTCACTGTTATACATCAAATATTGTTCGAAATATTTAAAAAAAACTATTTTAGAAAGTAAATTTAAACACCCTGTATTTCGGAAGCCACGCATTTTTCGACCCATGTTTATATAAACTTTATGCATTAATTTTAAAAGTTCTATCGAATCTTAAGTTATGCACCAATAAACTGAAACACCCTGTATATCAACGACCTCTTTTCCTGTAAGATCAATCCAATCCACAGCTTTGCCGATGACAGCACTCTACATGCAGGAATTCAGAGTGACAAGCCGATCTCGTCCGGTGAGATGGAGAAATTTTTAAATTTAATCAACTTGAACACGCAGTGTGTCCGAAATTCTTTAATACGTCAGTGTCATTGTGACTGGGGTGAATAAAATTTTAGGGTAATTTGTCACACAATGTCTATATTGAGAACACTATTGCGACATGCATTTGTAAGTATCCATATCATGTAATTATGCTGCAATACTCTTAAGATCTGGTGTTTATTTCTAGCAAAGCAGATATTTTTCAATCGCGGAATTTAAGCGTGCACAAAATAAAGCCGACAAAGGCAGAGACGAGAAACAGAAAGACGGCAAAAAACAGTCACCTAAGATGAAAACGTTCAAGATTTACAGGTTTGATCCTGAAGGAAATAATAAAAAACCAAAAATGCAATCGTACACGGTTGACATCAATGAGTAAGTCTCAAACGATAGTAGAGGAAAGGAAACCAAATGTGGCGAAAACAGACAGTAACTCAGCATGCAAAACTTAAAAGACATCCTTCGTATCTATCCGAATCCTTTTGAGGCTTTTAAATAATCCATCTTCTTACTCTTGTGTTTCCAGGGCTGTCTCAAATTAGGAATTTTCCGTTAAAAAGTTTACACAACCATATTTAGGTTATATACCTAATATAATCACAATATTGTAAAATAGAATAAGTAAGGTATTTATAAACTACTAAATTTATATCAGACAATTGTTCTAAGTAATTTACTTTAATTTTAGTAATCACTTTTCTCGCAGTATTAAAAATATGTTTAACTTCCAAGAAGTAACAAGTTGTGACGTCACAGCAAACCATGTGCAAAACTAAACTGTAAGCACATGTAGAATACTACTGCGTCTTGGTTCCCAACTTTTTGGTATTACTAGAAGATGCTGCTACAAAGCTACAAAGTTACACCACTGTCTCAAATTTGGTTTCTTTCCTCTATGCAATATTACAATGGACTTACATTATTGAAAATTATTTAAGAAAAAATCATTCTTACATACGTATTGCATGATTTTCGCGATTCTTTCTCGTGCGCCTTGCTTATTAGGGGTATATGGATTTCTGTGTATTTGGAGTTAACAGGTTAATATGCCAAAGCAAAGTGTTAGTGAGAATAAGAACGCATTTGAGTAAGTTATCATCATTAAAGTATATATACTAAGTGACATATAAATCCGAACACCCAGTTTAAATGGTTTTATTTTAATAAAATTTTATATAAGTACTTAATGAAGCATAATAAGTAAATGATAAAAATTTCAAAATGATTGCACTGCTTTAAAGCCCTTTGACCTTTAATAATGTGTGGATGCACCCTGATGTGCTACGCATTCTCCAACGCGCCTAGGCATGCTTCTGATCAGGTGGTCAATGTCCTCCTGTGGTATCTCATTCCAGGCAACCACCAACTCCTCTCGAAGTGCTTCTAGAGTATGAGGAGGACGTTGCAAATTGAGCAATCTCCTACCCATCATATCCCACACGTGCTCAATTGGGCATAAGTCGGGAGATCTAGGTGGCCATGGTAACAATGTGACATCATTATGTTGAAAGAAGTCTATTGTGACTCTTGCAACATGTGGTCGGGCATTATCTTGTTGGAAAGTTGGATCTGCCAGGGTGTCAAGATATGGTAAAAGATGGGGTTCTAGAACTTCGTGGATATAACGCTGCGCGTTCATGTTACCTCTGATGAAGATTAAAGGTGACCCCAAACCATAACTCCAACAGTGTGATGAACATGTCTTTCAACAAAAAACTGTGGATTCCTCCTTTCACCACGTCGCCTTCTAACCCTGGCACGACCATCGTGCATGCCTAAACAAAATCGAGACTCGTCAGTAAAGACAATACTGTTCCATTCCTGATCCCAGAGTGACCGTTGTCTGCACCACTCAAGGCGATTACGTCGGTGTTCTCGAGTTAAAGGGAGGACCCAGTGTGGCCGGTATGAAAACAAGCCAAAACTTCTCATTCGTCGGTAAACACTTCGCATGCCAATAGGTCTTCCGTGTTCTGCAAACCATTCATTTGCAATGGACCTGGTAATGGAGAAACGGTCCCTTAAGGCCAATAATCTTAGGCGGCGATCTTCACGGTCTGTTGTTCTACGGCGGCGTCCAGTGCCCCTTGCTCTTTGCGTACGGCCTTCTCAAAGCCATGCCTGACAACACCTAACCACAGTGTCTACACTTCTTTGCACTCTAACTGCAATTGCCCGAAAAGAAAGTCCAGCTTCCCGAAGTCCCACTATACGGCCCCTATCAAACTCACTAAGTTGACGAAATCGTACAGGTCTCCGTACTCTAGGCATCGTAACCGATCGTAAAGGATGTCAAGAACCAAAATCCGCCAACGTTGATTCTTTACTGCGGCTGAAATATTCATTTTTAGAGCGTTAGTGAATTAAAAAAAAGCAGTATAAAAACCGGAATGTCCAACTGATAAGGCTGAAAATTTTTTCACTTGTTATTTACAGTAAGATAAATACATTCACCAACTTTTATTAAAATAAAACCATTTAAACTGGGTGTTCGGATTTATATGTCACTTAGTATATTATGTATTTATCAACAAATAGGTATAGAAAATATTTAAAGCATGTATTGTTAATATTTACAGTTGCCGTCCAATGGTTTTAGACGCGTTAATGAAGATCAAAATGGAGCAAGATTCTACATTAGCTTTTAGAAAATCGTGTAGAGAAGGTATTTGTGGTTCTTGTGGTGTTAATATAGATGGAATTAACAGATTGGCATGCCTTCAGTAAGTATACATTCATCATAGAACTATACAGGGTGTTCCTTAATGATACGGGTGTGAATCTACATGGAAAATTAATGTTAGTTTGCTTTGAAGCTATGGTCCAAAAATGTTTCCTTACGAAAACTCGGAGTGTTGAAGTTTTAGGACAAAATGGAAATTATTTAATATTTTCAGAACCGCTTCAGATATTTTCCTGATATTTAGTACGTTGTGAAAGTTAATGAAGTTGCATATTTTTCAATGCAAAAATATTTTTAGCTTTAACAATGGCGTGCGTACGAGTATCGACTTCGACATTTTTTAAGAAAAATATGATACGCCAATGGTTTTTTGCCATATAAAAATATAAAAATAAAGATATTTCGCCGTGAACTTACAAACTTCTTTACTTTGTAAACCATAGTTTTAAGTTAGCTTTATCGTGAAGAAGTCCAGACTATGCAAATTTGTAATCCCTGCAATAGTGTGTGAATTCCATGCTTTCAGCAAAATTCGGCCACGTGGCACTACGAAGATATATCCGCTTCCGCATATGTACGTCATTAAAGACCTCATCGTGGACATGAACAAGTTTCTGGCGCAGCACAACAGGATAAAACCTTATCCTATTCCGAAGGAACTTTGCGTAAAAAGCGAAGGCGACCAACAGTTTTTGCAGAGCATCAAGGACAGAGAAAAGATGGTAAGTCAGTACCTACTCTGTAAACTTGGGCTAGATCACGCCTATGTCAAAAATTGATGTCGTTTTCTTTTAAGTTTCAACCAAATGCCTAAGTAAGGTAAGTAAGTAAACGTTTGTATTCAAATGCAGCTTGATACTATTTGGTGTTTGTTAAAATAAAAACCAATAATTTTGTGCCAAAACTTCTAGGACATCCGTTAAAATAACGATTCTGGATAACATGGTATTTTTGAACACACTTATTCAAAATTGCTGCGTCTTGCTTTTCGTTCAGCAAAAACTTCCATTGCAGAATCCAAATTGAGTGTATTAGCTACTGATCTTTCGATATAGAGGATAGAGAAGTTGTTGAGTGTGTCTTTAGCCAAAGAAGCTCGACGGTATTCTTTAATAATTTTCCATGAGCTCATATAAATAAACTGCAGTTCTATGGAAAACTGTCTACAGAATTGTTTGCAATCATGAACTTCAAATAATCTAGAGGGCTGTCATTAATAATATTACGATTTTCCAAAAAATACATGCTCGTAAAACTGGCTAATTCTTATTTTAGATCTGTAGTGAAAAATTCCAAATGTTTTTCCATCAAATTAGTGACGCTGGTTTCTAATTCGTTTTCTTTTAAATTAGAATTTAGACTAATTTCTCTGAAATCAAAAACCAAACACATCATTCACTTCACCAAATCCTTCAGTACGTTCTGACAATTCGTTACTCATTGAATCGAAAACTTCGTACTTATTTGTTCGATGTTTTTCGTGTGTTTCCAGTGGCGAGTCAGCATCTTTTTCGTGGAACATTTTTTCGATTTTCCTCTTTCTGACAATGGGAAAACCAGGATTTTCCCGTTCCATCTTTCACCATTTATTCTTAGCCTTCAGAACAAAATTATCGTATGTGCTTTCACTCCTCAAATCTTTTAATTTTTTTAATGCTGCTGAAATGCACGTTTGAGCCATCATCAAGTCTATTTCTTTCTTTTGCATTTGAACTTGCACAGTATTCATTACGCTCAATACTGAAGGCAGCCATAACAAATTGAGGAAAAAGGTCCAGTGCATCGAGGAAAGGAGAGATCTTGCACTCATTATATCTAGAAGCTCCCACTCTTGAAATTTCATCTTCTATGCAATTGATAATACATTCAAAAAATTTCTTCCACGATATTATCACGAAGAAAATAGATATGTCATCAAATAAAAAAATGCACAGTATTGTGAAAGTTTATGGTTATAAGCAATGAAGACGTCAAAAGACTGTAATAGACGCATTAGAGTCCTTATTAGACTGAAAGAGGCTGATTCATACCACGAAGATATTTATTTACTGAACATTATATGTCCCGCAATAATATATCACTGTAAGCACAAAATGAAAAAATAACCTCTCCCCTCCTCCACATTTATTTAGACCACCCTTCCTTGGGGGGCCCAGGCGGCAATGTCCATTTTGCTATTACTCAAATCAAATCCGCCACTGTGACGGACAAACCCCCCCCCACTCGAAGACGAGGAAGAACATATTCCTGAACATGAAGTTTTTTTACCAGTGTGACCCCCCCCCCCCCCCAGACACAAATCCTGAATCCGCCGTCGTAGCGGCGAGAGATACCGACAAAATAACATGGATTTTTTTCGCGATTACTACGCCAGTAGGCGTGGGAAGTAAAAATGATTTCGGGAAAACTTGTTTCACTATAAAAACACATGTTTGACTAAGAAGCTACATTTATTTATTTATTTATTTATTGAAATCCACCACCAACAGTGTTAACCAATTACTGGTGGCAAACCAACAAAAGAAATAGTAAAAAAACATAAAAATACAACGAAAACTAAAAACTAAATCATTTCACTGCAAACTCTCTTAATGTTCGAAATACTTGTGTTGAACAAATCAAATGTACTCTGTAGACTATTATAACATGAACACATCGAGTACAAAGGTGAGTGCAACAGTAAGTTAGTTCGTGGGGTAGGTAGGTAAAAAGTGAGTGTATTGCGAGTAACAAATTTTGGAGCATTAAATTTAATCTGTGCTAGAAATGATGGACAATCATAACTGCTATGCACTACTTTATGCAGGAATATTAGCGAGTGAATCTTTCTTCTGTTATCAAGACTGATAAACTTGTGCTTCCATAACAGGTCTTCCTGTGGGACCCCAATGGGTGGGTACGTACCGTCAATTTTGAATGAAAGAAATTTCAGAAATTTCCGCTGAATCTTCTCCAGGGAGCCACAAGTTGTAACATAGCATGGATTCCATATTAGCCGTCCATATTCTAATTTAGACAGTATGAATGAATTATAAAGCATAATCATGGCATCTTTGTTACTTAATTCCTTTGAGTTACGTATTACAAATCCTAATAATCTGTTGACAGCATTAATAAGGTACTCAATATGAGGATTGAAGCTAAGTGACATGTCGAAAATCACACCCAGGTCCTTGCATTCTTGTACTCTCAGCAGAGAATGATTGCCAATTCTGTAGTCAAATGTAATAATATCTAGCTTTCTGGTGTAAGACATAACACTACATTTACTGTAGTTAATTGGAAGTCGATTTACAGCACACCATTTAACTATTTTGGCTAGGTCTTTTTGTAAGTGAGCACAGTCAGTGCTGCAGTCGACATTGGAAAAAATTTTCAGATCATCAGCATAGATTAAGTGGCTGCTGTCGATGTCGCTAACAATATCGTTTATGAACAGTATGAAAAGCAAAGGACCTAAGCAGGAGCCTTGAGATACCCCTGAGGTTGGGAAGAATTCAATGGATTTGATACCCTCATATTCAACATATTGCTTTCTTCCTGATAGATATGACTTAAGAAAGGATAACAGCTTGGGGGAGAATCCAAAATAGCTCAGCTTTGTTAACAGAATACTGTGATCAAGTTTGTCAAATGCTTTACTAAAATCTGTATAAATTACATCCACCTGGCTATTAGCATCTAATGCAGAGGAGACTGACTGAGTAAAACAGGCTAGGTTAGTTATGGTTGATCTACCCATCTAGCCATGCTGAGAAGTACTTATTTGGGAATGTGTATTGTGGTATAGGAAATTATGAAGCAAAGTTTCTAAGCCTTACATACTAGGGTTATCGGTCTATAATTTTCAACCTGTAGTCTATCACCCTTCTTGAAAATGGGACGCACCTTTGATTCGCCCCAAATTTCAGGAAACGTGTCAGTCTTTAAACATAGGTTGAAGATCTTTGTCAAGGGATGAGCTAAGACGTAGGCACAGTCACGCACTAAAAACGATGGAATTCCATCGGGTCCGGAGGTAAATTTATTTTTCATTTGCTTTAACACTGTAAAAACCTCTTCTTCGGAAAAGCTCTGAAGTATTATGTTAGTATGCAAGTGCGAAATATTGATATCAGTTGCGTTCGAAGGCATAGTATATACAGATTGAAAAAATAGCGCAAAAGTATTAGCAATTTCATTGGGTTTGTCATACTGCTTACCATTATAGTTTACTTGGCTGATTGTGGAATTTTGTCCCCTTTTATTACAGATAAATGACCAGAAATTGTTCGGATCCTGAGATAGTCTACTTTGGATATCTACTAGATATTTTTGATATGCGTTACGCTCATCGCGCTTAATTTTGGTCCTTAAGTCTTTGAACTCAGTGTATGTGATCAAACTTTTATCCTTTTTAAACTTTTTGTGTAGCAATTTTTTCTTTTAATGTCTCTAATCATTTCACCGTTAAACCAAACTGGAAATTTGAGAGATCTGAGACTTGTCCTAGGGACACACATATTAAAAATTTTACGAAGAATGTTATAAAATGTTTCCAAAGCTACGTTTACATCTGTTAAATTGTCAAGAAACGTCCAATTAACCAAGCTTATTTGTTCATATAGTGCTACAAAATTGGCTTTTCTGAAATTATATGATTCTCTGGCGCATTTGATACTCTTTTTAGAATGGAAGCTCATGTTGATTATCATGACAAACGGAGGATGGTGAACATCCTCAGGTAGTAGGTCATCATAAGCCTTAACGACGCTACATTGTTTATTTGATAACACTAAATCTAATAGCCTATTATTTTCATTCCGAACATCATTGAATTGAGAAAGATCGAAGAAACCCATAAATGACTGAATTGTTTTCTGCTTGTGAGAAGATTGGAGGTGATTTTCATTAACAAATTCCGGAACATTAAAGTCACCTAGTATATAAATACTTTTGCCAAAGAGGTAATCAAGCGATTCTAGATGTTCAAAGAATGTGATGTAAGCACCACTACGGCGTGGTAGATATCTAAGCTGCTATTTACACTTGGCAATATTGGAATATCAGATAATGTAGAGGCAATGAGACTAGGGAGGTCTTCGGTTTCGGTTCTGTTGCGTCTTGTAGAATTTCGGATTTCACTGTTATTTCACTTGAAACTTATGGAGGGTAGTCTCATAGATTACTTTGAATAAAAAAAAGGTGTGAATGAAGCATGCTTTTCATGTTTTTTTTCCCAAAACACTGTATTTTTAGCAGTTATTTCCTCCATTATTTCCACCGCCAACTGCCATATGAAGTTAACGTCTGTGGATATGGTCATATATGAGAGGCGCTTACCTGCGGTGTTGCCGAATTGGGCTCCGTACTTAGGGAAAAATATGATAGGTGGAAAATTTATTTGCATACGTTAATTAATGAACCACAAAAACGAAAAGCCGAAACAAACAACAGTAGCAAAATAAAAAGCTATTCCCAATAAATATAAAACAAAAAATAATAGTAGTTAGCTAAAAAATGATAAATTGTAGATGATAAAACGAAAATCAAAAACAGTAGTAAAACAAAAAAAGACAATACCATATAATTATAACAAACAGTAAAATAAAAAGCAATTTGGAGTGAATGGAATTGTTTTTCGTTTTACTACTGTTTCTACTTTATGTTTTGTGCTGTCACTTAGAATTGCTTTTTATTTAACTCTTTGTTATTTTTTTTTTCTTTATAATTATGGATTGTATGGTTTGTTTTACTACTGTTATTATTTTTTGTTATAACTTAGAATTGCTTTTTATTTTACTGTTTGTTATTTTTTGTTTTTTATAAAAATTTTTTTTTTTGTTTTTCCACCGTTTTTATTTTAGTTCTTAATAATGACTTAGAATTGATTTTCATTTTACTGCTGTTTGTTATTTTTTGTTTTTTATAATTACATGGGATTGGTTTTTGTTTTACTACTGTTTTTGTTTTTTATAATTATTTACAATTTATCATTTTTTAGCTTACTACTATTATTTTTTGTTTTATATTTATTGGGAATAGCTTTTTATTTCACTACTGTTGTGTGTTTCGGTTTTTCGTTTTTATGATTCATTAATCAATGTATGTAAATAAATTTTCCACTTATCATATTTTTCCCTAAATGCGGAACCCAGTCCGGCAACACCGTAGGCAAGCGCCTCATATATGAATATGTACAGACGTCAACGTCATATTTCAGATGGCGGTGGAAATAATGAGGGAAGTAACTGCTAAAAGTACAGTGTGTACAGTGTTTTGAGAAAAATAAAAGGCAATTTGGATGGAATGAAGTTGTTCTCCGTTTTACTACTGTTTTTACTTTTTGTTTTGTGTTGTCACTTAGAATTGCTTTTTATTCAACATGGAATTGTGTTTTTTTTGTTTTACTACTGTTTTTATTTTTTGTTTTTTATAATAACTTAGAATTGCTTTTTATTTTACTGCTGTTTGTTATTTTTTGATTTTTATAATTACATGGAATTAGTTTTTGTTTTCCTACTGTTTTTATTTTTTGTTTTTTATAATTATTTATAATTTATCATTTTTTAGCTTAGTACTGTTATTTTTTGATTTATACTTATTAGGAATCGCCTTTTATTTTGCTACTGTTGTTTGTTTCAGTTTTTCGTTTTTGTGATTCTTTAATTAATATACGTATGTATATAAATTTTCAACTTTTCATATTTGTCCCTAAATGCGGAGCCCAATCCGGCAACACCGCAGAGGTCTATGTCGTATGGCCGATAGATGGCGTTGGAAATAATGATGGCAAGAACAGCTCAAAATACGTTTTGGGAAATTTTTTTCATGAAAAGCGTGCTTCATCCACACTTTATTTTATTTAAAACAATCTATCAGACTATCCTCTATAAGTTTCAAGTAAAAAATCACTAAAATCCGAAGTTCTACAAGTGGCAACAGTAGGTACATTACTTTCTTCTCTTATTTCATGAATTTCCTGCGAATAATAGCTTTAATTTTTTTTTATTTTTAGGATGGCCTAGTAGAGTGCATTTTGTGCGCGTGTTGTTCAACTTCTTGTCCCGAATACTGGTGGCACGGCCACACGAAGCCCCCGAACGATTTTTTAGGGCCAGCGGCATTACTGAACGCTTACCGATGGATCGTGGACACTCGAGATGGCGCCACTCACGAGAGGTTGAGTGAACTTCGTAATTATTACAATGTGTATAGATGCCACCAAATAAACAACTGCACCAGCGTTTGCCCCAAGGTATTTACACAGATTTCAACAAAACAAAGATAAAAAAGCACTTACCATTTTCCCGCTATTTCCGTATCGCGGTATTTGCGAAGTCTTCCTTCATTCTTCCCGTAATCCAAAGGTGCAAATCACTACAAGAACTCACAAACACTTATTCCACATGCCACTAGCACATTTTCCTAGCTAAGACAGAGTTTTCCTTTTGAAAACACAGAAATCGGCGCTCCCGAAACGCTCGTGTAGGAGCCACGCGAAGACTGAAAAACAATTGCAACATTGCATACCTACCAGGCTACAGACGTTTTTCTAGGATTTCAAGTTGGCCGTGGCCCGAACTGAGTTCTGAGAAGTCTTCCACACCTGTTTGTATAAGCGAGGGCAATTTCGATTATTTTAATTATTAATGGCTGTGATATGAGAGGTACCTAGTGCATAAATTTATGGCAAAAATATAGATAAATCACATTGTGATATTCTTCCTTTGTAAGATATTCTGTTTAAGTTTTTAAATAACAGATTAATTACATATCAGTTAAATAAGCGTCATTCTAAAACGAAATAATTCGGTCTTACAAATGGTGTCAAGTAGGGTGACTCAGCATTTTACTTGAAGTTGAATAAAGTTTGTTGCTTGTTGGTTTTCGTCGAATTCTGTCATAGACCAGTCAAATAATTTTTTTAGTGAAAAGCATAGCTCTTTTAGTTGCTGTTTTTTCTCTTAAAACTTTTAGAGGGTAGTCTGATAGATTATTTAGAAACAAAATAGTGTGGATGAAGCACGCTTTTCATGAAAAATTTTTCCCAAAACATTGTATTTTTAGCTGTTCTTTCCATCATTATTTCCACCGCCATCCATCTGCCATATGACGTAGACCTCTGTGCATATGCCATGTATGAGAGGCGCTTGCCTGCGGTGTTGCCGGATTGGGCTCCGCATTTAGGGAAAAATATGAAAAGTTGAAAATTTATATACATATGTATATTAATTAATGAATCACAAAAACCAAAAACTATAACAAACAACAGTAGCAAAGTAAAAGGCGATTCCTAATAAGTATAAATCAAAAAATAACAGTGCTAAGCTAAAAAATGATAAATTATAAATAATTATAAGAAACAAAAAATAAAAACAGTAGTAAAACAAACATTAAATTATACCGACCGTTCTATCGACTCAAATAAATATTTAATCGTTTTTTCAAATTGTTTGTGTTTTTTTTTTTGAAAATCAAATCCTATACCTCTTAAAGGATCACCCGTTATATAAATTTTCCACCTTTCATATTGTTCGCTCTATACGGAGCCCAATCTAGCAACACCGCAGGCAAGCGCCTCTCATATATAAATAATTGGGAGAAATAACTGCTAAAAAATACAGTGTTTTGGAAAAAAAATTTCATGAAAAGCGTGCTTCATCCACAATTTTTATGATGTAAAATAATTTATCAGACTACCCTCTATAAGTTTCAAGTGAAAAAACAGTGAAATCCGAAGTTCTACAAGACGCAACAGTATCCTCTTTTAGACCTACTATATTGACTAATTTGTTATAGCCTTGAAAACAGGATTAGCAAAAAATAATATTTTCTTAAATATCTACGATGGCGTACGTAATACATTATGTATAACTACTTATAGCAAACAACAACTTGAGAGATGGGAAAAAATTGGTGCCGACAGGATTCGAACCTACAATTTCTCCATTCCCTGCTCCTTTGTTCTCTCTAGCTGACTTGATGCCCCATCGTATACATGTGAATTTCGACTGTTGAAATTAATTCCGATAACGCCTTGGCATCATGCATTCGATCCGCTATAATAAGTTGAATATAAAGTTCCCAGCGCTGTAACTTTCCCGCGCGCGATGATAGTCGAAATCTGGCAACACCGTCATGTTTGTCGGCTCAAGGATCCACGTTTCCAAATAAAAAATTCCTTGTGCCTGAAAAAAGTATGGGAACCTTATTTTTGAAGCAACCCTCGTAGTTCGAAATTGAACAATTGTCATGTTTGTCGGCTCAAAGATCGACGTTTCCAAATAAAAAATTCCTTGTGCCTGAAAAAAATATGGGAACCTTATTTTTGAAGCAACCCTCGTAGTTCGAAAATGAACAATTGTCTGGAATTTATGAAAGATGTACTACAGCATACTTTTTTGCATTTGATTTTACTCATTGATTTATTCCGTTTCAGAGACTGGAACCTGGTAGGGCGATTTCTCAACTACGATTGTACCTATCCAAGTTCAAGAAGAAACCTAAGCCTGACATGGTTGGCAAAGCGCCGTCTGATCCTTATAAAGCATGTCCAAAGGATGAGTGTGAATAAAGCAATGCAGTATTATATTCTTTCTTGGTTTATAACATCAAATATTAATTTTTCTCAATTCGAAAATGACTGGCCGTGTTACTTTGCTTATTGTGTTTCTGTTATCAAGCTTTTTCATTTTTTTATACCCATTTATTACCTAAGAAAAACATAAATCGCCAGCTTATGGCAATTGCTTAAGAGTAACTGGCTCGAATTTCGATATTAAGATTTCTCCCACAATTACCAACATATTAATAGGTTAAGCAAATAAAAGCATGCATACAGAAAATTCTGACGGGAAAAAAATGATCAAGGCAAATGTGGTAGGATTTAATTTAAGCAATCTAACGGTGACCTTGACAATTACCTTGACCTTCAAGGTCATTTCCAAACGTCAAACGGATCTTCTTAAATGGAATCCAATACTTTTGACCCAATAAATCGAAAGACGGAAAAATTTTAACTAATCATGATCTTGACCTTGACTTTGGGGGTCATATCCAGTCAAAGCGATTTTTTTAAATGAGACCTCATACTTTTATACTGGAAATCGGAACAGGGAAAAATTCTATGTTTATATATAACCTTCACCTTGAAGGTCAGTCAAGGTCAAAGCAGTTTCCTATACCTGTGACCCCAAAAAACAAAATCGGAGGAAATTTCAAGCTTGTATGTAATTGACATTGGTATTGAACTTGAAGGTCATTTCAAGGTCAACTCTATTTTATTAAAAACGACCTCAAGTTTCATCCTGGAAAGTTAAGAGGGGCGAAAATTTCAAGTTTGAATAAGATCTCGAACAAGTTGACCTTAAAATGACATACAAAATCAAGGTCATAACCAATTTTCGCCTCATTGGATTTCTAGGGCCGAAAGTATAAAGGTTCTATTTAAAAAATCAATTTGACGTAGAAACGACAAGGTCAAAGTCAAGAACCCCATTAGATTTATTTGTTTGTTTAAGATTAATTTAGCATGATTGCTATTATTATTTTTTGTTAGGAAACTACAGCAAATACGTAAAATAAAAATATTTAAAAGAACCAAACTTGCATCTCACTCAAGCGATTTTCTCTTTTCATCACAGAAATCGAAAGTAAGAAAAATTCCGAGTTTAGATATGACCTTGACCTTTAAGATCGTTTCAAGGTCATATCGATTTTCTTCAATGAGGCATTAAACGTTTGATTCCGGAATTCGAAACGGGGAAACATTTTAAGTTTATATATAACCTTGACCAAGAAGGTCATTCAAGGTCAAAGCGATTTCATCGTATGGGCACCTATTCATTTGTCTGTATAAAACGGAAGATAAGAAAATTTCATATTAGTATGTCCTTGACCTCGGTATAGAACGTGAAGGTCATTCCAAGGCCAACCTTATTTTATTTAGTACCCCAAACTTTCAACCTCGAAAAGCGGCCAAGTTGACCAAGTAGATCTCAAAATAACCTCCAAGATCAAATTCATAACCAAAATAAGACTATTTTAAAAAATCAATTGAAATTACCTTCAAGGTTAAAGTCAAGATCACCATTAGTTTTGTTTTTCAAGATTCATTTAGCATGACTGCTACAATTACATTCTTTTAGAAAACGACAACAGTTACGTTAAATACAAAAATATTTAAAAGAACAAAACTTGCAACCCAAAGAAGTTTGTAAAATCTTACAACTCTTATCTTAGTCATTTTTTCCCCGGTCTGTATTTTCCTAGATCGTGTGGGGTCGAAACCTTTTTGGACACCCTATATATCGCAGATGTGATTGAATTTAAGGTTTTTGAAGTTACCTTCTCATACTCTACAACAAAAAAACTGACTGTGTAAAAACCCGTATATTTCATCACGCTTTACATAAATATAAAGTAGTTAATACTAGTGACATCCGGCAGTTCGATCATGTTCATTTCCTTCTTCCTCGTTCTCTTCTTCGCGCTCCTTATCGTCTTCACGCTCTTCTACTTCCTTTTTGTATTTCGTCTGCAAAGCTTTCAGGGTGTCCTCGCCGATAACCTCCTTGAAGGTCGACTCCAAATTCAGGTACTTATTGAACGCGCACCAATCAATCATCGTACCGGGTCGGAGCTCTCGTTCGGAACCCCACCACAAGTCATACTATAGAACAAGATAATTGATGTAGTTACGAGTTATCACAACGTATTTTTCGGAATACATACAAGATTCTATACCCGTTGTATTAATATCAGGAGAAAGAGATAGAAGCCGGCTGAAGAAGTCATCACCACATTGCCCATAAGGTGGTGCAAACTGCCGCGTTTTCAATTTGTTACACCAGAAAAGTTTGTCTCACAAATACTGACGTACTACCAAATTATGCAAATAAAAGCTTGTAAAAAAGACATCTCTCATTCATACAGTGTTCAAAAAGTTAACGACTCCCCATCTCAGAAACTACTAACCGGAAAAAAATGATCAAGGCAAATATTGTAGAATGTTATTTAAGCAATCTAATGATGACCTTGAGAATTACCTTGAGCTTCAAAGTCATTAAAGTGATTTTATTAAATAGGTCCAATACTTTTGACACCAGAAATCGAAAAAGGGGAACATTTTAACTTTGGGTATGTCATTGACCATGACCTTGACCCCAACTTCGGGGATCATATCAAGTCAAAACGATTATTTTTAACGAGACCCTAAACTTTCGACCCCGTAAATTGAAGAAAAAAGATACTTCAAATTTACATATGACCTTGAATTTCAAGATCGTGTCAAGGTCAATGCGATTTTCTCAAATGGGTCCAACACTTTTGATCCCAGGAATCGAAACAGGCGAACATTTTAGAACAAGTTCATATTTGACCTTGACCTTGAAGATCAAAGGTTAAAGCGATTTGCTCATTAGGAATCTATATCGCTCAACTATGACCATGTAGTTGGAAACCTCGCCTTGAAATATACGTGGTGCGGTGTTGCCAAGCGAACCAATGATGCAATGTTGCAGAATTTGTGGCAATCTAGACATTTCGTTTTGACCTAAAATGGAGCACCGTGAATCAAGCATAAACAGATTCGACACAATTCACAATTCAAAAATGTGTACGCTCAAAAATACATTATTATATACAATATTCGCAATTACGCGAGAGAACATAACTCTGTGGCTATCTTATCACTTTTGCGGCAGTTTCGGCTATTTAACTGGACTGATATTTTCAAGATGCATCTTAATTCAAGGAATTGGTGTAACATTTTGGCAACGCGGCAGATTGCTTCGCTATCCAGCCGACTTCTATCTCTTTCTGACATACGTGTCTATAGACACTTGTCTGTCGTACACATTGAGCTCAAGTTATCAGACAAATTTGGTTCTCAGTGTATGTACCTGTCAATAATTACTCAATAATTTTATCGCAAAACAGAGGAGAAAGCTGGCTTGTATTTACTGAGAGCTATGATACTCCAGCCTTAATGATTTCGTTAGACTTACCTTGATATTAATAGGAGGAACATCGCGTGTTGGACAGTAATTCCTGTCTAAGAATTTCAACAAATCTTCGTAGAGTAAATTGCAGTTATCGTCTTTTTCAGTCCTACAATGCCAAATCATAAATATAGGGTGTCCCGGAAACGGGAGATAAGATAGGAGTCATGTAGTTATCAGAAATAATGTAGGTCGTGTACTTTTCAAATCATAGGCTTTAAAAAAATCGGAAAAGTCGGAACAATCTGCACTCTGATGATCTTTTAGTTCTCATTACTACAAGGTTCAATTTTTTAGTATTAGACGATATTTTATGGACTGATAAGTCGACATTTAATATTTTTATTGCAGAAAAAACGGCCACATGATCAAGAAGCCAATATACTGTACTTACACATCCAAAATTCTATTGATCAGCTGACTGTCAAACGGCAATCGGCACGCCTTAAGCAATGTATAGCAATCTTTACGAGACAATTTTCCTGATCTAGTAGCATCTCTTTGAAGAAAGTACTCTCTCAACCTGTCCAAGTCATCCCAAAGGTAGCGTTTCAGTTCTGTTAGAGCGATCGCCCTGGAATAATAATGATAATATTTATTCACTTAACGAAAGCATTTCATTGCGTCAATTCACATATGTATAGATAAATAGATAGATATACTTTATCTGAAGTCACTTGAAATAGCATAAAAACCTTTGGTCGGCGCGTCCTTTGTAATTTCATGACGTATCATAGGCGTGCGGTCATTTATTTAGAACGATAATAATAATGTTTTTATATCACAATAAATGGATTTTACTATCTTCTTATTTTTTTGATTTGGGATAAAAAATACTTATATTGGGAGTTTAATTTATGTTGACTGAAAGTTAAGAAATGGAAAAATTACAGAATTCCAACGTTTGACATAGGCAAATATTTACATAGCAGGTAGGTATATAAAAAGGTATATAAAGACTTACATTATAGGTATTTATATATCATCCTCGCCTTCGGAGCTGTCGCTAGAGTGATCTTGTAGAGGAATTACAACGGGATTTACAGGAGGCAAAACACAATATTCATTTTCTTTTTCAATAATATGCCTAGAACACTGCTTCCATAGGTCTGTGGCAGCAATATGAGATACTGCATCTCTTATTGTGGCCAATAGCGATTCACTTAATTGAGGGGTCTGATTATGTTTTCTTACTTTTTTTTTAAAGCAGCCCAGACCAACTCAATCGGGTTAAAAATGCAGTAATAGGGAGGTAGACGTAATACTTCATGGCCATTTTGCTGAAGCAGATTGTCAACAACATACTCTTTTTCAAATTTTTGTCTTTTAATAAGATCCAATAATATGGCTTTGGTTGATTTTTGTGGTATTTCCATTCCCTTATCCTTCATAAAATCAATAATGTCTTGTTTTTTTGTGCCTGTATTCGGAATTTTGTTTTTCTGTCGGGAATGGTATGTCGCATTGTCCATAATAATCACTGAATTTTTGGAAATGTTTGGTATTAACTGCTGCTCTATCCACTTTTCAAATAAGTCGGAGGTCATGTCCTCATGATAGTCGGCACATGATTCTTTGATATTTTTGGCAGATAACAGCAAGGCATTAGGTATAAATCCATTTTCACTGCCAGCATGGAGAATAATGATTCGTTTTCCGCGGTTGCATGGTGCATTTAAAATGCACTTGTTGCTGTCGTCAACCCAGCCGTACTGCACAACATCATGGGTATCATACCACGTTTCATCCAGGTAAATCAGATTTCTTTTCTGCTCTCTATAGATTTTAACTTTGTGCAAAAATTCTTGGCGCAATTCAACGATTCGAGACGACTCCATAATCACCACCACCAGAATTCTGCCTGCACAGGTTCATCAACCATCTCCTCGTGGCTTGGAGCATTTTTCCAAGGTCTCCAAAGAGCCATATTTAGGACACACAAGAACAATCAACACAACAATTAAATCAACAAGTAAACTGAGTATTCAAAAGTCAAAAACACACAAACTAATAAAATCTATGAAAAAACAGACTAAAGAAAACACGTTTATTCACCGCTACGCGGCACTGGCCAAACTGTTTCAATTTTCAGTAGCCACCTGCACTTGTTCGGAGCTCTGAAATACACGCTTTCTCATTGGCTATGTCCACGCATAGGCGTGCTTTACTCCACGTGGACCGGTGAAACTGCCTTTGATCTTATACGGAGGGATATTTGCTGCGAAATTTGGCGATTTTTGCAGCAACAGAGCGTGTTAAATATAGATATATAAAACGCACCCGGTATTTCACAGTGTTTCAAGTGACTTCAGATAAAGTATACATTTATTGTGTTGTAGATCATAAAAGACATAAGACTCGTCCTAAGGGGGAGGTACATAGTACACTTAATTAAAAGTAAAATGAATACTATTGAAAAAGAGTTAGATACTATGTGTCAAACAGGAAGCAGTACGTAAGCTCCCTGCAGTACCTCTTGCCTATTTGCAGCGGGGTACTGCAGGGTTCATTACTTGGCCCTCAGCTATTTCTAATATACAGGGTGTTTCAGTTTATTGTTGCATAACTTTAAGATTCGATAGAACTTTTAAAATTAATGCATAAAGTCTATATGAACATGGGTCGAAAAATGCGTGGCTTCCGAAATACAGGGTGTTTAAATTTACTTTCTAAAATAGTTTTTTTTAAATATTTCGAACAATATTTGATGTATAACAGTAAAAATTGGTATACAAGGGTTTTTTGGTACGACAAAATGAACCATGGGCATAGTTTTACTGTAGCCGCTAGAGGGCGCTCTCTACTGTACCTGTAGTGCATTAAAATGACCGAAAAAATTTTCTTAGTGCAATTTTTTGCTTTTTGAATAAAAAAATGATTCCTCGCACTTTTCTGCATAAAAAAGCTCTCCTGTGAGTTTTCGTTATAGTTAGCCGTTTTTGAGATATTTCGATTTTTAAGGTTCGATGCATTTTTAATTATTTATGGGAAAATAATATTTTTTTTTACATTTTCGATTTGGGCATTACAAGTAATTAAGATGATCGTTTAGATTGTGTTTTTAAACACAGCAATAATTCCTAACTCCAAATAAACACAAAAAAAACAGAATATTAATTTGTTTAATTTTCCAATATTATTTTTAACAAATTAAATTAATTATTTACAACTAAAGTGCTATTGGATATTTAGGACAAACATACAAAATCTAAAGTAGTTGCGCGAAATGTAAACCCAATTGTTCAATACACAATTCACATCTACGAATGATCGAACGTGGGCATTATTCAAATAAGGCCTTATTTCATCACATGCATTCCTGATTCTGTCTATTAGCATATCTTTTGTGGTTACGGGAGTCTGGTACACTTTTTCTTTTAGAAATCCCCACACAAAGAAATCTAATGGATTTAGGTCAGGGGATCGTGGAGGCCAGGCGACTGGTCCTCCACGGCCGATCCATCTTTCTGGATAATTTTAGTCCAGCCAGTTTCTAACTATTCTCGAATAATGAGCTGGACAACCATCAAGCTGGAACCAGGCCAATCTTCTTAAATCTAACATAACATCATCCCACATATTTGCATGTTCAGCCTTTAAAAATTCCAAGAAGGTCGCAGCATTTAACCTTGCAGGCAAAAGGTAGGGTCCAAATAGTCGATTACGGTAGATACCAATCCATACGTTCACACTAAATTCATGCTGAAAATTTCTTTCCTGAACTGCATGCGGATTTTCATGCGACCAAATATGTTGATTAAGAAAATTTACCACTCCACATCTAGTAAAGCATGACTCATCGGTCCATAAAACGTTACTTAAAAGCTCCCTATTATTATCAGTTCTATCAAGAATCCACTGACAAAATGTGATTCTTCGTTCTCCGTCCCCTGGCTGTAGTCCTTGCACAGGTTGCAAATGGTAAGGACGTCTATGGTCATTTCTAAGAACACGGTGAACATGGCTTGCTGAAATTCCCAAGGCACCAGAAACTTTCCTAACACTTGTGGTCGGATCTCTATCAAACTCACGCAGAATCATACGGGCAAATCTTCGCATTTATGTTTTGATCCCTTTGGAGATTTCCAAAACCATTTTCAATTATTTGGCGATGCACTCTTACAAATACTGAGCGAGTTGGATGTCGTCTGTTTGGAAATCTTCGTGCGTATTTTCTGGCTGCTTCTGCTGCGTTTCCATTTAAAAAGCCATACACAAAATGAATATCCGCTAACTCTTGATTGGAGAATAAAAATGGCATTTTTATAAAACTTACAAAAAAAAACAAGTAAAAGAAACTAAATTTCGTGCATTCACAATTGCAAAAAAACGTTGCAGGTTTCAACAGACAACAAAACTAACTGTCAACTAATTGACGTTTAACCTTATTCTGCTTTCAATTTCAAAAATATTTGCAGGCACCCTACTTCTAAAAATTATCGATACTGACTTTTTAGAAAGTAAATTTAAACACCCTGTATTTCGGAAGCCACGCATTTTTCGGCCCATGTTTATATAGACTTTATGCATAAATTTTAAAAGTGCTATCGAATATTAAAGTTATGCAACAATAAACTGAAACACCCTGTATATCAATGTCCTATTTGCTAATGATACCAGCTTGCTAGACCTGATCAAAACATGGGTGTGGATAGTAGGGTGTCCCAAAAAAATTAAATACATTTCTTCAAAGGCTAATTTGGCTTGATCAATGTCAAAACAATTGCAAATAGAGTTTTGTGTACCTAGAACCACGGCTAACCGTGCCGAGTTGGGTTTTAACGTGTCAACACTTTAATATTAGGCGCGAGCTAGCTAACATTTTGCAGGGCTCGTTTGTTCTATCAGTAAACGCACTGTCTTCGTTCAGACAAGTCGAAGGAACAACGCAGTTCTGAAAAGGGGATATTTTTCATAGGGGATGCAAAGCATCCGATTCACGGTTCGAAACTTCCTTCTGGTCGACAAGTACTATACTACAACTATTTAAAACTGTAATGACATACGCGTGATCAACACGTGATCAGAGCTCGATCCCGGCTTCCTTCCAGTACAGCCGTATAGCGTACGACATATGTCGTTTCTGTGGCTTTGCGGTGGTCAACAGCACAGACAGAGATGGAAATAATGGCTGATTGTTCTCCGCCGGTAGAACCAATGAAATCAAAGACGCGCCTCGACCGGCAGACTCATAGGCGTCGGCAACGCATTGGAACGTGTTTCGTTGAGCGATCGCATATTGTGTGTTTTTATAAGAATTGTTGTGTGATTGTTATTGTTGTGGTTTCTGTGGTTACTGTTTTGGTTATACTTAACCATTTTGATTGATAGAGAGACCTGAAATAGTCGCCTGGCGTTGAAAATACCTACGCGAAATGATTGAAGATAGGCGACAAAGCAGAAAAATCTATTATTTGGACGAGACATGGGTAAATGCAGGTCACACAGTTAAAAAAACCTGGATAGAGAAAAACGTAGTGAGTAACCGACAAGCAAGCATTGAAGGTTTGTCAACAGGTCTTCGTGGACCGTCAGAAAAAGGTCAAAGATTGATCGTAACTCATAATGGTAGCGATAGTGGCTTTTTAAAAGAGTGTGACTTGATTTTCGTCTCTAAGAAAGGAGGTGATTACCATGACGAAATGAATGCCAGCTGCTTCGAGAGCTGGTTTCAAGAGGTGCTTCAGCGAGTTGATCCCAACTCTGTGATCGTCATGGATAATGCTTCCTACCATAGTCGTCGAGCCGAACGTGTACCGACATTAGTTACGTGACTGATGAGATGGCCCGTCAATGTGGTGTCACTGTGCTGCGGTTACCGCCCTACCACTGTAAACTGAACCCAATAGAGCTCATCTGGGCACAAGTGAAGGGTTATATTGCGCGCCATAACACAACCTTCAAATTACCAGACGTTAAGGTTTTACTTGAGACTTCCATACAGCTAGTAACGCCCGAAGCTTAGCAGAATGCTATCCGTCATGTTGTGGAGGAAGAAACAAAAATGTGGCAGCTTGACCACCACATCGACACCATCATAGAGCCAGTTATAGTCAATTTCAACGAGGAAAGCGATAGCGACAGTTTATTACTGTCAGATGTAAGTGGAAGCGACGATGAATAAAGGTAATTCCCAAATTTTTGACTTACAATATTTTTCAAACCACTCTTTATTAAGCATGTGACAAATCTAGTTCACCCATGTTAAACATTCATACCCCGCCTATGAACAGCCGACTACTGGTAGTTAAGTGATGTTCACGTGATCGATGAGTCATTACAGTTTTAGATAGTTATAGTATAACAGTTTTGTTCTATAACATCCGGAAAGTGCAATTAAGTGTCAATGAGAGCGAAGACCTTACTATTCGTGAGTGAATTATTTACTGGAAAAGGCACGTATACGGACTAAATCTCTTCCTAACTGTGTTAAGAGTTTGGAGAGATTTACAAAAAAATGCAAGTAAAACACAAGAAGTGTTTGAGCAACGTCGACAAGAGTTTGTTACGAGCTTGGACAACCAGTAAGGACTATGAAGAAAAATAGTACGTATAAATTAATACAGCTTTGTTGTAAGTATATAAGGGGCGGAACATTGGGATCAACCTCCGTACAATCCTTACCTGATTTTATCCTTGTCATATCTTTCTTTGGAACAAACAGCATTGAAGGCCCTCGCGATGGTAACCATTTCATGCTCCGTAAAGTCTTCGCCCATAATACGACACAACTTTGCCCGCAACTTGTCGTACGAGATCTGCGGAGTTTCTTCGGGTAGATTTTCTTTAATGAAGTCTTTGTAGATCGGCCGCAGTTTCTCGCGTACCTTGTCCATTATTTTCTTAATATCAGATTGAGGAAACTGAAATCACATAGCCCATTTTTTATACGTAAGCAGCCGGGAAGGCAAAAACTTGTACATGCGAGGATTCTCTCAAAAATAGGATTCCGAACGCGGGATGCTAGGCGAAATCTGGCAACACCGTCGTGTTTGGTGGTTCCCCCACTACCGATCCAAGCAAGAAGCGCCTGTTTGCGATGCTCAGTACCAGCCCACCAGCCATGCGCAATGGAGCTTTTCGTCGCCGTCACCGCCAGGTGCGAAATTCGTAAGGTCATCCGATTTTTGTACGCGAAAACGTAATATACTAAGTGACATATAAATCCGAACACCCAGTTTAAATGGTTTTATTTTAATAAAAGTTGGTGAATGTATTTATCTTACTGTAAATAACAAGAGAAAAAATTTTCAGCCTTATCGGTTGGACATTCCGGTTTTTATACTGCTTTTTTTTAATTCACTAACGCTCTAAAAATGAATATTTCAGCCGGAGTAAAGAATTAACGTTGGCGGATTTTGGTTCTTGACATCCTTTACGATCGGTTACGATGCCTAGAGTACGGAGACCTGTACGATTTCGTCAACTTAGTGAGTTTGATAGGGGCCGTATAGTGGGACTTCGGGAAGCTGGACTTTCTTTTCGGGCAATTGCAGTTAGAGTGTAAAGAAGTGTAGACACTGTGGTTAGGTGTTGTCAGGCATGGCTTCGAGAAGGCCGTACGCAAAGAGCAAGGGGCACTGGACGCCGCCGTAGAACAACAGACCGTGAAGATCGCCGCCTAAGATTATTGGCCTTAAGGGACCGTTTCTCCACTACCAGGTCCATTGCAAATGAATGGTTTGCAGAACACGGAAGACCTATTGGCATGCGAAGTGTTTACCGACGAATGAGTAGTTTTGGCTTGTTTTCCTACCGACCACACTGGGTCCTCCCTTTAACTCGAGAACACCGACGTAATCGCCTTGAGTGGTGCAGGCACCGGTCACTCTGGGATCAGGAATGGAACAGTATTGTCTTTAGTGACGAGTCTTGATTTTGTTTAGGCATGCACGATGGTCGCGCCAGGGTTAGAAGGCGACGTGGTGAAAGGAGGAATATACAGTTTTTTGTTGAAAGACATGTTCATCACACTGTTGGAGTTATGATTTGGGGTGCTATAGCTTATGGTTCCAGGTCACCTTTAATCTTCATCAGAGGTAACATGAACGCGCAGCGTTATATCCACGAAGTTCTAGAACCCCATCTTTTACCCTATCTTGACACCCTGGCAGATCCAACTTTCGAACAAGATAATGCCCGACCACATGTTGCAAGAGTCACAATAGACTTCTTTCAACATAATGATGTCACATTGTTACCATGGCCACCAAGATCTCCCGACTTATCCCCAATTGAGCACGTGTGGGATATGATGGGTAGGAGATTGCTCAATTTGCAACGTCCTCCTCAGACTCTAGAAGCACTTCGAGAGGAGTTGGTGGTTGCCTGGAATGAGATACCACAGGAGGACATTGACCACCTGATCAGAAGCATGCCTAGGCGCGTTGGAGAATGCGTAGCACATCAGGGTGCATCCACACATTAATAAAGGTCAAACGGCTTTAAAGCAGTGCGATCATTTTGAAATTTTTATCATTTACTTATTATGCTTCATTAAGTACTTATACAAAATTTTATTAAAATAAAACCATTTAAATTGGGTGTTCGGATTTATATGTCACTTAGTATATAATTACAATTTTATATTGCCATCCTCAAAATAACTTCCAATGCTCAAGACGGATCTTCCACTCCTCATAACACTACAGTTTAAATGTTTTTGACTATCCCACAATGAGTTACCATGAGGTGATATTTCAATTTCAGGAAGGGAAAAAAGTCACAAGGACTCAAGTCAGGCGGATAAGCAGGCTGAGGAGCCACAGGAACGTTCAAAAACTCGTTTATTGACATTGCTGTGTGAGAGACGTTAATTTGGAAACAATTTTGGAAAAGATATCACGAGTATTCGCAACATACCATATTGCAATTGAGCTCCATAAACCTGAGCGCATACTCGTCAGCATCAGTGAGAACAAACTCGAATCCGTTTATGATTAGTGTGGCCCCGATGAACATGTGTTGAGCAGTATAGCATTCTGGAGGCTTGCTGGTGAACATCTTTTGTCCGGGAAGTTTCACCTTCTCTCTTGCGAGAAACATCGACGACTTGAAGCCTAAAAATTTAATCTAACTCACAAAATGTTGATTAGCCATTCACTTTTATCCGCTAGTTATTGAAAAGGCTACTGATTCAAAAGGCAACTTCAGAAAGTATCTAAGAAAGTTCAGTTTATACTAACTTCTATTTGACTACATTGAAGAATGTGGCTGGTATTAATGTAATACTGTCACTAGAAGATAACCCTTTTTGCTAAAATCAATATTTAACCATGATTTTTAATGTTATCACCCGTTAGTTATAAGCATATATTGTTTTTGTTTGATTCACACTTCGCTTGTCCTGAGTGTATTTCGATACCATATTGTTGTCAAATGGAAATTATACTCTATTCTACTGTATTCTATTTTATTTGATTCGATTCTATGCTATGCTGTTCTATCCTATTCTGTGTTATTCTATGCTATTCTGGTCCATTCTATTTTATTCTAGCCTATTCTATTCCTTTCTGTTCTATTCTATTCTGTTCCAATTTATTCCTTTCTATTCCATTCTATTCCAATGTATTCCATTCTATTGCATACTATTCTATTGTATTCCATTCTATTCCATTCTATTCCATTCTATTCCATTCTATTCCATTCCATTCCATTCCGTTCCATTCCGTTCCATTCTATTCCATTCTATTCCATTCTATTCCATTCTATTCCATTCTATTCCATTCTATTCCATTCTATTCCATTCTATTCCATTCTATTCCATTCTATTCCATTCTATTCCATTCTATTCCATTCTATTCCATTCTATTCCATTCTATTCCATTCTATTCCATTCTATTCCATTCTATTCCATTCTATTCCATTCTATTCCATTCTATTCCATTCTATTCCATTCTATTCCATTCTATTCCATTCAATTCCATTCTATTCCATTCTATTCCATTCTATTCCATTCTATTCCATTCTATTCCATTCTATTCCATTCTATTCCATCCTATTCCATTCTATTCTATTCTATTGCATACTATTCCATTCTATTCCATTCTATTCCGTTACATTCCTATCCAATCCACTACATTCCATTCTATTCCATTCTATTCTATTCTATTGGATTCTATTGCATACTATTCCATTCTATTCCATTCTCTTCCATTCTATTCCATCCTATTCCATTCTATTCCATTCTATTCCAATCTATTCCATTCTATTCCATTCTATTCCATTCTATTCCATTCTATTTCATTCTATTCCATTCAATTCCATTCTATTCCATTCCGTTCAATTCCATTCCATTCTATTACATTCCATTCTATTCTATTCTGTTCTATTCCGTTACATTCCATTCCATTCCACTCCATTCCATTCTATTCCATTCTATTCTATTCTATTGGATTCTATTGCATACTATTCCATTCTATTCCATTCTCTTCCATTCTATTCCATCCTATTCCATTCTATTCCATTCTATTCCATTCTATTCCATTCTATTCCAATCTATTCCATTCTATTCCATTCTATTCCATTCAATTCCATTCTATTCCATTCCGTTCAATTCCATTCCATTCTATTACATTCCATTCTATTCTATTCTGTTCTATTCCGTTACATTCCATTCCATTCCACTCCATTCCATTCTATTCCATTCTATTTTATTGTGATTGTCTTTTCCATACCATTATATTCTGTTTTATTCTACTCTGTACATTTAGCTTAGCCACAATTTTCAGACGATAAAATTTTTAGAACAATTTGTGCAGAATATTGAAATGGCGTCAAGTAGGTGGTCGCGTTAATTTCCCACTTAACGCTGGCATCAGTTCATGAAAGATTATGTTCGGGATGAGTTAGCCCTCTTAGAAAAAAGTATAACAATGACATTTGATGGACCAAGTCAGTCAAGTCTCAAAAAACCAAGATTTGAAATTTGTTTGAAAAAATTGTTTCAAGGATTAGGTCCTGGTGACATGGAGTGATATAAATGGGCCCAGATTAAGTACCTATTTAATAGATAATCTCATATACCTGAATTACCCCTGCCAACTTCATAAACGGATATAGTATCCTCAGCTAGATAATAACTGATTATAAATATTCTATCGCAATTCTCGGGGATCTTCGACTTCAGTCTGGCTTGGAATCGCAGTATGTGGCTGTCCAGACCGTTCCTGTACAGAAGAAGGTCATTGAGAGTATGCGAGTATCAAAAGCGGGCAAACAATCTCAGCAGCAGTCAATTTTCACCTAAATGAAACGTTCAGAACGGTCCAGTAAACGTAGCGGGGTCATTTCCGATTCTATAGGCTGAGATCAGTTATCATAGAGGCAACTCAGCTTTCGTTATTTTTAATAATCTAAAATTCGTGTTCAGTATGTTCAGCTCGGTATTTATTTTAAGAGTGAAAAAGTTTACTTTTTGATCTTTGTAAAATAATACAAACTTAATGAAAAGAAAATATTTATTTCTATCAACATATTCGTAAATTTCTTGAATATCATTCAAATATCCGTCAAATACTTCGTTATAAAAAACAAGCCCTTTGATAAGGAGAGGATCAGAGGACACTGCCGCATTCATAAACGTCACTATCCATACAAAGCTGTTACAGACAAAATAGGAATAAATATAAAACTATTTTTCTTATTTGATAATACAGCATCATTTTGCCTCAGGTCAAACCGCATTTCGTTAAAAAGAGGTAGTGCTAGGTAATCCCAGTTCTAGCGTCAACCAGATCACATCAGGCGTACCTCAGGGATCGGTGTTAGGTCCAGTTCTGATTCTTGTTTACACCAGCGATTTCTTCAGGTCTTCCTAGTCTTCTGAAGCACATACCCATGCTGATGGAATTCAACTCTACTATGCCTTTAAGCGAACTGAACTAGTACCATTAAAATGTACTCCGAATTAGACATCAGGATCAGAATAATTGTCTGAGGCTTAATGCTAATAAACGTGTGGCTACTTCATTTGCTCAAACAACTCACAGAAATAATGTTAAACGAAACCTGAAAGCAGCCATCAGTGGTTCTCCTATAGAAGTTCAAGATGAAGTTAAGAACTTGAGAATAATGTTTGAGCCTGATATGAGGTTTAAGAGCCAAGTCAGTACGAACTGTTACTGAGTTCAATTTGAGGTTTTCAAGGTTATTACGTAAAAAACCTTGTCGATTAAGTAGACTAGTGTGCAAACAGTTCATTCCGTGCTTGCTACAAATTCCCGTGAAACGAACACAGGCTAGTTCCAAGTTGATGTCCTACATAATGACAAAAAGGCGACGTAATGTCAAAACAATCCGTCAATGTCACTTTTCAAATTACGTAATGCCCTTGCTGGTCTGGTTTACAAAACAAATGACTATCTCATAATTTCAAGGCCGGTCTACAAAATTTTGTTGCTTCTAATTAAATATATTTTCCTCAAGGGATCCTCGAGAATTGCTTAGCATTATTCAGTATAACGTGTAATTAATATTAAAAAGCATTTTTTATAAATTAGTAGTCTTCTGGTATGATATTTAAGATTTGGCCGCCTCAGAGATAATTTGCCTCCCCACGCTCTTGAAAAAGTTTCCCACGGTCCCCCCTCTTCTTTCGCATTGGATTGTACTGGTCCTCCCGGGAAAAATTCCTGCGGGCGCCCATGGTAATTGGCTGGACGGTTATCAAATACGAATAATAATAAAAAACTCTACATTCATACTTTTTAAGTACATATAATCACATAAGGAATTTATAATACGATGCCGAAGTTGTTGAAGAAGTACCTGTCATACATGAGGAATTTCTTGAAATCCCTATGAGGGGCTTTCGGTTCTACCGTGATGCAGTTCTGCGCGGAATCCTCGTGAGTGCCAAAACCGTTCCACGGCGGTAGCTCTCTATTCCTCGGTGGTGGAATCACTTTCACTTCTCGTTTAGAGCCAGGTAGCGGAAGGGGGTTGAACTCGCTGATACCTGTAAGACGCGAACAGGAATTCTAAGCAATCTTTAGGATGATCTTTCCCAAAAACACTAGCCATCAAATCGCATTACAGCCCAGTAAATGATCACTTTTGACCTAACAAAATTCTACAGGGTGTAAACGTTATGAGAGTCACTATTAAATGGGTGACAGAGGGTGTTGAAAGAAGCAACAAGTTTCAAATAACATGAGGGTCAAAACGGCATTTTTTTAGAGAAAGTAAAATAAAATCTGACAACGCCGCAATGTCAGACGCGAATTACGACGGAACGCAGTGTAAATAAAGATGGAGTTTGTTATTTTTGGATCTTAGGTATTATTTCATTATTTGATAATGTACTCGTAAAATGCAAACAATTAAAAAAACGGACTTACCAATAAGTGTATATAACTTGCATTTTCTTTATTTGCCTTCTTCTCAAACTCTATTATTATGCATGTTATTTGAGATATTAATAACTGCCATATGCTGTGCATAAATTGACCATACTTTTTTATTTCCTTATAAATTTGATGTCGAAATAAGGTACCTCAAATTGAAATTTTGACTACGCCATCTTTTAGAGAAGAAAATGTGGCAACAACAACATGCAACTTATTTTGAGATCCCATCTCAAATAGTGTTAGGAAAAAATAAAAACGATATGGCGATAAATCTGGTATACGGAACAAACGACTATCTGATAATTTTATGGCCTACCTGAGAAATTCTGATTTTTGAAATAATTGAGGTTTGGCAATGTCAACGTATGACATATTATACGTTTTTGGAATCAGAATATGGCGCCCTTCAGAAAAGATAAAGTTGATGCTGGAGGACAATAGACAATGGTGAGGGACAAATTCGAAACACCCGGTATATGATATTTACAGTGCCGTAACAAAAAAATCGAAAGTCAGAGTCTTCAAATGTCTCAGCTTTTTCGCAGAAGAGGAATAGTATATTACACGCGTTGAAATTTTCATTTCTATGTGCACTTACCATATTTTGCTGAGTAATAGTCCCTGGTATACTGGTCGCAGTCAATGAGGATAATTCTTCTATTGTAACAATTGAGAACGGCTCCTATACTGAGATCCTTATCTGTATAGTAGTCAACCTGAAATATTATAAAATTGACGGACGCCAACCAAGATAGTAAATCTAATCTGATGGGTAGAAACCACGAAGGAAGATCAACAATTCTATTATAATAATATTAATAATAATATTTATTACCCTCATTAAACAGTATATAAAAGTTTACAAACAAAAAGCCTTAAGAGAATAAAGGGCTACATCAGCTTGCCCCTTAAAGAAACAGCTGCTAGAGCCAAAAAAAGAACAAACAAATTTAAAAAATTCAATAAGAAGGAGGAGGAGGAGGAGGAGGAGAAAAAAAGAAGAAGAAAAGGAAGACGAATAATAAATTACTCCTAAGCTCACCTTCTCCTTTCCACAGTTCAGCGGATCAACAATATACCTACGGCTGGTGAGTGCTGAACCAAGCACATTGAGAATTGTGTAATCGGTGTCAGCTCCAGGAGTTGGTAGTTCCTTATAGACTTTGGGCAGCTTGCCGCGTCTCAGGAAAATGAAACCGGGCTCACCCCCAGATTCCGATTGGAGTTCCTTGATTTCTATGGTATCGTCAGCTAGGTAGTATCTGATTTCTAAGTTGTGTATGTAACCATATTCGGTGTCGTGGTCATCCCAGTAGGCCAGGAAGTGAAGTACCTGTGGTTTTTATATAGTTTTGATATAACGATATAATGATTAAAAAGCATCTTTATTGGTTTTCATAGACAAAGAAATTACAATATCAAAAATACAATACCACTGGTGAAGACTAGCTATCAGCTATTCTACTTAACCACTGGAGACCAAATAAATACACAATTAAACTAGAACTAAACCAAAGAGTCGATGAAGCAAGAAAATATATGGTGAATGAAGTTTTTCAAGAAGAGTTCAGCAATGTTGGCATTCACAAAGAAACATACATGTAGTGAGATGATGCTTTGAACTTCTTACTACCCAACATTTTAAAAAATGAGTCGAAATAATTTAGACATCGTAACTATAACTACGTATAAACAATAATAATGAAATAAAAACAAATTGAATTTAAAAAGTACTATCATTGATCCTGCTGCATATCAAACAAATAACGTCCTGATCGCATTATAAATAAACCATCTTTGGAACATGGCCTGTACCCAGGAGTTGTATAATTCAATTTTGATCTAACATTTAGATTCACCCTGTGTAGTCATACTTCGTTACCTTTTTATCGTTCGCCAAGAACTTTCCAAGTGTATCCACCGCCCTATTCGGCCTTCTGGGTTGCATTGCATCTCTTTCATGCGCCCTTATAATCAAGTAAGGATCTGTCGGTGCAACTATTGGGTCGGGAACAGCTATTCCGCACCTAGTAATTTAATCTGTCACTACTGGTACATTTAAGAACATAAAATTTCGTTATGTACATGTGGTGTTACTTAAAACGATAGACCGTTATTAGAAGGGCGTATTTCTGAACCAAATTCAAGGAGGGTCGTAAAAATCCCTTTATTTCAAAAAAATGCTTACCTATTCAAAAAAGTTCGAGTGAATTTGTCACAGTTGGTAATTTTGAATACACGTCCATAAAATTCGATTTCTCTTCCAACGTTAAAGTCAATAATATCGTAGAAATTTGCATCCATTGGTGCAGGCAGGCGAATACGTTGACGACAAATCAACGTACCTGAAAAAATGATGCTTTAATATACAGGCTGTGGACAAAGGTACGGGACCATCTCGATACCTCTACAATGTAAAATTTTCAAAGATTTTTCATCAGGTATCGGACAGTGACCTTGGATTTTACCTTGACCTCTACCTTGAAGGTTATTTTAAGGTCAACTTCGAAATTTTAAATGGAAACCCCTACTTTTGATCTCGGCATAAGCATAAAATTTTACGTTCACAGATGACCTTGATTTGACAGAAGGACAAACTTACACTAGGGCTCGATAACATCTCGGGAATGCGGAATGCATTTCAGGAAAAATGTTTTAAGCAAAAGTTGTGAGATGTGACCTTTATCTTGACCTTAAAGCCCATTCGAAGGTCTACTTCAACATTCCAAATATAAACTGCTACTTTTGATCGCAGCAGTGAAACGAGAAGAACATTTTTCGTTCAGCAATAAACTTGAATCACCCACATATTTCACCTTAAGTGATCTGTCAAGGTCAAATTGCGACTAGGACTCGATAACTCTTCGAAAATACATTTTAGGGGAAAGTGATTTGTATAGAAGTGGTAGGATTCAAGGTCATTTTGAGGTCTTCAAAATTTTAAATGTAAACCTCCACGTTTAACCCCGGCTTTTATTTGAATCATTTTCCCCTAAAATGGATTCCAAAAGAGTTATCAAACCCTAGAGGTTGTTTGATCTCATCAAGGTCAGATATGGTCGTAATTCAAAGTCTTATCTAAACGAGGAATCTACCGTTCGTTTCATTGCTAGGATCAAAAGTAGAGGCTTATATCTAAAATTTTAAAGTCGGCCTACAAATGACCTTCAAGATCAAGGTTAATATGACATTTAAGGTCACCGTCCGGTAGCTAAGGTAAAATCCTACAACTTTTATTTGAAGCATGTTATCGAACCGTTTAGGTACTTTTCTACTGTACGTATTAGGCTCGTTAAAGTCGCAATTCTATGATCATGGTGGCTGGCATATAGTTGTCATAGTTATAGTTATTAAATAAGAATAACCCATTATTTTTAGAAACTAAATCATGTTATACGACTCAATAGAAAAAAATTGACACTCCTTTTTTATAATATTTTGCTATCTGAATGTCGATAGACTGGCTGATCGTTACCTCACGCCTCACAGCCGAAACGTCATTAACGTTGTGTGTGATGTAATTCAAAATTCTGGCCAACTCGATAATAATGAATGAAGTTATTGATAATAACAGATTATCACTTTTGGTAAATACTTAAATGATTTCTTATATTTGTTGGAAAAATTACCTTGAGCAATACCGCTGTTCTCCACTTTAGGTTCAACAACCTGTATTGTGCCATCTTCAAGGAAATAGTATATTTTCACTTTTCTTATTTGAAACGGAGAACCCTTAACTTCTTCTAAGGATTCTTGAAAGAACGCGTCGAAAGTGAGAATCTAAAATTTGAAGGAAGTCTGTCATAGTCAAATACCAAAGGACCCAGCATAAACCTCATAGGGCTTTCCACTATTTTTTTTTAATTTAATATGTTGTAGATCTCAATATGTAGAAAACAGTGACTATGGGCCCAATTTTTATCCACGATTAGTTTCCGAGATACTGGGACAAGTTGGGTAATTCATTTCTGCAAATACCTTAAACAAAAATAAAGTATACTAAGTGACATATCAATCCGAACACCCAGTTTAAATGGCTTTATTTTAATAAAATTTTGTATAAGTACTTAATGAAGCATAATAAGTAAATGATAAAAATTTCAAAATGATTGCACTGCTTTAAAGCCCTTTGACCTTTAATAATGTGTGGATGCACCCTGATGTGCTACGCATTCTCCAACGCGCCTAGGCATGCTTCTGATCAGGTGGTCAATGTCCTCGTGTGGTATCTCATTCCAGGCAACCACCAACTCCTCTCGAAGTGCTTCTAGAGTCTGAGGAGGACGTTGCAAATTGAGCAATCTCCTACCCATCATATCCCACACGTGCTCAATTGGGGATAAGTCGGGAGATCTTGGTGGCCATGGTAACAATGTGACATCATTATGTTGAAAGAAGTCTATTGTGATTCTCGCAACATGTGGTCGGGCATTATCTTGTTGGAAAGTTGGATCTACCAGGGTGTCAAGATAGGGTAAAAGATGGGGTTCTAGAACTTCGTGGATATAACGCTGCGCGTTCATGTTACCTCTGATGAAGATTAAAGGTGACCTGGAACCATAAGCTATAGCACCCCAAACCATAACTCCAACAGTGTGGTGAACATGTCTTTCAACAAAAAACTGTGGATTCCTCCTTTCACCACGTCGCCTTCTAACCCTGGCACGACCATCGTGCATGCCTAAACAAAATCGAGACTCGTCACTAAAGACAATACTGTTCCATTCCTGATCCCAGAGTGACCGTTGTCTGCACCACTCAAGGCGATTACGTCGGTATTCTCGAGTTAAAGGGAGGACCCAGTGTGGCCGGTATGAAAACAAGCCAAAACTTCTCATTCGTCGGTAAACACTTCGCATGCCAATAGGTCTTCCGTGTTCTGCAAACCATTCATTTGCAATGGACCTGGTAGTGGAGAAACGGTCCCTTAAGGCCAATAATCTTAAGCGGCAATCTTCACGGTCTGTTGCTCTACGGCGGCGTTCAGTGCCCCTTGCTCTTTGCGTACGGCCTTCTCGAAGCCATGCCTGACAACACCTAACCACAGTGTCTACACTTCTTTGCACTCTAACTGCAATTGCCCGAGAAAGTCCAGCTTCCCGAAGTCCCACTATACGGCCCCTATAAAGCTCACTAAGTTGACGAAATCGTACAGGTCTCCGTACTCTAGGCATCGTAATTCTATTGTAAAGGATGTCAAGAACCAAAATCCGCCAATGTTGATTCTTTACTGCGGCTGAAATATTCATTTTTAGAGCGTTAGTGAATTAAAAAAAAAACAGTATAAAAACCGGAATGTCCAACTGATAAGGCTGAAAATTTTTTCACTTGTTATTTACAGTAAGATAAATACATTCACCAACTTTTATTAAAATAAAGCCATTTAAACTGGGTGTTCGGATTTATATGTCACTTAGTATATTTTAAGAAAACTATTGGATCTCACGACCAAAAGCTTCGCAAATTAATGTATAGCAAATAATGACGTCAAGTAGATTGGCTACATACCTCCTACGCCTTCGTTGGAGTGCCTGCCATCTTGTAGAGTAGAAAAAGTGGCATAGTTAACATGCAATTTATTTTGAAATCCCAGTACAAATAAAAGCAGGGAAAATTAAAACGATTTTGGAAAAATTCGGTTATTTCCGTCTCTCTTCGGAAGCACATTGAATTTCTAAACTTTCTAAGCGGCATTTTGTTGATTATCAACTTTGAACCAATTTAAGCGACTCCGTATCTCTAGTTTCCGAGATTAGAATGGTGAGAGTCGAATTAGTAACACCCTCTATAGCAAGTCCTTTCTCATTTCGGTTACTTACTTTCTTATCGAATACAATCCATCCAGGTAACTCGACGCATTCTCCTCTAGGGTAAATTGATGGGTACTTATCTGAGAGTGGACCAAACATGTTTGGTTTTACCTTCTCCACCAGGGCGCGGTTACCTTTACCGATGAAATCGAATTTTGGATCCATATTAAATTTCGTACGTCCAATCTACAATAAAAAATGTTTGTGAGCTGACTTTACAGAAAAAAGTACAAACAAACAGGAAACCGAGAGAAGCAAGCTTGTGTGTGGGCGTGTACAATTCACAAGAAACATAGTTTGCCATGGATTCAATATAGATATAGACAAGGTGTATTTTTTTAGTTTCCAGTACAGAAGCTTCCCCATAAGAAAGGGATAGGTAATCTTTTTATCTACAAAGTATATGTTATTGCCACCACTTCGCATGCCAGCTAAGTTAACGACTTTCAAATACAGATAGCAATAACCCCTTTGCTGCTCTAGAGCAGTAAGGTGAAAAATCGCCTGCCACTGATGGAACGTTTTTCCTCGTGTTGCCAGAATTGCACATGTCGTCATCATAACTTTATACAAGCTGGCCCAACGGACGTACCCCCATTTGTGACTCTCCTGGTATATTAACTTAACCTTTGGCTTTCATTTCCAATTGTTTAATTTTCTTTCAGGATGTTGTGAGTGTACCTCGCGAAGCAAATGTGGACTCGAGTCACTCCAATATCGAAAAGTATAGTCAACGCCAAACAAAGTGGCGTGCACGTCATCACGATAAAAATTCCCCGACCTAATGCCTAGGTTTCTATCACAAACAATTGCTCTATTGCAGTTTCATATTAATGTGATATATAAATTGTAAAATGGTCATTACTCTCTTATTATGGTTAATAGTCATATAAACATTGTTATTAAAATATCACATAAGTTGCTTTCTGATAAATTTAGACGCATTATGCGAAATAAAATGTTTTGCAAACGCTCCAATCACTTATCGACATGTAAACGCACTAAACCGATTTCGCAGCGTTGACACATTGTCACCTTGAAACTTATTTAAACTGGGAACTGACATTTGTATTAATTTTGACACTGAATCAATTTGTGGCATTTCAAATCTTTATAAATCCTTTGGCCCCGCATACTGTAAATCAACAACTGTTTGTTTCAAAACAAAATTATTCATTTTACGAGTAGATAAAGGCAATTTTGGTATATAAAGATGCCCAAACAGTTAAATAGTCCGTGTAAGGAACTCGTGGCCTCGTTAATGCACTACTTTGAGCAAGAAAGGGACAACAACGGGCCTTTGTTGCCTTTAAATGCTGTTCAAGAGGTAGGTTACTAATAATTATATGTAATGTATATTAATAATAGTGAAATTTTATTTCAATTTTTGGAGCGTGTTGCTGCTGCTTTAAAAATTAGTTTAAGGACAGTTAGTCGTATTTCCGAGGGTGTGAAAAGTGATGCAAATTTAGAATCGCCCAAGAAAAAGCGGAGTTATATTAAACGTGTAACCAACACAGCGACATTGGATACAAGTGCCATTCGAGAAGTGATCTATAATATGTATCACAAAAGTAAAATCTTATTATAATAACTTATCAGAAATTTGCATTAATTTGTTAACTAAATTATAATGTCATATTACACATGGTTTCAGAAGAACAAGTTACGATACAAACTTTATGGTCTCGATTAAGAGATAGGGCATTATTTGATGGTAGTGCCACGTCTTTAAGGCGGTTGCTTAGAGATCTTGGATTTAAGTGGCTTAAGGACAATCCGCGACGAGGGCTCATGGAACTACCAAGTATAGCTTTGAAAAGGGTGGAATTTCTAAGGCAATACAATCAAGCCAAGGTTGAGGCCTTATACCAGTTTGTCTTCCTCGATGAAACTTGGATATTTCAAAATGGGACCTTAGATCGCTCTTGGCAAAATGGAAACCAAAAAAGCGTGAAAGCTATTAAAACAGATGGTAAAAGGTATGTACTTTTACACAATTTGCACTATAAAATTTAAAACTAATATATTTTAGATACATTATATTACATGCTGGAAATGAAAATGGGTTTATTGAGGGTAGTGAAGCGATATTTTCTTCGAAAACAAAATTGAGCGATTACCATGGAGAGATGAACCAGGACAATTTTTTGAAATGGTTTCAACATCAGTTATTAGAAAAATTGGAGAGTCCATCTATGATTATACTGGATAACGCCCCTTATCACAGCATGATATTGAACAAAGTGCCCAACAATGCATGGACAAAAAAAAATATCCAAGACTGGTTGACAAATCAAAACATACCATTTTTAAACACAATGTTTAAAACAGAGCTATTGAGTATTGTTGCTCGGTACATAATGCTTCTTAATTATATATATTTTGGTCGACAGTTTATATTTCTTTTGTTTATTCCTATTCTTAAAATAACTGCTTTTTTAGAAACAAACCACCTAAAATATACGTGATTGATGAATTGGCGGAACAACATGGGCACAAAGTTCTTCGTCTGCCTCCTTACCATTGTATATTTAACCCTATTGAGTTAATTTGGGGCATAGCAAAAGGTTACTACATACAGACATATTGGTAGAGATGGTAACAGTGAAAAAGACTGTTTGGATATGTGGAACGAGGCTCTACAAACGGTTACCCCAGACATGTGGAAAAATAGTGTTCGACATACTGAGCAAGAAATTTTTAAATGGTATGAAAGAGAACGAATTTTTGATCGACCAGACATCGAACCTTTAATAATCAACTCTGAGAGTGATGAAGATTCAGATTCAGACAGCGCTGAAGAAAGAAACTCCTACTAACTTTATTGTACAGAAAAAGCTTACACCAGTAGCTTACCTAATTTTAGAATGCATTTTTCTGTATGAATTCTGTAAAATAAATACCATGCATAAAATTTGGAGGACCCCATTTGGATTTTTATTCAGTACCTTTAAGCTATCAATTAAATATGGTAGTTTCATAGTGTCATCTGATCAATAATTGTCATACTTAATGATTATGCAAGTACAGATCTATAATTTTATTATACTATTATTTTTGTTCTCATTTGAGGTTAATATTGCTTATAAACCTAGATATGTAAATAATAAATTTTATTATTTTACAAAAAGTTTGGCAACAATGTAAATTTTTCAACACACCCACCTTGATGACGTGCACGCCACTTTGTTTGGCGTTGACTATATGTCTATGAAAGTAGAACGAACACTCATCCGAGAAACAAATATTAAATAACAGCTTTGTAAACTGATGTCTTGATTAATTAATTAATTAAGATGGAATAATAGTCTAGTCGACATAGTTATAAATTAGTTGCCAGTCTTGGAAAAAATTAGGGTAAGATTAAATTAGACTTTGAACAGTAAGAAATGTGTTTTTATTACAATATAAATAAAAATTCTATTTAGATTTGAAAATGCGCGCAAAATTGAATTATAGTTTGCAGTACATTAACAAAGTTTACCAAGGTGACTGGAACGTTAGTAGTTAGATGCTTTTATTTCACGTTTTTAATTATATCCGCCGATAAAACATGGAGTTTGTCTACTATCTATTGCAGTATTTCAAACGCAATAATCAAGATCTGTAGTTCTATTCAGCATCCGTAACCATCAAGAATAAATGAACTTCACTAGTCTTCTTTTTAGTACTTCCGGCTCATATAATAGTAATGTTCTCAAAAAGAAACTTACATTTGGATTAAAAGTATACCCAGGTAAAAATGGGAGATCAGGGCACCTAACGCTCATCTTGCAGGATCTTCTTCGGCAATCTTCAGCAAATAAGAAATATCAGTTTTGTAAAATAAACTGACAACGTCACTGAAATAAACCCAATTGACACAAACTTTCCGGTGGTTACCGAGATTTGTCAATATAACAGCGTTGTTATGGTTACTTCGCAACAGGTGTGCGTATGGTCGCATGTGGATAGCATTATCGTTAATAGATGATAGCAAACAGTATGTTCCAGACGTGTTCAGCTATGGCTCGATATAGGTCTGTTGTTATCATAGATATACAGGGTGACTTCGAAGTTGAGTCATTTATTTTAACAGTGAGTAGATCTGATCAAAAGAAATGCTTTTTTCCTTTACCATTTTTCTGGTAAAATTAAAGTAACAAAGTTATAGCCCTTTGGAAGTTTGAGTACCGCCCTGTCTCAATAATAATATTATGTGCTCCTGTTTGGCGACAACGGATATAATTCGCCTTATCGGTTCATCGCATCGGAAACAAAAAAGCGAAAGAATTTGGAACGGTGTTTTTACAATTATTTCATTCAGTTGTATACAGTCAGTGTCAGTCGGTAGTGGATAGTGGTGTCTGTTGCGTGGCTCAAACGAAATAAAAAATGGCACATGTTTATGCGGATCGGTTTCCCAATCGAGTGCAACCAACCCCTCGTGCCTTTGTTAATGTAGTACGACGGGTTCGTGAATCATTTGACTTAAGACCTCACATATGGACGGCATGCCGGTGCTCCAAGACCTCACGATCAAATACAGGTCCGCACTGAAATACTTGTCGGGAGGATACTTTATAAAACAAGGTAATTTTTTTTTTTATTTTTACACACATATTTTGGTTTATCTTCCTTCTACAGGGTGGGGCATAACTGTCTCCCTATTTTCAAAGCTTAATAAAACAAATGTTATTTGGAATACTATGGATTTATTTTGAAATCTTAAAAGTGCAACTCAAACAGTTTTATTTTATGTAGTTTTGAAAATAATATCGGCAAGGTGCTTTCCACCATTATCACAGCATTGCCGCAAGCGCTTTCTGAAGTTTTGCATAACTCTAACTAACATTGCTTGCGGTATTCGGCCAATTTCCAGACGGATTGCCTCCTTCAGCTGTGGTAAGGTCCTTGGACGATGTTGAAAGACTTGAGCCTTAAGATAGCCCTACAGAAAGAAATCGCAAGGCGACAAATCCGGGGAGCGCGCAGGCCAAGGAATATCGCCTCTAAGGGAGATCAAGCGTCCGGGGAACAGTTCTCTCAAAATGCCTAATGATGCTCGGGATGTGTGGGCTGTCGCCCCATCCTGCTGAAACCAGGCATTCTGCACATTGAATTCTGCAAGAGCTGGGACAAAAAAATTCTGAATCATTGCTACGTAGCGTTCCGAGTTGACGGTGACAGCCCGATTACCTTCTTCAAAAAAGTAAGGCCCAACTATCCCAGTTTCTGACACGGCGCACCAAACTGTGACTTTCTCACTATGCAGAGGCTTTTCGTGTATCTCTCTTGGGTTTTCGGCACACCAGAACCGGAAATTTTGTTTGTTCACGCAGCCAGACAAATAAAAATGTGCCTCGTCACTAAAAAAAACCGCCTCCTGAGGTAACTTTGCAATCATGTCTTGACATGCAGCTAGTCGATTGTTCCAATCACGTGGTGATAATTCCTGTACAATAACCATCTTGTATGGATGAAAATGTAGGTCTTGATGAAGAATTCTTCGTAAAGAGCGATTAGAGAGGCGAAGGGCGTCTGCATGTCTGCGTGCAGAGCGGTTGGGCGAGTGTTCCACTGAGCGATGATTCAGAATTTTTTTGTCCCATCTCTTGCAGAATTCAATGTGCAGAATGCCTGGTTTCAGCAGGATGGGGCGACAGCCCACACATCCCGAGCATCATTAGGCATTTTGAGAGAACTGTTCCCCGGACGCTTGATCTCCCTTAGAGGCGATATTCCTTGGCCTGCGCGCTCCCCCGAACTTCAGAAAGCGCTTGCGGCAATGCTGTGATAATGGTGGAAAGCACCTTGCCGATATTATTTTCAAAACCACATAAAATAAAACTGTTTGAGTTGCACTTTTAAGATTTCAAAATAAATCCATAGTATTCCAAATAACATTTGTTTTATTAAGCTTTGAAAATAGGGAGACAGTTATGCCCCACCCTGTACAATCATTATCAGAAAATTAATGACTCAACTTCAAAGTCATATAGGGTGCCCCGAAAAAAGTGTGCAATATTCTACCAGCGGTTTCTATAGCTTAAAATAGGAAGAAAAGTTTATATAAACATAGGTCGACAAACGTCCCCTAAGGGCGCTACGGTCTTTTAAAGGGGCTCCCCTGAAGATGGTTTTTCCTTAATATTTCCGTAACGTGTTGAGATAAAGACATAAAATTTGGTATTCTAGCCTAGTTTTTTATGCTGGATTTAAAAATATTAACAATTTTAGACAGTTTTGTTTGGAAGCGTATGTAACAGGGACGGACTCAGGTTATTTGAGTCCCAAAATTTTTGTGTGATTCTATTTTTGAAATTCAATTCTAGAGTTTGAAAATTTAGGGTTTTCTACATAAAAAAGTTACTCTTATTGAATATCGATAAATTGTGCCATTTTTGAATAAAATCAAACTAAAAAATTTGTCACATGATAGGAAATGTACTGCGAATTTAAATGAATTGTTGATTATACATAGTTAGCCATGACTGCAAACAAAAGTTGTTTTGTTATGACTTATTTTGACGTTAAGCTGACATTTTTAGCAGTGTAAAATTACTACATTAAAATCAAAATTTCTGTATTATGTACTTCCCCAAGGGATATAATATAATAAACTGAAAACAGCGCATTTACGCATTTAATGATTTCAGGTACTTTTGATTATTTTATAGTATGTAGTTGTAGTGTTGCTGTTTTATTGTTACTTGATCGAAATGCCACGGAAAAATGATGTGTGGAAGTACTTTAAGAAACGCTCTTCAACTTGTGCACAGTGTAAAGTATTTAATGATCATCAATGTGTTCTTAAAGTTGACAATCTCATATCTTGCAGTTTCCTATAACCAACCTTTACTGAAATATATTGCAGTCGGTATCCTTCTTTTATCCTCTCGTGAAGTTGCTGCCGCGTTTTTTATTCTTACTTAATGGTTCTGAAATCGAGAAAAGAAAACGCGGTGGTAACTCCACCAACTAATAAAACGACCATTCCGCTAAAACCGATAGCAATCGATGAATTCGTTGCTGAATTGAAAGCACAAAACGTTAAAAACTAGAGTTGTTTCGATACATTTGTTCCGATGTATCGAGTTCCATCGATGTTACGATGGCGATGTTTGTCGATGTCCAAACATCGATGTTTTCTAACAAATTGCCATCCCTAGTCAGAGGAAGTACAAGATGGGCACGGTATGAAAACAGTCCAAAAGACAAATCAAACAAGAAGCATTCGTCCGTCCGACCAAGAAAAGAAGACGGCCAACCATGTAGTCATGTGTCGTTCGCGAACGAGTCGTTCAAAATGAACGACTCATCTAAGTGAGCGATGATTGAACGACTCTTTTGTTACATATGACTCGTTCAATTGTGCAAAGCGGTGTCTTCAGTATGCAGCAACGTGGTAACAGTACAGACACTATCTAGGAAACCCGGTTTTGTTTTCAGATGTTTCATTAAATTATACGTTGAAATGATGGGATTTGCGAGCAAAAATTGCAGTTTTGATGCAGAATTCGGTAATTCCTCAAAACCGGAAGACATATCCCTTCTTTTTTCGGAAGACAGTGTACATTCGTTACGCGGGCTCAGAGAAAAGAGTCGTATGTCGCAAGCCTACAACCATAGACAGCTGTTTCGTGGTTCTTAGCTACTCATCAGCATGGTATAGGCTTGCTCTCTTGTGTCTGGACGAGCAAACGAAAGCACCACAATGATCCTATACCGGAGGTACGGTTTATTAGCTTGAAATAGCGCGAAGCGCCATCTATCGCACCAGAATCGAACCATTGTAGATCGCGCACCGCTGCTATTATCCGGAACTGTCGTGGATCTCAGTTCTCGTTTAATAGCCGTACCGCTAGACGGCTGATGATTCTGGCTGAATGTAGAAGTGGTATACTGGGAATTGAACAGGTTAAACAAGATGCCTTCGTTCATCCGACCAAGAAAAGAAGACAGCCAACCATGGACAGCTGATCAATGGCTGGACCCTTTCTACATTCAGGCAGAATCATCAGCCATCTAGCGGCACAACTATTAAACGGGAACTGAGATCCATGACAGTTCCGACCGAACAGCGGTGCGCGATCTACAGTAGTTGGATTCTAATGCGATAGATCTCATGCAGTCCAAAGGCCAAAAGCGATAAACTGTCCTCTTTGTTATTGCCCTTCCGACATAATCAAACCACCGGTTCGCAACTGCCCTTGTTGTGGAAAATCGATCTCTAAGTGCTAGTTGCCTCAAATAACGTTCATGTCGCTCTGTAGTCTGTCTTTGACGTCCAGTACCTCTAACTTATCGATTTCGGCCTTCTTGGAAACACGCTCGACAATATCTCATTAGAGTAGCCACGAAATCCGATCCGTCTCGAACTCGGAAAGTTGAGTGAAACTCTTGGCATGATAATGCAATGAAACACATGGAACCAACACAGACAAATCACTGAATATTAAGTAAACATGTTCATATTGTTCGGATCTTGATATGACAAAAAAATACTGTTCAGAATGCCTTCAACATTTTATTAGCGTATCCTTCCATTATGGCAGATATTTTTACAAGTTTTTATTAAAATTCAATAAATAAATCTGGGTGTTGCATTGTATACAGGGTGTCCCAGAAGTCGACGTCAAGCCGAAACCGGGTGATAGGCAAAGTCATAACAGCTATCAGAAAAATATTTAGAAAAATGTTATGTATGTGTTTTGAAAATTATAGGTCTTTGAAAAAAAATATAGAAATTTCACACCGTACGGCAGTCTGTCAACTCCTGTTACTACAAATATTAACTTTTTTGGATTTTATTTTTACAATGTAATGATGAATAATGCATCTTCAAACTGGTGTCTCAACCTTACTGCCAACTTTTCTCGTTCAGGAAAAATTGCCACTTATTTCCCAACCAAGTATTCCAAAGTAAAACTTTGCTCAACTTTAACTGGCTGTACTGGAAAAAAATGTACTACGAGAGTTTGGCAAGTAACCTTAAAAGTTGGCGCATTTAATAAAGATTCCAAAATGGTATAACACTTAGAAGATTACTCGTTAACTTATGCACAATTTTTATTTGAAGAAAAACTGATAATTTTTCAAAATTTCCTAATTAAACAGCGATTATGAAAACGCACAAGGACCCTTAAGGATAACTGTTTGCACAACAGTGGGCGTCAAAATGCTGCTGATGATGATTTACCTTTACAGCAAATGCTCAAACTGTTTTCCTTCAGCCGCAATACACGCTCGACATCTTCTTAAAAAAGATCGGGTTATTAAACGAGCGAATCCACGGTTATTAACAAACTCAGCTGCTTCCAATAGTCTTTGCCGTAGCTCAGCTACATTTTGAATCGGCTTCAAATACACTTTTTCTTTTACAGTTCCCCAGTAAAAAAAATCTAACGGATTCAAATCTAGTGACCGGGCTGGCCACGGTATTGTACCAGACCGCCCTATCCATCTGCCTGGAAAGTTTTGATCGAGATACTCTCTCACTGAGAGTGCATAGTGCGCTGGGCAGCCATCATGCTGAAACCACATGTCCCTGTAAATACTCAGTGGCACGTCCTCCAATAAATTTTCTAAATGATTTTGCAAAAAACCTAAATAAACCTCAGCAGTCAAAGTCTCTGGGAACTCAAACGGACCGATTATTTTACCATTTAAAATTCCTATCCAATGGTTTATCTTGAAGCGATATTGAGATTTATGTTCTCTCATCAAATGTGGGTTTGCTACGTGCCACTCGTGTAAGTTATGCAGGTTCATGTACCCATCTTTCTTAAATGTGGTCTCATCTGACCATAACATTTTTTCAAAGAACGGTGGATCTTCCCTGTGTCTTTCTAACATTGTGCGACAAAAAGCAACTCGGGGCTCATAATCCCTGAACATTTGTGAACACTCGATGATCTGGATGACGAGCTGCATTCGGGTACCTCTCACAGTAAAGTCTCGCTGCAGCACTAGCGTTGCATCTGCATTCCCCATAAATGAGGTGCATGTTAGCATATTCTTGTACGGTGTACACGGACATAGCGGCACTGCACAATCACACTATCAAAGATAGTCTAAGGAAAGCAAATGTTGTTTTGAAGAGCAATTAAACAGCCCAAATCCAAATCACAAGCGATCAGCAGTCCAGTTCACGAATCCAAAATTAGTAACAGTACGAAATCAACAAGCACGAACATGTAAAGATGCGCAGTAAACGAAGGAGTACTGATCGGTATCAAAGTGTGCAATAGCAAGTAAGTGATGTGCTTCATCCATACCACATACAGCGTGTTCAACCTCTCCTGCCCCGGGATTCTGAGCCCCGAGTTGCTTTTTGTCGCACATTGTTAGAAAGACACAGGAAAGATCCACAGTTCTTTGAAAAAATGTTATGGTCGGATGAGACCACATTTAAGAAAGATGGGTACATGAACCTGCATAACTTACACGAGTGGTACGTAGCAAACCCACAGTTGATGAGAGAAGATAAATCCCAATATCGCTTCAAGATAAACCATTGGACAGGGATTTTAAATGGTAAAATAATCGGTCCGTTTGAGTTCCCAGAGACTTTGACTGCTGAAGTTTATTTGGATTTTTTGAAAAATCATGTACAAAATTTATTGGTGGACGTGCCACTGAGTATTTACAGGGACATGTGGTTTCAGCATGATGGCTGCCCAGCGCACTATGCACTATCAGTGAGACAGTATCTTGATCAAAACTTTCCAGGCAGATGGATAAGGCGGTCTGGTACAATACCGTGGCCAGCCCGATCACCTGATTTGAATCCTTTAGATTTTTTTACTGGGGAACTGTAAAAGAAAAAGTGTATTTCAAGCCGATTCAAAATGTAGCTGAGCTACGGCAAAGACTATTGGAAGCAGCTGAGTTTGTTAATAACCGTGGATTCGCTCGTTTAATAACCCGATCTTTTTTAAGATGTCGAGCGTGTATTGCGGCTGAAGGAAAACAGTTTGAGCATTTGCTGTAAATCATCATCAGCAGCATTTTGACGCCCACTGTTGTGCAAACAGTTATCCTTAAGGGTCCTTGTGCGTTTTCATAATCGCTGTTTAATTAGGAAATTTTGAAAAAATTTCATCAGTTTTTTTTTTTCAAATAAAAATTGTGCATAAGTTAACGAGTAATCTTCTAAGTGTTATACCATTTTGGAATCGTTATTAAATGCGCCAACTTTTAAGGTTACTTGCCAAACTCTCGCAGTACATTTTTTTCCAGTACAGCCAGTTAAAGTTGAGCAAAGTTTTACTTTGGAATACTTGGTTGGGAAATAAGTGGCAATTTTTCCTGAACGAGAAAAGTTGGCAGTAAGGTTGAGACACCAGTTTGAAGATGCATTATTCATCATTACATTGTAAAAATAAAATCCAAAAAAAGTTAATATTTGTAGTAACAGGAGTTGACAGACTGCCGTAGGGTGTGAAATTTCTATATGTTTTTCAAAGACCTATAATTTTCAAAACACATACATAAATTTTTTTTAAATATTTTTCTGATAGCTGTTATGACTTTGCCTATCACCCGGTTTCGGCTTCACGTCGACTTCTGGGACACCCTGTATGTCACTTAGTCTACATATACCTGGAGTGAAGAATAAATCATACAAACTGGGTACTCGTGGGAACCATAAATCAAACAGCTTCTTTCATATATAGTTTATTGAAAGTAAACACATGACAAAATAGTGTGTTACAAAAATGCATATTTACAATATGTAAACCTATAACCTATACCAGAAAATTACCAACATAAACTATAGACCTAATGCTTGCCTGCTTACAGAGCAAATATATTTTACTTGATTACAAATTACAATTTTATGATTGGACCATTATAAGGAGTCCAACATTTGCAGTATGCAGCAAACACATTTAATCTACCAAGTCGTTTTTGAAAATTTTGTTCACAATATTCAAGATACACGATATCCCTGAAATAAAATAGATTTAAACCTAGTCATGAAAAAAGTATCAGTATTTTAAAACTAAGTCATACGAGCGATGTAATGAAAATACAATTTAGTATCGACCACTCCTTCCCCTGTGTTTCGGGGGAGATCGGGAGCCACCCCTCCTTTCTCTGGACCTGGAACGCCCTTTGCGTGGTGGTGAACGAGACCTTGATCTACGCCCTCCTCCAATACGGCCTCCTTTTCTGCGAGAGTACAGATACCTAAGAAAAAAGCAATTATCAACCACATACATACATATATCGCAAATTGGTATATACATTTCAAAATATACAGGGTGTTTCAGGAAAACGTGCCAATATTTCTAGGCGTCCAGGAACACCAGTTTATACGTCCTGGTTTATTTTGGGCCGGGAAACTCTGAGTATATATTTTTTTAATTTCGTAAATAGAACGTGTTACCTTCTCAGCTCTCTGGAGATGGGCTTCAGATGCATGAAATTGCAAAAGCCAGACCTGGTGCATTCTCCCATTTCATACTGACGACAGCATGCTTCCCTAAAGTCAGTCACGGGACTCAGTTCGGCATATACAGGCCTTCCTCCAAACCAGCGGTTATTCAGATCGTTCACAGCTTTTTCGGCATCCTCCTCTCTTCTGAACTGTAGACAATCAAATATTTGCAGGTGTTTGAATGATTGTTAATTATGATAATTGAGTTGATCATTTCAAAAGCCACTTATGTCCATTTTTCCAAGATGTCACTACAGGATGGCCGATATGTGAAAACGTCCATTTTTTTTGTCTTAATCTTTTATTGAAACTTAGAAATTATGAATGAAAAATATTATTAGACAAATATCTGCCTCTGTCAATTTTATATTCACCAATGATAAAACCATTCTTGTTTGCAAGGTAGCTCAATAGTGTCTACAGCTAGGGTTTTAAAAAAAGTGATTAAAATTTGGGTATTCCACAAATTTTACTGCTGACTTTCCATGCCAATAGTGGTAAATAAAATGATGTATATTTTAGTTTCAAAACCTGTCAGTTGTGTTGTTTTGTAATCCCTCACCACTCTATAATATCAAAAATTCCATGATATCCATGGTTTTCTAAAATGAGAACTCCTTAGTCGAGGAGTACAAAACTTTTTAAGCCTTGTATACAACCACAGTTATCGAGCCAATAATAAAACATTCCATTTTTGTGCATCTTCCAAAATCCTGGTGCAATATTTAAGATAAAATTTACATATTAGTTACCTTAATATAAACATTGCCGACAAGATGATCACCAAGGTTGTCACATACGTTCATCTCTTCAATTTCTCCATATTTGTCTTCACACTCCACAAATACATCCTCAAAGAAATTATCATAGTGCTCCTGCATTTCTTCGTCAGACACATTGGCAACCACTGTAATAGGAATTTCAGAAAGAGTTAACCTTGCAATCCAAACAGTTTTATGCATTGCTCCATTGTCTGATCTGGATACTGCATAGCCAGGCTTTGGTTGGAGCAATGATTTGGTCAAAACTGTACATCACCATAAAAAAGGACTGATATCTGGGACCGTAACCGGCACTGCTAGCTTAAGAAGTTCAAGCATGAAAAGTTTTTTCCGTATACATGATCAACTTAAACTTTGCTTATAATACACACGGGTTATCTATACTTACAGTGACTTCCATCTGCAGACTTAGCCGAGTTCTGTGGATTCACATACAAATTTTGGAGCAAACATGTTTGAGAGAATGTTGGTTTGTTGTGGATTCTCGAACAGCGATCTCCGTGGCGACACGCACCGATTTTGAAGTAGAAGGAGCAGTTTACTCTAAAAATTAGAATCATAAATGTGGATCCAAAATAGAGAACCAAGTATACTTACTTATCTTTCTCTGTGCCGAAAATAGAGGCCAGATACTCGGCCATTCTGCGAAAATTATTGGTAAATTTCGTAAAAGCTAGACCAACGCCAAATATCTAAAACTCAACCAAATAATTGACACGTTGACAGATGACATTGACAGAAATAGGGATGTGCAAAAATAACCTGTTTTTTCTAAGGTCACCGGTTTTTTCACAATGTACGGTTAACCGGTTATCGATTAAGAAAGTGCATTATCCGAAAGGAAGGTTTTCAACACAAATATCCAAATATGGGCGAAGTGAATGTTACGGCTATGTTGTTTTTGTTGTCCTTGGCCACTTCTGCTTTGCCCTGCCCCATATGCTAATATTAAGAAGAAACTATGCTTCACATTTCTCGCATTTAAATTCATCATTCTATGACTTAGATCGATTTAACAAGGAAGTCGTAAGTCTGTACATAAATACCGCTCTATGCACGTTTACACTGTGTGCTCAGCGCTATCTAGGCGCTTGGCTAGCCACGGTGTAAATAAAATGAAGATTATTTTTCGGTTAACCGTATAACCGCTTAATTTTGTTCAATTAACCTATAACCGGTTTTTTATCACTAACCGCCCATCTCTAGACAGAATGACAGTTGATAAGCTGCAGTCAAGGATTTGTCAGTGTTGACGCAAGAACACAGCGCAATAACAAGAAGATATGACAATACCCATACCCAATTCAAACATGTTTTGCTTACCGCCCATTTTCATCTCGGTTACTGTCCATTCTTACTATATAATTGTCACCCCATATAAACAAGTTGAACAATTACCGTTATTTCAGAAATATTATTGAAAACGAGACAGTTTTAACAATAGAGGTTGTGCGGTCGAAACTTATTTGCACATGTCCTTATTTCGGTTAATGGAACATCTGAATTTTATCCTGTGGTCTTCATGCTGATAAATCTCCAGGTTTTCTGGCTTCTAAATGACACAACATTAATTTAGGAGTATATATTAACTAGGGTTTCGATTTTTTCTTTGAAATTACCGAAATAAGGTGCATTTGTCATACTCACTCCATATTGGAATTTCGTAATGATATAAAATATACCTACATAATTAAAATTGTAATATGTCTCAGGTTGAGTTAATTTTTTACCGAAGCATACCAGAACTTCTTTATTTTATCAGTATAAACCGCCATACCTATCCTAAGCGCATGGTATGGGGTAGTTGTAGGAGGGAAAATGGTAGTTATGAATTGTGGGTGAATATTTGATGACATTCATCTGAGACTGTGGTGACTCACTGACAAGCACAAATCACGTTGACAACCACAAGTCAACAGCCTGACAGTGTTGTATTTTTTGTAAACAAAATTATGGCAGAAGATACATGTTTTTTCAATTTATCCAATTTCGCAGAACTAAATCAGGTAATACGTTTATTGATCGAACCGGTGACATCTCAAAAATACATACTTTATTATATTTACAGTTTTTGCATGAATGCGTAGACGACCTGATATCAAAAAGACAAATAAAGTTCGGTACTTTCGAGAACAATGATACCAAATGGACGCAGGATAATTTTGATAAAGCGGTCAAGTATATTCAAAATTGCTACCGAAAATCTGTTGTGGGGGGGAAGTTACATCTAGATCCTTCAATAAACGATGATGTAGCTGATGCCATTAGAAAATGCTATGAATTTAGAAAAGCTGATATACAGCAGGCACTTGTAAAAGATGCACTGCTTAGGAAAGGAGACTGTGTGGTGGAGAACATTGACTGGAAACTAAAGTGGATATTAGGTTCATCAAGTCTAGCTTCTCTAAGGGAACCACTATTACAAGTTTTCTTCCATTGTGTAGAAAAGCATGACTCTAGAATGGAAAAGAAGACAGTTCAGTTTGAAGCTGGTCTGAACCAACTGGATTCATTAATAGAAGAACTGACTAAACTGAAACAGACGTTAGCTGTCGAAACATCCTCTTTAAATTAACATGATACACGTTTCCATGCTCTTTTGATTTATAGCCATGTACTTTCAAAATCAGCAGGAGAGTCAAAGGAATTTTACTCTAACATGGACATCCGCAAAAGATACATAGCCCCAAAATTTTTGTGTGATTCTATTTTTGAAATCCAATTTTAGTATTTGAAAATTTAGGATTTTCTACATAAAAAAGGTACTCTTATTGAATATCGATAAATTGTGCCATTTTTGAATAAAATCAAACTAAAAAATTTGTCACATGATAGGAAATGTACTGTGCGAATTTAAATGAATTGTTGATTATACATAGATAGCCATGACTGCAAACAAAAGTTGTTTTGATTTGTTATGACTTATTTTGACATTAAGCTGACATTGTTAGCAGTGCAAAATTACTAGATTACAATCAAAATTTTTATTAAATCGACTTAAAATGCCAAGATTTACAGACAGAGAACTGACTGACATTCATTTTGTGTATGGGTTTTGCAATGGCAGGTCATTGGCAGCTGTAAGAGAATATCAAAGAAGATTTCCCATTCGCAAATGAAATACATAAGAAGAAAAAGGTTTTCCACTTTTCAGGCTACGCAATCATTACTGCGTCGAGCGAGTCTCTGTATCCAACAAAATGAGAATTTATTTGAACACTTATTGTAAAGCTAGTTTTAAGTATATCCAACTGTATGTCTTCTTTTTTAAACAAATTTCAAGAAGAAAAAATTTATTTCTTTTGTTTTTGCCTTTTGTTATGGCTAATTATTTAACAATTCATTTAAATTCGCAGTACATTTCCTATCATGTGACAAATTTTTTAGTTTGAAATGGCACAATTTATCGATATTCAATAAGAGTACCTTTTTTATGTAAAAAACCCTAAATTTTCAAATTCTAAAATTGAATTTTAAAAGTAGAATCACACAAAAATTTTGGGGCTAAAATAACCTGAGTCCGTCCCTGTTAAATACGCTTCCAAACAAAACTGTCTAATTGTTAATATTTTTAAATCCAGCATAAAAAACTAGGCTAGAATACCAAATTTTATGTCTTTATCTCAACATGTTTCGGAAATATTAAGAAAAAACCATCTTCAGGGGAGCCCCTTTAAAAGACCGTAGCGCCCTTAGGGGACGTTTGTCGACCTATGTTTATATAAACTTTTCTTCCTATTTTAAGCTCTAACAACCGCTGGTAGAATATTGCACACTTTTTTCGGGACTCCCTGTATATTGTAAGATAACAGAGCCAAAGTAAGTCTGGCAACACCGCTTATATTGGATGACAGAAGTTAGGTTATGTTTGACAGTATATTTTCGATTTAAGAACGTTCTTTAAAACATGATAAATCCTGAAGAACCAGAACCTAGGGCCCCATTCCCGGGGCCGCACGCGAAAAGACAGCCCGCACCATATAAATTCACTCCAGACGAACTCAGGGTCTTGAAAGACTGTAACTATGAAGCCTTCTACCAAAGGTGTTTGCCTCTAAGTGCTCTGTTCGCGACTGCAGCTTACTATGGTTGCAAAACGGGCTATTTTAGAGCGAACGCCCGATACGGGCCGGCACCTAAGGTTTTGGTGGGCGTAGCTATAGGTTATTTCATGGGAAAGATGTCTTACCAAAGGAAATGTGCTGAAAGACTGATGCAACTCCCTCACAGTCAATTGGGAGAGATACTTCGTCAACGAAAACGAGGAAACGTTCAAGAAGGCTTCGACTCGGGAATTGGACCGTCTATGGCTCTTGCTCCATTTGGTGGGATGGAATCGACTACAGTTTATAACGACATCAACCCAAATAACAGCTTAGATATCGATACCACCAGGCCCGATGCGCCTGGGCTTGAAGATTACCAGCGTCCATCTATGGATAACCCGCTGGTTTATGAAGAGGAAATGCCTCCTGCACAGAAGAATTTTACCAGTTATGAAGAGTTGAGAAGGAAGAATCGTGAAGAGTATGCACAAAAGAGACTTGGGAACTACAAAGAGCCTCCACGGGAGCCTGGTAAAGTATCCCCACCGGTTTATGAAGCCCCACCAGTTAGGAGTGGAAATGAACAAGATGCAAGTGGATTTCCGTCTGGTCCTAGAAACAAATATGGTGATGTTTGGGGTTAAAAGAATAGATAGTTTGAAGCTATTGTGACATAGTAATACATACACTTATTAGGATTTTTAATATCATATGTTTATTTTACAAGATGTAGACTAAACCTTGGCTTAGTATGATTTTTATGGAGTGTAGGTGGTATGACGATACTGTTGGTGAAAAATACTTTCCAGCACATTTGGAATGAAATCTATATGATTCCCATTATTCAAGCATAGCAACATTTTAAATGCAATCAAAAAATGTTTTTATAAATAACATGATGCCCGAAAGTTACTCCAATTCATTTTCCTATTTCTCTGAATGCTAAAATCACATATGTAAGAAAATAACTGATATTTTTCTGTGTGACTTCCAGGTAAATGAATTCATATATATATTTTAACAATATGTTCTTTGAAAAAGGCATTTGAGGCATCAGAATACTCTTTTTTCCAGCATATGTTATTTTCATTTGTCTAACAAGGAAACAAATGAATATTTTTGAGGGGACAAGAGGATTTCAAAAATGAGCAGAATATATACGAGCCCCTTCCCACTTCAGTTGACCCACTTCAACAATTTATTTTCTCTAAAACAATTTAGATACACTCTAGTCGTAAAAAATACATATTTGAAATCACTTAGACCTATAACTAATAGAACATCTAAACAAATAAACAATGTGCGAAGTTAACAAAGCAACAATTGAAAGATTACCATTGGGTAACATCACCTTTATTTTTATTTTTTTTATCGGGCCTCATCCCCATTGTATTGCACACCATTGTTGACGTGTCCATTGTCTATGTTCTTTAGCCCATCTAAGCCGTCAATCTTTTGCAGTGGAGTTAATAGTGGCTTATCTTTGGCCTATAAACAAGTTGTGCAACTTTAGGGTTTTTACTTCACTTTTTTTTATAAGAAAACTTACCTTGCAAGTGCTAAATCCCAGATTGTGGGCCTCTCTATGAGTTGTGGACCTCGAAATTCTCCTTCAAAACAGCGTCACTCCACAGAGCACTTAATTGTAAATTCATGCTCTTTGGTCGGAATTTGTGATATTACTTTTTTGCACATATCGTGGCTTAATATTAACTGAACCAGTTACGTTATATCTTCTAACAATATTTCTCTCACTGTACCGCGATAAGTCTAACAAAGTAGCAATTTCTGAGTGATTTCCAAGAATTAAAAAATTTAGTTATCAGTAACCGAATTTTCTCACTAATAACCTTTCCTCTACCCAAAACTATTTTAAACGTATTCTGATAGCTGTGATTAATAAAAAAAATTGTCATGGCTTTTATTTTTCACAGCCACCTATGCGTTATAGACTTATTTTGCATTGAAATGAAAATAGGTTGATATTCTGTAATTGCAACATGTGTTATTTTTATGCTGCAAATTTGATTAGGGAGTGATAAAGTTGGTGTTTTCTACTATGTATTATCAAAATATTCATTGTTAATATTTTAAACCTATAACACCCTGCCACATTTTTATTATTTGTGTTTGATAAGAAAAAACTAAGATTTCAATAGTTGGGCCAACTGAAGTGGGAAGGGGCTCGTAGTCTTTAAACATTGAAGCATGCAAAATAATAAATCTTTCATTTAAACTATTGTCACACAATTATTGCCGAAATGTGCTGGAAAATGTGACCTATATTATTCAAATCATTTTCTATATTTTTAACAATTGCTATTAAATCAATTTCAATCCCAATTCTTATCTATATTTCCTCAAATGATCCATTAGGCTTTGAAGCAAAGGGGAAACTGAAAAAATATGGAATTCCAGGGTTTTGAAGTCCTAAGGTTGGTAAAAGAGCTAAGGATAAAAATTGTAACTTGTATTTGAAACAGATTTTCTGCAGGAACTTTAACTTTCCCTGGTATTATATAAGCTGTAACCTCTATAAAAATTTAATTGTCATATGGATCATAGGTAAATTTACTTCTTGGAAGTCAGTTTCAATTGCTACATCTACAAATAGTAATAATTGGTCTTATCATTTGTAAGCGATAGCCATAAACATTACAACATACATAACATAACTATACACTGAAAACCAAATACCATTGACATCGTAATGTGTACGAGAGACAAGCATGCAATACGTGTTAGAAAGAGTTAGAAGCAGCTCGTTGCCTAGCAACCCGGGTGACGAAGTCACGGATGCCATCGGCGCACTCTTTCTAACATACATACTGTACATTTCTCGCGCTTCTTTCTCGTACACTTCAAACCTCACCATACACATCAACTGAAAACAAGGTCGGCTGTACTGTTAGATTATCAATGATACTTCAGTTTCTCTTTTATGAAATAAATGAAAGCAGGATCTTTGTATTAAAATGTAAATATGACTTTAAAATATAATAAAGTTCAAAAATATGTATGCATTTTTGTGTTCTTTCTAACCAAAACAATCCCAAGTTGGTCAAGCAAATTGAAGGAAATTTTGCGAACGAGTGGTTAGTATTCTACTGCTGCGATGATGTGAGAGGTCAGAACCGTTGGATTATCCCCTCAATTCTGTAATTTGAATCGTTATAAATGAGAGGTGCTCAGCCTAGAAATTCATGTACCATTGACGTCGTAATGTGTACGACGAGAAAAATGCACGAGACGTGCAATACGTATTTTATTAAGAGTTATAGTAGCACCAGTTGCCTGGCAACCCGATAGGCGCCCTGTTTCTAACGTATACATTACCTCATCAGTCGTATTTGGATTTCATCTCTGTATGAGATAGAAGAGTCGTTTCTGTACTGTATTGTACGTCTTTGCTAATAAACTCGCCCTTGGTCGTCCGTCGTTGTAGTTCAGTAGCAATTTATAAACTCATTACAGGACTTCAATCTCAATGTGGAAATTGTTTATTGTGACTGCCAAAACTAGTATTTGTGTGAAAATGTTCGTAAAAGTCTAACTGAAATGGATTGAGGAAATGATCCTTTCAGATTTTGTGGTTAACTGCAAAAGTGAAAACTTGGCCAAGTCGAACGACCAACGGCAAAAGTTTATACAGGGTGCGGCAGAAAGGACGGACGTTTTTGGGATGGGTAGTACTCTCCGCCTCCGTCTACGAGAGAGGTGGGGAAGGTGCCGTTTGACTCGTGAGATCCTAGCATTATTTTACCAGTTGTCGTTATGGAGCATTGGGCGGTGGAGCACCGCGTTTGCGCCTATGATCGTTTCGTCAGTCATCGTCGTACAGCGTGAGTTTCGTCGCCACTTCAACATTCATCGGAATAGAGATGTTCCCTGTCGAAACACCATCCTTCGTTTGGGTTGAATCACTTCGCAGGCGTGGTGAACTAATCAACAGAAGACCAAGAGGAGCGCCGCGAACAGTTCGAACTCCTGAAAATGTTGAACGCGTTCGACAGGTCTTTCTTCGCAGTCCGACTCGATCTGCCCGGAAACAAGCTGCTGCACTTCGCCTTAGTGATCGTTCAGTAAGGCGAATTTTGCTTATGGATCTCCGCTTTCACCGCTACAAATTTGCCATTGTGCAACAGTTACAGCCCGGAGATTATGCACAACGAATGAACTTCGCACGTGAGATAGAAGCACTGATCGATCAAAATGAGAACCTCAACGCGAACAAGCCCCGAACTCTGGACGAATTGAAGGGCGAAATTCGCGTGGAAGTCGCCCAAGTTGAGAGAGCGATGTTGGAGAGAGTCTACGCGAACTTAAAAGAACGCCTCCAGCACTGCATCAACGATTTCGGCCACCACATGCCTGATGTGATTTTCCACACTTGACTGTCTCAAATGCTATTTCCTTGTGAACCTTATTCCATCAATAAATTTGTGTTCGATTAAAAATTAACTATTTTATGATTTTTTTAAAACCGTCCATCCTCTCTGCCGCACTCTGTACATGGTTATACAGATTGCCTAACTTTTAACTTGTACGCCAACTGCAACACGTACTACGAACCTATAGTTTATTAATCGGCTTTTATATCTGTTGTATTCACATTTTGTACTCAAAAACAATCTTTTTTTTTGATGTATTTATTTATTTGCAAGCCAAAAGCATCCCTTTGTTACTGTATCAATAAGTTTTTTGTAGTCTCTAACAGTGTCATCTGCATACCTAATTTTGTCCATGAACCTCCTCTTTACCTTTATTCTTGAATGTTCTCGAGAGAAGGCAATAAAACCTTCTTCCACCTCTTTTATCTCTTCTAGCTGCAGTTTCTCTAATTTTATGATTTAACCGCAACAACAGTATTTGTAACATACGGAGGTGTTTTTGAAATGTCTTATCAAACTACTTTCCCACAAAATAAAATATTACATTTTCGCTGTTTCTCCAAACATTATCTTTTTTCGATCCAAACACTTTTGCCTAGAAGATCTCAAAATTCAGAAATCCTGTAAAAACCACATGTAATATAAGAGCAATTTATTAAAAATTATGTTCTATGTATTCATTATACCTACCGGCACCTCAATTCCTCGGCAATCATATACTGGACTTAATAAAACTTAATGCTCTAGGCAGAACCATTTTTTCTTTTTAGTGAGTCATTTGGTGGGACACTAGGTGCCCCGGAAACGAAAGTAGGAGAAAAAGTTGCCTATGGCAGATAGTTCCGAGTTACAAAGATTTTGTACCAAAATATTTTTTCATAGAATGGTACAAGTGGTGCCTATATGAAAATGCGATATTTGTTGAAATTCTGATGTTTTTCTATGATAGGCTAGGATGGGGAAAGGATTAGGGTATCACAGAATTTAGGATGGAGATTCATACAGTGTAGCCGTCTTGTTACTTTGGTAACTATATTGATTATTATTTTTATTACAATTTCTGGGATTTTATTATCAAATCAAATAGGCTTGACAACGATTGAAGATAAGCATAAACTTTATTATATATACAAAAGTTACTAAAAACTTCATGGAGAATCTAAAAATTAAAATAAAATGGGGGTTTCTATTATAACGCTATCTTTTTTTGATCACCCTGTATTGTACAGCTGTAGATGAAAATACGTCACTCTAGAAATCAAAATTGACGTGTCCGAGCGTTTTTTCCAAAATATACCAGGAGAGTGAAAAATGGGGGTGCGACCTTTTCGTTGGGCCACCCTGTATATGGTTTTTTAAACATTCAGAATATTGCAAATTCATCGTAAAATAATAAAAAAATGTGAACAGCACATCATCTGAGATTCTACTGATAAACTGTGACTTAATCGCTTTGTAAAAATTAGAGATTCTAATATAAACCTCTCATGAAACTAAAACAAAATACAATTATTATCGGTTTCATAAAAAAATAAAACAAAAAACAATTTTAGTTAGAAAAAATTAGAATTTCTACCACTTGCCCTATATTTATGACAACAACAAGCAGTCTTTGTGACAGCATCATATTATACAGAGGCGTATTTGAAATTTCTTATCAAATGGACGGCTTTCTACTTTCCAAAATAAATAAAAAATGACATTTACGCTATTTCTCCACACATTGGCTTTTCAATCCAAACACGTCTGCCTAGAAAGTCCCAAAAATCAGAAGTCCTGTAAAATACACATCTAATATAGTAATTGAATATATATATATATATATATATATATATATTCAAGGTATTCATTATACTTACCGACACGTCCATCCCTCTACAATGATACACTGGAACTTATTCACTTCACTCTTTAGGCAGAATCATTCTTTCTTTTCAGTGAATCATTTGGTGGGGCACTAGGTGCCCCGGAAAGGAAAGCGGGAAGGGGTGTGAAGAGATGAAGGATAACACGGGTTAATGGGAAATAGAAAAACATCCTAATCGATAACTGCAACACTTTGGGCGTACACAAATATATTAATATTCTTTATTCCAGAAAATACAAAGAAAACTTTGCCCAATGTGTCCGAGCGTTTTCCCCAAAATATACCAGGAGAGTCACAAATGGGGATGCGACCTTTTCATTGGGCCACCCTGTATATGGTTTTTTAAACATTAAGAATATTGCAAATGCATCGTAAAATGATAAAAAAAAATGTGAACAGCACGTGATCTGAGATTTTACTAATAAACTATAACTCAATCGCTTTGTAAAAATTAGAGATTCTAATATAAATCTCTTAAGGAATTAAAAAAAAATACAATTTTTGTCGATTTCATAAAAAACCAAAAATAAAACAAAAAACAATTTTAGTTAGAAAAATTAGAACTCTTCCAGTTGCCCTAATTTTATAACAACAAGCAGTATTTTTGACAGCATTATACGTAGTCATGCCATAAGTTCTGTCCCTCGTTTTCAAACAAGTGTAGACCTGTTAATACTTGTCCGATTGTTTACATTGTGGTGTCAGTTGATTAAGCGCTTTTCGGGTAATTACATATACCTCAGTTTGTATTGATCTCTCGAAGCATAACGATGGAGTGGGGCAAGGCAGAGAACCGTATTGCAGTGATAGCTTTACATAAGTGTAATCACAGTGCTAGTCAGATTTTTGAACTCTTACGCGGCCTTCAAATATCGCGTAAATTTGTGTCTAGGACCATTCAGCGGTACAATGAGACGTCCTCTGTTGATGACAGGCCAAGAAGCGGAAGACCTCGTCAAGTAAGGACTCCAGCAGCCATCAAAGCCGTAAAAGCCAGGATTCAAAGGAATCCACTCCGGAAGCAGAAGATCCTATCCAGGGAAATGAAGATTCCTGTCCGGACGATGTCGCGCATCATTAAACAAGACCTAGGGCTAGGGGCTTACCGGAGACGTACGGGCCAGCGACTTACGGCCACCTTGCGACACATCAGGGCGACAAGATCCAAGAAGCTCTTGGAGAGGTACGCAGCTGGGGGATTCCGAAAGATTTTGTTCACGGATGAGAAAATCTTCACCATAGAAGAAAAATTCAACCGACAAAATGACGAAGTGTATGCAAGGAGTTCACAGGAAGCTTCGGAGATCATTCCGAGAGTTGAGAGAGGCCACCACCCTGCGTCAGTCATGGTTTGGTGGGGGGTGTCCTACGAAGGGGTCACTCAGCTCCATTTCTGTAAACAGGGCTTAAAAAGAAAAGCGGCAAACTATCAGAACGACATACTGGATCCTATCGTCAAGCCTTTAAGTGGTACATTGTTTGCCAACCAACACTGGGTCTACCAGCAGGATTCCGCCCCCGCTCACAAGGCTAAGAGTACGCAGCGCTGGCTGGAAAGCAATGTGCCAGAGTTCATTGCTGCGGAAGATTGGCCCTCAGGGAGTCCGGACCTCAATCCTTTAGACTACAAGTTGTGGGACCTGCTAGAGCAGTTGGCCTGCTCCAAAGCCCACCGTAATATCGAGTCCCTGAAAGCGGATTTGATCCGATCAGCGGCAGCTATTCCTTTGGAAGCTGTGCGTGCAGTGATAGATGAGTGACCCGCGAGATTGAAGCAGTGTGTGAAGGCCAAGGGGGGACATTTTGAATAAAACTGTTTGATTATGAATTCTAAAAATGTTGTCGAATAAATAATATCTTTCATATAAATATATCTTATCTTGTTTCATTTTTATCATGAGATTATCATGGGACAGAACTTATGGCACGACTAGATATACAGAGGCGTATTTGAAATTTCCTTATCAAATAGACGTCTTTCTACTTTACAAAATAAATAAAAAAATTACATTTTCGTTATTTCTCCACACATTGGCTTTCGTCAATCCAAACACGTTTGCCTAGAAAGTTCCAAAAACCTGAAGTTCTGTAAAATTTAATATAGTCAAAATCACGAAAGATGACTATTACGTCATACCCTATATTGTACTGAAGTAATCAATGGACGTACAGGTACATCGATGATAAAATCACGACGTCAGGAACATAATGACAACAAATTTATATTATGACTTTGTGAAGTTAGGTTATCTCACTCATTATTTTTATTTTATTTCATGGTTTTGAGTGATACCTTAATAATAATTTTAGTGAGTTTTGTTTTGAACAAAAGAGTTATGAGTAGAATACCTTAAGACAGGAACACCAAAGGCGAAAGTATTATTCGAAAACAACATAACCTGCTTTAACATAACCTAACTATTCATCTTTCAAATATGATCGATTATGCAACATTTTATAATTGTAACAAGTGCTCTCATCCCCGCGTTTGTTTTGATACACCATTTGGCTGCAACCTCAACGACGACTCTTGATGAAGGCTCCATAGAGAATTGCCGAAAGCTAGAGATTACCATTAAAAGAGTTAACTAAAGCCTAAAAAAGTTTGCCAATTTCCCAATTAACAATTAATTATATATTATATTCAAGGTATTCATTATACTTACCGACATGTCAACCCCTTCACAATGATACACTGGAACTTATTCACTTCACTCTTTAGGCAGAATCATTCTTTCTTTTCAGTGAATCATTTGGTGGGGCACCAGGTGCCCCGGAAAGGAAAGCGGGAAGGGGTGTGAAGAGATGAAGGATAACATGGGTTAATGGGAAATAGAAAAACATCCCGATCGATAACTGCAACAGTACACTTTGGGCGTACACAAATATATTAATACTCTTTATTCCAGAAATTACAAAGAAAACTTTGCCCAATGTGTACCACGGCAGATAGTTGTGAGTTACAAAGATTTTGTAGCAAAATATTTTTTCATAAAATGGTACAGGTGATGCCAATATGAAAATGTGATATTTGTTGAAATTCTGATAGATGTTTTTCTACGACAGGTTAAGAAACGGGGATAGGATTAAGGTATCACAGATTTTAGGATGGAGATACATATATGGTTTTTTAAACATTAAGAATATTGCAAATGCATCGTAAAATAATCCAAAAAAATATTAGTGAACAGCATGAGATCTGAGATTCTACTAATAAACTACAACTTAATCATTATGTAAAAATTAGAGATCCTAATATAAACCCCTGGAGAAATTAAAAAAATGCACAATTTTCGTCGATTTCATAAAACAAAAAACATAAAAACAATTTTAGTTAGAAAAAATTAGAATCCCTAATAAATACAAACTGAATTGCCGAAAAAATTGTTACACTTAAAGTGTCAATATTGCACATCACTACAAATCGTGACGGGAAACAATTGCTATCTTCCCTAACATATAGCACAATATTGAACAATGATGACAAGATGTTTGTGTGTACCTGTGAATATGCAACCCGTCACTATTAACAGTCACCTTGTTTTAGAGAGAGCGAAAAAAGATGAGCTGGCAATGACCTGGGTTAGATATTCACAGTTAAAGCTTTTCTCCTTACACGCTAAACCTTAACTAATAATGATTATATATTTGTACTGCGTTTAACAAAAATATGCGTCATAATTGACGATTATTTTTTGGACGCGGTAGAGCGATGACGTTTCGAAATCCGTTTGTACTATCTCGCTTATATACTGCAAAATGAAATGGACACTGGTAATATGTCCGAGTCTAGAAAGTACCGAGTTGTTCCTTACATCTTTGGCCTATCTATTACTACCGCGAAAATATTGAGTTCTGCCAATATGCATCTTTTAAATCAACCTAGCCTTCATTTTCTGGAGATTAAGATTACAAAATGCTTGAGAATCTTTTTTTTTTTAATTTAATGTGAAAATATTCGTTATGTTATTTCCTATCGAACAAAAATCGTTCATATAACGCCCAAGTCCTGGAATTTGTAATGTCTGATTGTTGTTTAATAGAAGCTGAACCAAAACCGAGGTTAGATCCCAAAAATAACGAAGTAGACTGAAGCAAATTGCGCAATGATTGTATGTAGCTCATGTTGGCAGAACTCGTTCCATATCAAACGTTGAATCAAAAATCACGCAAGTCCTTAATTAAATCTAACTGTGCTCATAATATATGGCAACATGCATTTAATCACAGCAAAAAACTGGTGGGAAGATCACTCATACCAAAAGAAATAAGCATTTGCCTGATACAATATTGTCCATCCATTCTCGAGATTCAAAGATCGAAGAATATGGTTTTTGTTATCAAAACGTTTTTATTTTATCCGTTTTCTATTTTTTTGTGGTATAACAGCTACCGATTTTAAGTACATTATAATGAATTTCTGCTTTTGATAACAAAAAACAGCATTGATGTTATCAATGAAATTTTACTGCAAAAAATAGATGGAAAATATCACACATTATATTATCCTTATACAGGGTCAGGCACGAAGGACGGATGTGTTTGAAATGGCTAGTACTCTCCGCCCATTCGGGCGTAGACATGAAGCAGTGGACGGCTTTCGCGAACGACAGTTTTGTCCGAGATAATGAGTATATCACGGCTGTACAGCGTGAGTTTCGACTTCAATTTTCATCGGAATCGAAACGCCATCCTTCGTTAGGTTCAATCACTTCGCACACGTGGTGTACCGATCAACAAAAGACCACCAGGAGCACCACGAACTGCTGCTAAACTTATCGAGCAAAATGAGAACCTTATTTTGTTCATGAGTGATGAAGCTCGCTTTCATCTTGATGGCATGGTTAACCAGCAGAATTGCCGTTATTGGGCTAATGACAGTTAGATGGAAGACCGCTGCACACCCGGTTTGGTGCGCTTCCAAGACGGTATTGGCAAAACTGTTACCATGAACTCGGAGCGCTATGTCGAAATGATCAACTTCTTTTCATCTGAATTACGACGACGACGTGTTCCATTCCGGAGTGAGTGGTTCCCTAACGATGGGGCGACCACTCACAGCTAGAGAAACGATAAACGTTATTCGCCCTCTTTTCCGTAGTTGCTTTAACATATTTCTAGGTTTGGTGATGTTCACTGGCCTCCTCGGTCCCCAGATTTATCCATCTGCGATTTTTTCTTACGGGGACACCTCAAGGCTCGTGTATACAAGCACAAGCCCGAACTCTGGACGAGGTGGAGGCAACTTTCAAGAACGCCCAGCACACATGACATGATTCCAAACTTAATTGTAACAAACGCAATACGATCTTGATAATTTTTAAAAACCGACCGACCTTTGTGCCGGACCCTGCATAGTCATCCGGGTGTGGATCAACAACCGCCTTTCACGTTTCGAAACAATAAATCGAGGACTTATTTCCGTTGGTAATCAACTTTTCAAGATGAATCAATACACAATACACATCACTTCAACGTCAGAGAATAGTAGCCAAATACCCCACTCAGTACTAATACAAATAAAGGCAAGATATAAAAATATACACACCACAATTTTCTCTGAACATGAAAAACAGTTGTTTATGTCAAACCAACTAGCGCTTTTGAAGTGGCTAGCAAATGTTTTCAGGAATGAGTGGTATATGTAAATATAAATAGTACTCGCAAAGTTATCGAGATTGATACGGGATACAATCCAGAAGGAAACATCATGGAATGATTCCATAAAAAGTGTCTCCAAATTGATATGTTCCCAAAGTGCAGTTCATTTTTTTGTTAATCACGAAAACCAGATTTCTCAATGCCAATTTGAAAAAGAAAACTTTTGAAATACTGGTGTTAGATTAATAATTAATAAAAAATCTAACATATGGGTCATTTTTATCGGAGAATAAAGGTAAAATTTCAATCGAATCACCAGATTCGAAAAAATCTACGAATACGACGATTGAATTCATAATCGATAACTAGTCGGTTCGGCAATAAATTGAAACGATCATTCGAGCTAGACCAAAGACGTGAAGCAAACTTCGCTCGGAACAGGCCGCCCGAACGCGTATCCGACGTTAAAAAAATCAGTACTGTCGACGTGCCGTCGACTCTCGGATACGCTAGGGGGGTCGTTCTCGAGCGACATCTATCGTCCCGATCCGTCATCGCTGCACCCGACGAGCGGTCGCTCCCTTGTTACTAGTAAACATTTATCACACAACGTTTATCTCTGAGCACTGCTCCCTCACGCTCCGTATCTCTATCACGAGCTCTCAAACTCAAATTTATACTCTTATAATTTTCAACAATTGAACAGAATCACATTTAGAATAAAGTAATACGGTTAAAACTAACTAGGTTCTAAATTCGGCGATTGCCACATATCACAGCGCGGCTGAACAGGACAATCCTCAAAATTGGTTGATGCGCTACAATTACAAGACCGATTCGTAGAAACTTTTTGATTGTTCGATTTGAGTTTCTGTCATACAGATAAAAAAATTTGACGCATACAGATCGGCGTTTGTTTCAGTCGAAATAAGGGTTAGAAAGACAAATGTATGCGCGTCCGCACAGGAGAAATGACAACAATAAAATTTTGGTAATTTCTTCGCTCAAAGTTTTAATTGATGTACAATCAATGTTCAAGAACAGCTCTGCTTTAATCAAAATAAATAACAAGCAAATAATACTTTTATGGAGTGGGAATGCTTATAGGTCAAAAAGCAAAAAAATAACATCCAATTGAACTGCTGTTTTAGCAAGTTTGACTGTAAAATACTGCAATATTTTTACAAAAATGTAGCGGATAGTTACAACTCAAGTGTGTCTAATCAGCAAGCAGCTGTGACAAAATAATATCATGTAATGCAACATTCGAAAATAAAACGATTATATGATGAAAAGATGACATTATCTTCATTGCTTATTAAGCTACCAAGAAATCGTGAACTAACCTTTTCATCTCAAAGCCTTTGAGTTGCATTTTGGAATTGCAAGCTCAAAATTTTAAATAAATGCTGGTGACTCTGTCTAACCTCACACCCCGCATTAGAGGTCCCAGCATCAGATAGAAAAGACCACTGTCACAAGCTCTGGTTATCCTATCTTTTTTTTTTTCGGACTTGGTGATGAAGGAAACTCTAATTTGCAATATATGGGGGTATTACATACTTGAAAATTTAATTCCACTGCAATAAAAGCTAGTATCACTGCTGCAAATTATTGTTACTGACTAGACTCGCATAAATTGATCACTTGATAGTCTAGGGTCCATACAGGGCTTATTCAGCAAATATGAACGTTATGCTTTTAAATATCCCGTTTGTTTCAGTCAAAATAAGGGTTAGGAAAGCCAAATGTATGCGCGTCCGCACAGGAGAAAGTCAGAGAAATAATATTGATCAAAATGACAACAATAAAATTTTGGTAATTTCTTTGCTCAAAGTTTTAATTGATGTACAATCAATGTTCAAGAACAGCTCTGCTTTAAGCAAAATAAATAACAATAAACAAAATAATACTTTTATGGAGTGGGAATGCTTATTGGTCAAAAAGCATAAAAAATAACAACCAATTGAACTGCTTTTTTTAGCAAGTTTGACTGTAAGATACTGCAATATTTTTACAAAAAGGTAGCGGATAGTTACAACTCAAGTGTGTCTAAACAGCAAGCAGCAGCGACAAAATAATATCATGTATTCACTGTAATGCAACATTCAAAAATAAAACGATTATATGATGAAAAGATGACATTATCTTGGTTACTTATTAAGCTACCAAGAAATCGTGAACTAACCTTTTCATCTCAAAGCCTTTGAGTTGCATTTTGGAATTGCAAGCTCAAAATTTTAAATAAATGCTGGTGACTCTGTCTAACCTCACACCCCACATTAGAGGTCCCAGCATCAGATAGAAAAGACCACTGTCAAAAACTCTGGTTATCTTATCTTTTTTTTTTCGTACTTGGTGATGAAGGAAACTCTAATTTGCAATATATGGGGGTATTACATACTTGAAAATTTAATTCCACTGCAATAAAAGCTAGTATCACTGCTGCAAATTATTGTTACTGACTAGACTCGCATAAATTGATCACTTGTTAGACTAGGGTCCATTCAGCAACTATGAACGTTTTGCTTTTAAACATCCCAGAAATATATATTTTAAACTTTCTTCATGATGGTGATGGATATTTAAAATACATATGGTCTGGAATATTTTTCCGGGCAAAAAACCTCTTACGAAACCTCGTACTTTGAAATTTGTTAGTTTTGTTCAAGGTGAATTGACGACCCTGAAAGTGTTGTTACTTTCGACAACGTGACGCTCATAAATTGACATCTACATTTGAAACAATCCAATCCATATACGCTTCACATATCAATTAGCCTATCAATAGATAGCAATGACTTGGGTCATCGTCGATTCGTGTTTGTATTGTCGTGTTCACTCGCTACCAGACTCTTAAGATTAATCACATAGTTACTCTCTCAATACCTTGTTCACTCATCGTAGAAGTAAGTTATATAATGGTCCTTTGTTACATTTACAATGTGCAGCTGCTGTTACGGCGGCGGCACTGTAATGATTTGTAACCGCCAAGGCAGGTCAGGCCTGCATTTTCAGTAACAATTTTAATTGTTGCGCTCCGTCCGATAAATGGCGATCTCCTGTCAACGCAGCGTGGAATGGTACCCTCACCTGGAAATAAAGCGATCAGGTAGGCTCATCTTACAACAGAAATAAGTAAAGACGACTTCATCCGATACAAGTCGCGCCATCTACTATCAGAGTCTAGCACTGGATAGGTATACTTTATCTGAAGTCACTTGAAACACTGTGAAATACCGGGTGCGTTTTATATATCTATATTTAACACGCTCTGTTGCTGTAAAAATCGCCAAATTTCGCAGCAAATATCCCCCGTATAAGATCAAAGGCAGTTTCACCGGTCCACGTGGAGTAAAGCACGCCTATGCGTGGACATAGCCAATGAGAAAGCGTGTATTTCAGAGCTCCGAACAAGTGCAGGTGGCTACTGAAAATTGAAACAGTTTAGCCAGTGCCGTGTAGCGGTGAATAAACGTGTTTTCTTTAGTCTGTCCGTGTTTTTTCATAGATTTTATTAGTTTGTGTGTTTTTGACTTTTGAATACTCAGTTTACTTGTTGATTTAATTGTTGTGTTGATTGTTCTTGTGTGTCCTAAATATGGCTCTTTGGAGACCTTGGGAAAATGCTCCAAGCCACGAGGAGATGGTTGATGAACCTGTGCAGGCAGAATTCTTTCATAAAGATTTAGAGGAACAGACCCAAAGAGTAATCCTAAATATGTATGATTGTCTGAAAAACGAAAATCCAGATTCCTCGCAAAATCAAATTTTAAACAGAATTAGTATCCTGACAAAAATCAGTCGGTCTACCATGTATCGGGTTATAAAAAGGGGAGATGTAGTCAACCATTCCTTCCACAGAAAGCGCATAGGGCAAAAATTAAAAAGAATAGACGTGGGTTTTCAAGAAGATATTCGTCGTATAATATACGGATTTTATAAAGAAAATTTGGTGCCCACGTTGGAAATGATACGGGATAAATTAAAAGATTATCCTGAAGATTTTTATAATCACAAATGCTTAGACTCACTGCACTGTATTGTAAAACTGTGTGGTTTTCAATACAAAAAATTAGATAAAAGAATGGTGATTATGGAGTCGTCTCGAATCGTTGAATTGCGCCAAGAATTTTTGCACAAAGTTAAAATCTATAGAGAGCAGAAAAGAAATCTGATTTACCTGGATGAAACGTGGTATGATACCCATGATGTTGTGCAGTACGGCTGGGTTGACGACAGCAACAAGTGCATTTTAAATGCACCATGCAACCGTGGAAAACGAATCATTATTCTCCATGCTGGCAGTGAAAATGGATTTATACCTAATGCCTTGCTGTTATCTGCCAAAAATATCAAAGAATCATGTGCCGACTATCATGAGGACATGACCTCCGACTTATTTGAAAAGTGGATAGAGCAGCAGTTAATACCAAACATTTCCCCAAATTCAGTGATTATTATGGACAATGCGCCATACCATTCCCGACAGAAAAACAAAATTCCGAATACAGGCACAAAAAACAAGACATTATTGATTTTATGAAGGATAAGGGAATGGAAATACCACAAAAATCAACCAAAGCCATATTATTGGATCTTATTAAAAGACAAAAATTTGAAAAAGAGTATGTTGTTGACAATCTCCTTCAGCAAAATGGCCATGAAGTATTACGTCTACCTCCCTATTACTGCATTTTTAACCCGATTGAGTTGGTCTGGGCTGCTTTAAAAAAAACAGTAAGAAAACATAATCAGACCCTCAATTAAGTGAATCGCTATTGGCCACAATAAGAGATGCAGTATCTCATATTGCTGCCACAGACCTATGGAAGCAGTGTTCTAGGCATATTATTGAAAAAGAAAATGAATATTGTGTTTTGCCTCCTGTAAATCCGTTGTAATTCCTCTACAAGATGACTCGAGCGACAGCTCCGAAGGCGAGGATGATATATAAATACCTATAATGTAAGTCTTTATATACCTTTTTATATACCTACCTGCTATGTAAATATTTGCCTATGTCAAACGTTGGAATTCTGTAATTTTTCCATTTCTTAACTTTCAGTCAACATAAATTAAACTCCCAATATAAGTATTTTTTATCCCAAATCAAAAAAATAAGAAGATAGTAAAATCCATTTATTGTGATATAAAAACATTATTATTATCGTTCTAAATAAATGACCGCACGCCTTTGATACGTCATGAAATTACAAAGGACGCGCCGACCAAAGGTTTTTATGCTATTTCAAGTGATTTCAGATAAAGTATACATCTTTCATTGATCATCTGTCAAAATTTCAGTCACAGTACTTTTTAGCATCGGTCGAAAAATGAGCATCGAACAAAGGACCAATATTAAGTACCGAAACTTATCAGATGTTGATGCAAGTGCATTGTGATGATTGTTTATCCCATTGCCGATTCCACGAGTGATTTACACAGTTCAAAAAGAGTCGTGAGACGACTAACATGTTGTCCAGCCCCTTATCTGTTAACTTATCAGAGATGATCCAAGATCTTCATTGAGATACATACGAGCCCCTTCCCACTTCAGTTGGCCCAACTATTGAAATCTTAGTTTCTTTCTTATCAAACACAAATAATAAAAATGTAGCAGGGTATTTTGATAATATATACTAGAAAACACCAACTTTATCACTCCAGAATTTCGAGGTCCACAACTCATAGAGAGGCCCACAAACTGGGATTTAGCACATAAAAAAAGTGAGGTAAAAACCCTAAAGTTGCACAACTTGTTTATAGGCCAAAGAAAAGCTACTATTAACTCCACTGCAAAAGAAAAATCGGCTTAGATGGGCTAAAGAACATAGACAATGGAAACCCCAGTAGAGTTATTCGCAGAAAAAATGAAGCATTCCATGTTGACTGTCTGAACAGAAAAGTGAAATTTCCAGCATCCATTACGGTCTGGGGCAGTATGTCATCAAAAGGAGTAGGAAAACTTCATTTTATTGATGGAAATGTGGATACAAACAAACATTTGACAATTTTAGAAGAATCGCTTTTACCAGTGATGGAATGTTTTACATTTTATATTGAAGATAAGAGGACAACTCGAATTGCATGCACGGAGATATGTAAAGGAATACTGATAGTCTTACCCAAGAACAGTGTCTATAACTATACTTGGCCTGTGGAGTAAAAGTAGTTACCTGTCTGGTACCATTGGTCTGCATCCAATGCTTAGGGGGCAATGGAAGTTGTGAGGGCGATGGCGGCTCCGAAAACTTGCAGCCGGCATAGTGGCCTGCCAAGAGGCCGGGAGACGTTCTCGGGCTGGTGGGCGACGCCTTAGCTGAGGGCGACATTGCTTGTTGTCGCTGTCTAGATTGCGCCCCCGGTTGCTGGTTAAAGGGGCTGACTTTAGACGGAGATGTGCGATTGTGGTACTGGTGCAACTGCACGGCGGATTGCTGCTGGTGTGCTAGATGATTTGCTGCACATATCTTGGGTTTAGGCACCATCCTGCAACAACATGGATCAATGTAAATTCATATGTGACACAATGTAAATGATATGTGAATAATTCAATGATGTTTGTTACGAGGTTTGTCCAGAAAATAAGTATAAAAAATTGGGGGCATCATGATTGCAGAGGAATTGCCAATCTCCAAAACAATCGTCCACGAAATACTGACAGAAAAACTTGAAATGAAAAAATTGTTCGCGAAAATCGTTCTGTAATAAAGAAATTATTATTCCAATTTTATATGTATTTTCTGGACCAACCACATATGTTGAACACTTCTGTAAGAATATACAGTATTCATTTGAGTTCAATGATGTTTCATCTACTTTTAAATTTCTTCAAAACTTCCAAATGATAATTATCTTGTACTATAATCCAAATGTCTCATATCCTTAAAAGAAATCAACAACAATGACAATTAGGGCATCTAGGAAGCTCCCTAAATTCCCGTAATTCTTAATAAATCTTCAACAACAATATATTTTGTAGCTAGGGGCTGGTTAAAATCAAAGATGGCATGCAACACTGGTAAGCAATGAAAAAATGCCAAAATCTGGCATATTAATTAGATTTCTTAGGTCCCTTGTTGCCTCAAGCCCATGAAAATTCCATGCACTAATAACAAAATAGGTTGAAATCTCACTATGTTTTTGTATTAATTTGTTTCAACTTATGTTTTAACTCGCTACTTTCAAATTAGAACATGGAAACATTCCATACTTCAAGTAGATGTATAATAAAGCATAGTGAGACACAAAACATGAAAATGAAACTGTTGTGTCATTGTTCTCACATTAAAAACAAAACTTGGATCAAACAACTATAATGATAATTTAAGTTTAGTTTTTATTGTAAGAGCAGTGGTCCAAGTTTCATTTCTATATGCTTTGGGCTTTAGTGTTTTTTTATTATAAACTTGAAGTGGAAAGTGTATCCTTATGTGCTTATATGAAAATAATATGTTGATTTGGAAATGGCTGAAAATCTGAATTTTGGACTTTTGAACAATGAGCAAGTGCTACAATAAAAAGAAATTTGAATGTGTAAATTTAAAATACATACAGTAATGGACAAAAGTATATAGACAAATTAATATTGTGCTGTATTTCTTTTTTAACTTGTTTTATTAATACACCAACCTGTATACGTAATTCGTTATAGCATAATACTCACTTATACATGAATAAATTCATTAGACTCCTTTCAATAAAAAAATTAATTGAAAAAACTGGAACTATGAAGGACAAAAATATATAGACAAAACAAAACAATTATAAAAAAAAGAAGCAAAGTTTATTGAATTATAGAAAACCAACCATGTTTGTGTTAATATTTTGCAGCATAACCATTATTATCAATCACCACCTGGCATCGTCTCGGCATAGATTGTAGAAGTTTCTTGACATAAGATTCATCATTCTGTCTCCACTTTTACTCTAAAGCGGCAAAAAGTTCATCCTTGTTTAAATAATTTTTATCTGGTAATTGGTTATCTAAGTATTCCCATAGATTTTCAATGGGGTTTACATCAGGAGACTGTGAAGGCCATTTGAGAACTGGTATTTTTTCATCCAGAAAGAATTTCTGTTGCGAGATTTGAAGTGTGCACTGGGTCATTATCTTGCTGGAAGATTGATCTTAGGGTCACATTGTCTTCCATATACGGTAACGTGACATGCTTTAGTATGTCTGTGTAAACAAACTTATCCATAATGCCATCTATTCTATGTAAAGGTCCCATCCCAAACCTCAAAAAGCACGCCAAACCATAACAGACCCACCACCATGTTTGACAGTGGGCAAAGTGTACTTGGGGTTCAATCTTTGTCCCCTAGGACGTCTAACATAATAAACACCATCTGATCCAAACATATTAAACTTTGATTCGTCACTGAAACATACCCTCTTCCAGTCACAGATGATCCAATCAAGATGCAACCGTGCAAATTGTAATCTGTAAGGTTTTTCCTTGAGATTAGCGGCTTCTTACTCGGGCGAGGTGCAAATAACTTCAAATCATTTAATCTTCTACTTATAGTTTTTGTAGAAACACTGGTGATTCCTTTTGCCTCGATTTCAGCTTTTATTTGTCTTGGGGGTTTTAAACGGATCTTTGGACGAAATTATTTTTATTAATCTAGTTTTCTAGGCCGACCACTTCTCTTAGAGGCTTCCAAGATACCTTTTTGTTTAAATTTGTTCAATATTGCCCAAACTGCTTTACACTTCAGCTTCAAATTTTTGGCAATGTCGACTTGATGTTTACTCGAAACTATACTAAACTAATGTTGAAAAGAATTTGTCTACATATTTTTGTCCCTCATGAAAAAGTGATTATATTCCGACTTGTATTGTGTTCATTGCAGATAATGTAAAAACAGGGAATTTAGTTTTTCTACTAATAACGCATTTGTTTATGGAGCAATGAAGTATGAATTCTTTTTTTATAGGTATTTAGGTAAATATTCATATTTGTCTATATACTTTTGTCCACTACTGTATGTTCTAAAATATGCAAATGCAAACATTTTATAATAATAACTTTCAAACTGCTTTGTGAATATGAAACATCAACAGGAGAGTCAGATTTATATAAGAGAAAAATGTACATGATTAAATTAGAATAAAATAAGTGATAACATGTTATAAAATTGTATAAAGTATAAATAGTAAGATAGAAGCATAGAAAAAGTATGCAGCATAAATGTATAATGAGTAAAATAATCAATAAATAAAAGTTGTTTTCCAAAGACTTGGTTTTTAACTCAGAGGGCAAATTATTGAATATAGATCCACATAAACAGTCAGGGCTATTGCAGTATCTGCTGAGGCTATAGTTGTTCAATGTTAACATTATTCCTATATTCGAGGTGAGAATATACAATTGAGTAATAGTCATTTAATAAGTGTTTTTAATTCATTATTTACTTTAAGATTCTGAATTTTTGGCTACATACTGTATATGGTCCTTAAAACTCTAATTATTATTCGATAAGCCCTCCTTTCGTCTAATAAAACATCTTATGGAGGTTACTGTAAATTTTAACTGAAGAGTAGAGCAATTCATTCAAGACTGGAGTACTATAAAATAGATGGTTTCTTGAACTGCAACTAGGACAAAGAGCATCATCCCTCAATGACCTCTGGACGACCTATATATTATCGTAAACAAAGAAAATGAGAAAAATTATCTTACCTGCTCCCTGGGTTATTTGTGCGAGCCAATCCACCGCTAGCGACGACTCTACCGCCGTCCACGCATTTTTTGGCCATGGCCATTTGGAAAACACGTGAAGACCGTTTCAGAAACGACGAAACGAGTCCTCTTATCAGTCCTTTCGTATCGCGTAACGTACGATTGTTGTATATCACAGATCAAGATGAGGGATTTTGCGTTTAAAACCTACGGAGTAGTACTTATCGTATTCCGATGGAAGATAACTCAGGTACGGCGCAGATTTTGCTTTCACAAAATGGACGCGTCCGATTTGATGAACAAAGGAAAATCAACTTCACCATATGCGACAGCTCTTCTCGCTTTGCTACTTATCTCCAGTTCCTGTCTTCTAGCTTGCACTATCCCAGACAATGAAGTTATCACCAAATACGTTTTTGAACGCAAAACTTTAGAAATATTCGATAATTTCGTATCACCTTGACAAAACCTGCCTTTCTCATTTCCACTTCACCTTCTCTTTGTAGATCATAGATCTCACTCTGTCTCTCTCGCACTTATTCAGCTTTATACAGCTTTTATCCCCACCACAGTGCTTTCCCTCTCGCTCCCAATACGTTGTGTGCTTGTTGACAAACATTGAATGCAGCGTTGTCAGATTTCGACTTCTGTCACAGAAATTACGTAATATTCTCAAAGACACCAAATACAGGGTGTTCAAGAAAAATAGATACTCTGATTACAAACTCGCACAATATATTATTATTATATTAAATCAGTCTTGGTCTACAAATTAAAACCTTATTTTGTCCCAATATTTTTAGGTTAGAAATATTGTCATCCGTGCACGGACGTATCTACTTGTCATTATTACGGTAAGATCGGTATTAATAGTGAATGGCAGTATTTCAATAACTTCCTATCAGTGGCAGTCACTAATTTTATTAATTTCGAGTGTTTGTTTTACTGCGCCAGAGGGAGCTAGCTGGTGCGCAAGTTACATTAAACCGATTTTTTTACTTTCAATAGGTTTTTACGTGATAATCCTGCGCCACATACCACTTCTTTGTAGACCAGTGTGGCCAGCCGTTTCTTGCGCTTCTTTTGAACACGAAACACTTGGTATCGGTTGAATTGGTTCAGGAAATACGGCATCAAGAAGTGGCAACACTGTACAATTCATTGATAGGTGATTAATGGGAGGGAGATCCTACTACCCAGGGTGTTACCAGATCTACCGATTTTTCGGTAGATCTACCGATTTTGGTCCTGGTCTACCGAACTACCGATTTTAAAGCAAAATCTACCAAATAGTGGACTTTTCTTTCACTTGAATAATTTTTGTTCCCTATATAAGAGAAATATTTCTGATGCATAGCGATAAAAAGAATGACAAAAGTACTATTATTATTAGTACTAGACCAGATATACTTTTATTCTGTTTACCTGACATTGGTGTCGTGGTCTGGGGAATCACCGAAGTCCATGCCTGTATTGTACGATTTTTATGATTTCGTGTACTTTGTAATTAGTATTGCCTGTCTTGGAGTCATTTTTTTTTTCGCGTGCGTGTGCCCAACATTATAAGGAAGACATACAAAAATGACTCCGAAGAATGATTATCCAATATAGCTTACACATTTTTTATTTTATACACTTTTTCTGTTTTTTATTAAGAATATTTTATTTTTAGTTAGCTAAAGTGAGATATAAACTGTTTATTTTTGTTTTTTCTTTCTGTTTTAGAGTATATTTTGGGTTAAATAAAATTGTTTCAAGTAAAGGCCTTCATTTATTCTTCGGTATTCAATCTACCGAAAAACTACCAAAAAATTCCATACAATTCCACCGAAATATCGTCGACTCCACCTTGCAACACTGCTCATGCGTTACGCAAATGACGAACGGCGCAGGTGATAATCCACCCCATTCATGGTGGGTTGCCATCTGTCGCAAAAGGATGGAACCCTGTATTGCATAACGAACTTAATAGGACCTCACGATTTCTAGGAAAACTATGGTTTAGCTTGTTTTTACGAGTAGTCAAAATCGCTATTTTGCTAGATGATATTCAACCAGATTGATCCCTACTTTCGGCTAAAAGTTTTTTTGGGGGTGCTCAATCATTGATCTTGATCGCAAAATGCGGGAAAAGTGTGAACACTTTTCACGTTTTTAGGTTTGTTTATAAGGAAAATTGATAATTTTAAAAAATCTTAGAAAACATGTTTTGTTTTTCTTGAAAACACAAGAACAACCAGATTTTTATTATAAATTTATGTTTATCTTCTGAGTAATCTTTGAGGTTAAAGTGCTGGTTGAAATTAAAAAAAAATCACTGAATTTAAATTAATTTGTACAAATATTTTTCATGTGTCTGTATAGAAAAGTAAAAGAAGTCTGAGCAATTTGAGGTACAGGCACTGCATGTCCTGAGATTCCAGCCACCACTACAGCCTGAAATTTTTAAGATTTTGGTGTATAGGAATGCTAATTACAATCCAAAAATCCTGGTATTTTCTGGTTTTAAGAAAAAACTACCAGTGCTTTGGCTTTTTTGAATTACCTAATTTTTTAAAAATGTTCATTATTCAGCATTCAAAATATATGAAAGAAGTAACAGAAAGCACTTAAATAGTAAATTACGGGTTTTAGGGAAAATGTTGGTTTTTGTAAATTGACATAACAAGTACCCCCTAAGCCTGAAATGGTTCATTCCACTGGGAAAAGGAAAAAATGTTTTGGAATAACAACATAATAGAAAATTGTGAATAATCAGTTTTTTGTCTCTTCTGCATACATTTCAATGTTGACAACTAAATTTTGTAAAAAACAAAAATATGTAAAAAGAAGTAAATAAAAACTAACTCACAGATTTCCTGATAAAAATGCAATTTGACTGCTTATTTTTCAAGTTCAATACAGAGTATGGGATCAGGGTGGAAATTAGACATACCTTTTTTTACAAATTTATATTATCAAGTAAACTTATTGCTTTAGTAATACAGTATATAAATATAGTCTTCAAATTCTTCCACAAATATATACACACACTCACTCAATTCAAGAACTTAACATAGAAATAAAAATATACAACTAATATATGTAGTTCTACAAAAATAATCTTAAAACTGTACGCTAAAAATCAGCATCAGTGGTAAACTGGTTATCCTCACTGGAAACAACACCTTCCTTCTGGTATTCTCCGACCTTCTTTTCAAAAAAGTTAGTTTTTCCTTCAGTTGAAATGATAGACATGAAGTCAAACGGATTTTTAACATTATATACTTTTTTGCAACCAAGTTCAGTTAGCAGCCTATCAGCAACAAATTCAATATACTGACACATCAGATCACAGTTCATCCCAATAAGACTGACAGGAAGTGCGTCAGAGAGAAATTCTTGCTCAATGGCGACAGCATCTCTAATTATATTTGTTATTCTCTCTTGCGACGGTTTTTGGACCAAGTACGAAAACAACAGACAAGCAAAGTCACAGTGTAAGCCTTCATCACGGGAGATGAGTTCATTTGAAAATGTCAGACCTGGCATCAGACCTCTCTTCTTCAGCCAGAAGATAGCTGCAAAGCTACCAGAGAAGAAGATGCCTTCAACTGCAGCGAATGCGATGAGCCTTTCACCGAAGGTTGATTTTTTGGAGCTTATCCAATTCAGCGCCCAATCTGCCTTCTTGCGAACACAAGGCAGGGTCTCGATAGCATTGAATAGAAACTCCTTCTCCTGGGGATCTTTTATGTACGTTTCAATCAATACACTGTACATCTCTGAATGAACATTTTCAATGGCAATTTGGAATCCGTAAAAGCATCTTGCTTCTGTGACCTGCACTTCTTGGCTGAAACGTTCTACTAAATTTTCATTAACGATGCCATCCGAGGCCGCAAAGAAGGCAAGAACATGCGAGATAAAATGGCGTTCACCTTTGGTCAGTTCTTTCCAGTGTTCCAGATCTCTGGATAGGTCAACCTCCTCTGTGGTCCAGAAGGAGGCTTCTGCTTCTTTGTACTTCGCCCATATCTCGGGGAACTGGATGGGAAAGATGACAAAGCGGCGTGGATTTTCCTTCAGAAGAGGCTCCAATTCTGGGTCGAAGTTGGCGTCCGTAACTTCCTCTTGGATCTTTGGTTTGGATTTGAGTGGCTTTTCAGTCTTGTCGGTGATCACATTCGACTTGTTTGGAGAGAGAACGCATTTTTCCACTGCGTTGTTTAGTGAAGTTACATCAACGTTTTCCTTGGCGTACTGGGGCATGGTGTTCGATTAACTGGAATGAATAAAAACATTGTGCAACATGTTCTAAAAGTGCACAGTTTCAAGAAACTTACCTTAAAAACTGTCTCGGAAAGAATATTTGCTTAATGGAGCACGCCACGGAAAGTGCATTAATACAAAATAAATACCGCCAAGATTGACATAAATTTGTCAAACTTGGCGGGAACTCTAAGAACAACTTACAACGAAGATATGCTTTTACCGAAAACGTTGACAGATGACCTTGACAAAATATCTACAAGGGTACATCTAAATATACTAACAAATGTGATGAACAATCTGATTTATTTGTCATTATCTGCATAAGCGATATTTCTAGGTATGGCGCGCTAGCTCTGACTCTCTTACTTCCCTACAGAGGATCTATAAAAGGCTTTATCAATCCTGGTGGTCTTAATAAGGATAATGGAAAACAATTATCAAATTATTGCATTGTCCTTGATACGTGTGCGAAGTTTCAGGTTAATCAAACTTCTGGAAATTGGTGAAAATTATGGTCAAAGATTCCATTACATACATACACAGATACATACGTAGAGACCAAGCCAATAATAAAAAAGCGTGTCAGAAATAATTATTCCTCCAACGAATTGAGACTATTTCTCAAACTTGTCAGACTAACGTGTGAGCCACGATTGCGCATGAACGTAAAGCGATACGCGCATTCGCCATGATTTCGCGATTTGATGATTGGGAAATTGCAGATTCGTGGGTCTACAAGACAAACAAATCTAGATCTTTCTCCCGAAACAAACGAGTGAGATAAAGATAGCTTGATCAACCGGCCAGTTTACAACTTATTATTCTGCTATTTTCTGTGTTCTATGACTATGAATGCATAATCAAATCCAAGCGAATAACCAAAATTTCTGTGTTATGTGCCGCGGTTATAATATGGTTCAAGATGACACACGGGTTGATGACGTCAGTTACACGAATCGCTTGAACGCGTTGGTTTTAACCGCGGTTATGTTGCAAGTTGTTTATTTTAGAAAAGCGCGTATATAATCTCTGATTACTTTTATTATCACTTAATAATCGGTGCTTTTTCGTCTACAACTGGATATGGAAAGTTTAAATAAGAAACCTTTCGTAATATTCATGTTTTTTTCAGATTTTTTTTTAATGATGGAACCATGGCTTTGTAGCTATGATAACTTTCAATTCTCTAAATTTTTCCGCATGTCAAAGAAAACATTTATTGATTCAGAGGAAATGATGAAAAAAGAAATAAGCAAAACCGTATACAGGTGGATATCATCTAGTGAGTTTATATGGCCATATTTTAATATTCTTGTGGTATATGGCAACACAGGATACTTTGTTAAGCATAGGAACTACATTTAAAGTGTCCCCAACAACCGTAATGAGTAGAACTAACAAAGTGCTCCACTTTATAGTAAAACTGAAGTCAGCCTGTATCATTTTTCTCAAAAATGAAGCTGAAGTACAATAACAATACCAATACCCGGCAAAATTCTAACTTGTAACATTTCAAATAATAACCAGAAATATAAAACTACTCTTGAGTTGGGTAAATACCACAATTTTGCGGTGATAACTATGATATATAACAGCTGATTCGTGACGTCACAGATCTTATAACCAAACTGATAACTACACTCGCTTGAACGGATTGGTAAATACCAACCCAAAATAGTGAATACCATTTTCATTTGGTTATCCGCTTGAATTTGATTCATGTCTACCAATCTACAATTGACTTAAAGGTATGAGAAAAGAAAGTGCTCCAGAAAGATAAAATTGATATTTAGCAGTGGACAGTTTTTCGTAGTTAAAAATGGAATAAATATCACCAAAATACCCATTTCCCCCCAAAAAATCCCCCCAGAACATTTTATCCTCCAAAAATTCCCAAAGGCAAGTCTAAATCCCCAAAACTTGAAGGATAATCCCCAATATGGCAACCCTGTCACCACGGAACAAACACGTAGAAGAATTAACGGATTCACAAAATAATGATACAGCAGCTCTTGTTAATCGTTCGCTTGTTGCCGTAATGATGAGTCGATGACCTTTTTTGGTTTAACTGGTGGAATCAAATAACCACATACACGTAGTTTAATCCTCACAAAATACCATTTAATTCTCATATATGTGGTTTGTTTCGGTCAGACAATTGAGTCCTATGGAGTTATCTTGTTTTTGCAATAAGCTGACAAAATATAAGATCAACTTCTTAATTTATTTACAGCTGTTATTGCATATCAGAGAATATTTGAAATGCCCCTTGTAAGTTGTTACTCCACCTATTCATATTCTTGCTATGAATTGACAACTGACAAAGGATTGCTGTCATCAAATGTCACTCTCAACTGCCAGTTGTCACTGTTGTCAGTCTCTAACGCTAACCTACAACCGGCTGTCTACTTTGAAGAAATTGTAAAATCACTAATTTCTATCAAAAATGGCTTATAAACCACAGAAAGTACAAAAGGTGATGGTACAGCCCATCAACCTGATCTTCAGATACCTTCAGAATCGTTCCAGAGTACAAGTGTGGCTGTACGAAAACATAAACCTGAGAATCGAGGGGCACATCGTAGGATTTGACGAGTACATGAACCTTGTTCTGGACGACGCAGAGGAGTATTACGTGAAAACGAAAAATAGACGGCAGCTGGGGCGCATAATGCTGAAAGGAGACAATATCACAGTTATACAGAATGTTAAACCAGACGCAAATTGAATAATGACCCGTAGTTTTAAGTTTACATGCTGGACAGTTGTGGTGTGATTTCTGAATGAAACTCTGATGACTGTATAAATAGGTTTAAATGATCAATTCAATATAACTCAATTTTTTGTATACAGCGTTTCATTTTTCCTCAATGAAGTATTTATGCATATAAAAATTATCGAATAGTCTCTTAGTAGATGGTCTGCACTAGCAAATACACAGTGATACTGTAGGCACAAACCATTTTCACTATCATAATGATATAGGTACTTCCAGCAAAGTCATGACAAAAATGGAGGATATGCAGACAAATTGGTTATTTTTTTAACTTTCTACTCTGGTCAAAAGGTTCTCAGGAAATGAAGCTTATAGTTTTAGAGCCGAAAAAATAAAATGAAAACTTATGAATGCTATTTTCAGGGCAAGTAACTGATGGAAATGGAAATTCTAATTTGAAATTTGTGTTTTTCAGCTGTACATTACTCGTAAACAAGAAGGAAAATTGCAGAAATATTCCAGCAAGGTAAAATATCCATATGAGCAGTGGCTTATTCTTCTCTGATTGTTTATCAGGCAGCCATAAAATTTTCCTCTCGTCTATTTTACTTTTTGATTGGAAACTAAATTTTTGAGAGAATTTTCACATACTTATGGTTAGAATAAGTTTTCTAAAAACTTATCTGTAGTGGAAGAACCATTGGTTAAGTTTGGACCACAAATGCATAGATGTTTTATATACTTCACTTACAAAGACTTCTTAACTTGCAAAATATGCTGCACTGTGGCGGATGACCCATAACTATCTGGGAACATATACATTTTTAAAATGGAACACCCTATATATTTTAGTATATTTATCCTAAAAAGCCTCTCAAGAAAAAGAATTATTGATTTAACTTACTCTATAGAAATTGGGGATATTTCTTGGCAGGTAGGGTAGCAGACTCTCCATCAATATGAGGTGGAAATATCAATTTCTTGTGATTTGAACGTTTCTTAAATTCTGTGCATCATCTATACATAAATGCAAAGTGAGCTTTTTCTGGAACAAATCGAAGGAAATACCTGTATATTTTTACGTTTGAGTTACCCTTTTCATGATCGTTATTTTTGTGTTCAATTTTTTGAGGCCATTAGCCATTTTTTTTTTGGCTATTGGCACTTTGCACAAGAATATAATTCAAATTAAATAAGTACCATATTATACTAAGTGACATATAAATCCGAACACCCAGTTTAAATGGTTTTATTTTAATAAAAGTTGGTGAATGTATTTATCTTACTGTAAATAACAAGTGAAAAAATTTTCAGCCTCATCAGTTGGAAATTCCGGTTTTTATACTGCTTTTTTTTAATTCACTAACGCTCTAAAAATGAATATTTCAGCCGCAGTAAAGAATCAACGTTGGCAGATTTTGGTTCTTGACATCCTTTACGATCGGTTACGATGCCTAGAGTACGGAGACCTGTACGATTTCGTCAACTTAGTGAGTTTGATAGGGGCCGTATAGTGGGACTTCGGGAAGCTGGACTTTCTTTTCGGCAATTGCAGTTAGAGTGCAAAGTAGTGTAGACACTGTGGTTAGGTGTTGTCAGGCATGGCTTCGAGAAGGCCGTACGCAAAGAGCAAGGGGCACTGGACGCCGCCGTAGAACAACAGACCGTGAAGATCGCCGCCTAAGATTATTGGCCTTAAGGGACCGTTTCTCCACTACCAGGTCCATTGCAAATGAATGGTTTGCAGAACACGGAAGACCTATTGGCATGCGAAGTGTTTACCGACGAATGAGAAGTTTTGGCTTGTTTTCATACCGGCCACACTGGGTCCTCCCTTTAACTCGAGCACACCGACGTAATCGCCTTGAGTGGTGCAGACAACGGTCACTCTGGGATCAGGAATGGAACAGTATTGTCTTTAGTGACGAGTCTCGATTTTGTTTAGGCATGCACGATGGTCGTGCCAGGGTTAGAAGGCGACGTGGTGAAAGGAGGAATCCACAGTTTTTTGTTGAAAGACATGTTCAGCACACTGTTGGAGTTATGGTTTGTGGTGCTATAGCTTATGGTTCCAAGCCACCTTTAATCTTCATCAGAGGTAACATGAACGCGCAGCGTTATATCCACGAAGTTCTAGAACCCCATCTTTGTTGCAAGAGTCACAATAGACTTCTTTCAATATAATGATGTCACATTGTTACCATGGCCACCAAGATCTCCCGACTTATTCCCAATTGAGCACGTGTGGGATATGATGGGTAGGAGATTGCTCAATTTGCAACGTCCTCAGACTCTAGAAGCACTTCGAGAGGAGTTGGTGGTTGCCTGGAATGAGATACAACAGGAGGACATTGACCACCTGATCAGAAGCATGCCTAGGCGCGTTGGAGAATGCGTAGCACATCAGGGTGCATCCACACATTATTAAAGGTCAAAGGGCTTTAAAGCAGTGCAATCATTTTGAAATTTTTATCATTTACTATTATGCTTCATTAAGTACTTATACAAAATTTTATTAAAATAAAACCATTTAAACTGGGTGTTCGGATTTATATGTCACTTAGTATACATTGGAAAGCAGCTTATTTATTCAATAATACTTCATAATCAGTAAGTTTTTTTTTCAGAGGAGTGGACTTGCACCCAATTTTATATAAGTATTCCTACAGGTTTTGCTAAAATAACCAATGAAGAATTTTCTATATACGCTGAAAATATGTATCAGTTTACTGCTTGAAAATCCATACATATTTACGAAAAATATTAGATATTTCATCAAAATATAAATTTGATATTTAAAAATCTTTCCTTATACATTTTGTAAGTATTTGGAGAAAATATCGCAAAAATATATGAATCATGTATACTACAAATATTTATAATGAACAATTTATAAATATATAAGAAATATATTTATTAAATATTAAAAAATCTGTCGCTACAAGTATTTAACAAACATTTTTTAAAAATATTTAATGTTGTCGGGGTTAAGATACACCGTTGAATTCGTATAAAAGAATGCTATTAGATACAGGGTGTACTTTTTGTCGGACCATATAAAAAAAGTTGATGATGGTTTCTTAAAAACGAACCGTCGGGTACAAAATTTAAAAACACCATCATGTAGTTCCTAAAAGGTGCCAATTGAAAGGCTTTGTTATTTCCAAAAACAAAGTCAGAAAAAAAAATGATTTGGTTAAATTTTAGTTTTTCCCAGTAAGCCATGAACTTTTTACAAGTTTCTCAATGGCATGTAAATACGCCAGAAAGAACGCATTTAGTTAGGCTGGATCCCCCACACGAATTGAGATCTGCATGCATAGGATCCTTATCTTGGACCCTGTATAACTACTGAATGTGTTTTAGAAAGCACATGAATTATTTGAAATCTTGTTGATTTTTTTGTTTGGTAACTGTTGCTGTTAATAGCCTGATCCAAGTATACTTGTCTCGTCTTATGTATAAAGTCAACAAACGAACCACGTGGTTCCTGGCGGAGAAAAGCATCTTACATAATTCTAGCGAAGACATCGCGCAAGTCTGTCACCTCCTCCTGTTTCTCCCACCTGTTATTAAAGGCCCACCCCCGTCAGTCCAGTAGAAGTGGACATGTTGATTGCTCGTAAGCATAAACAAACTGAATGACAAATAAGTTTGCAAGCATAATTTTATTTACGTGCGTGATACAAAATATCTGCACCATCTTACGGTATCGAGGTTGATGAGAAAAAGCAGCTACTTCCCGAAGTCGTGATTACATCACACGTGACATATATGGTATAGTGCTCTTAGAAATTAGCTTATATCTAATACAGATTTCTAGTAATTTCTCATCTAAGCTTGTGGAGAACCCTTGGGGCAAGTTTGGGGAAGTTACAGATTCTGTGGTCATAATTCTGGAACCATTAGACATTCAAAATTTCTTCAAAATCCGGTGATACTTTCCAAGTTATAGAAGGGCCAATGATTAAATTACTCGTAGTTTTTGTTGTCGGTTACTCTATCGCAACAGGGCTGATTAACAAACAGTATACAGTGTGGCGCATCGAAAATGAAACAGACGCATTCACGCAGCTTAGTTTTTTTTTGGAAATCGCTCAGACCCGTCGATTTTGTTTTCGACGGAGACATAAGTTTGGCAAAAAATCACGTTAGCACGTGCAGCCCCCTAAGCGGGGGTGACACCACCCCCAAAATCTTAAATGGAAAGGGGGGTCGAGTGATACCTTATTTTAAAGGTCTTTCAATTCCCTTTATAATGATATAAAATTAATGTACTTCAGTTCAGTAGATTTGAAGATTTATTGATTTACATAATACATCATCATTAGTGGAGACCAATACATTTGGCAGCAAAGTAATTTAAAAATGAAGAATGAACTGACCCGTTAGGCAAGTAAATGTTGAAAATGGCCACCATGTCTCTCCATGCAATAATAAAGATTTTGCTCAAAACGTTGCCGCACATTTTGCAATATTTGAGGAGTAATTTGAAGGCACTCATTCTTTTAATGATGTTGGCTGAGTAGCATAGATTTTGCTTTTTAAATGACCCAACATAAAGAAATCCAAAGGTGATAAATCTGGCGATCTTGGGGGCCATTCAATGGCACCTCTTCTACCAATCTATCGATCTGGAAACGATCTAAATATTGTCGAACACGTAATGCATAATGTGGTGGGGCACCATCCTGTTGGAACATCAACCTATTCGCAATGTTCCGCCGATCATTCTGATTTTCAATTATGGCTGTTAATGCAGGATCTATGGCGTCTTCTAGTAATTCCAAATACATTTCACCGGTCAAATTTCCAGGGAAGAAAAAAGGACCAACTAAATGATCGCCAAAAATACCAGCCCAAACATTTTAATTTTTATGGCCGCTGTGTATGAACCTCATGATAAATTCTGGGATTAGAATCAGACCAATAGCGGTAGTTATGACGATTTACTACGCCATTTAAGAAAAAGGAACATTCGTCGGAAAAGCAAGTGTTGAATAGAAAACGTTCATCGTTTATAATTCGTTTACTCATATCTTCACAAAATTGTATTCGCCGATCAAAATCGTCTTCATTAAGTTCTTGTACCAGGTGAATTTTGTACGGATGAAAACTATGGGCCTTTAGAATCCGTTGGTCAGTACGTCGACTAACACCACACACAGCCTCCAATTTGCGAGTACTTAACGTAGGATCTATATAAACTTGCCCTAAAACCCCCACTTCTATTGCTTCGTTCCTTATGGGATTTTCAATGTTGCGTTTTTTATTAGCGACTGACCCAGTTACCCGAAATTTAGCTACAAGTTCTAGAACATATTTTCGATGCACGTTACTGTTCTATTAGCGCACTAATTATTTCCGAAAAATATTTCGATAATTTCAACTCTTTCTGCTGTGGAATATACCATGGTTAATTTATGTAATAAAGCGTTACAAGTTATTTTAGCAACAAGATTTGGTCAAATAAATGGCAAACTATGTACTAAATTCCTATTTAAAATAAGTACATACGAGATATTTCCTTATCTTTCTTCAAGAAATAACTTTTTTGCCACAAAAAACGCTCCAGTAGCTATTTTCAACAACAAAATGATAAACAAACCATGGGCGTAGTGAAAAAAAGCATTTACTTATTAAGTAAATTCTTTTAATCAAATTTCTTCTGAAAGTAGTACAAACTAATTTGAGGTACCTATTAAAGTCTACTTTAAGCTTTAAATCAATAAATCTTCAAAACTACTGAACTGAAGCTCATGTATTTTACATCATTATAAAGGGAATTAAAAGACCTTTAAAATAAGGTATCACTCGACCCCCCTTTCCATTTAAGATTTTAGGGTTGGTGTCACCCCCGCCCAGGGGGCTGCACGTGTTAACGTGATTTTTTGCCAAACTTGTGTCCCCCTCTAAAACAAAATCGACGGGTCTGAGCGTTTTTCCAAACAAAAAACCGAGCTGCCATCAGTAAATGCGTCTGTTTCGTTTTCGATGCGCCACCCTGTATATATATATATATAGAGAGAGAGAGAAAATGATCATGAGGAGAAAGGTATATAACAAAAAGTAGGAAAATAATGGGCAAAATCCGCAAAAAGGAGTAAAGTCGATTCGAGCAGAAAATAGGATAGGTAACCCGAGCGATACGTTTTTCTGCTGGTTGGCTTCATCAGGCCCGAAATGAATCCACATATGCAACTAAAAAAGTAGAAACACATGCCCACACATCCGAATACGTGTGTAACCTGAGGAAACGAAGATGAAGAGGGAAAAAATCGACACACGAAGTCCACAACAAGAGCCAACCTACACATTGTAGTATAAAATGGCTAGAAGACCTCGAATTTTCAAGGAGATATCTAACCACAACCACGCGGCCATTTATAGCCACTTGCTGTGGTACTTCAAACCCAAAGGATCTACAAAGAGAAAATGATCATGCGGAGAAAGGTATATCACAAAAAGTAAGAATATAATACGCAGGGGTGTAGGGTGGCTCTTGTTGTGGACTTCGTGTGTCGATTTTTTCCCTCTCCGTCTTCGTTTCCTCAGGTTACACCCATTTCCGGATGTGTGGGCATGTGTTTCTACTTTTGTAGTTGCATATGTGCATTCATTTCGGGCCTGATGAAGCCAACCAGCAGAAATACGTATCGCTCGGGTTACCTATCCTATTTTCTGCTCGAATCCACTTTACTCCTTTTTGCGGATTTTGCACATTATTTTCCTACTTTTTGTTATATATATATATATATATATATATATATATCTGTCTGTAATAGAGGGCCAAAAACTACCAGATGAATGCCACAAAAATGTACCTATATCCGAAAATTCTTGCAATTCTTTCCCGTTTACAGTACTGCCCTGGTATATTGACTTGACTGAAAAAATTGCTTAAATTTTAAGGGGTAGGTATGCCTAAAAAATAAGTAGGTATATAAGATTGCGATATAGCAAACATTTATCATATATCATCCCAAGTGTTGCTTTCAAGTATTGTAAACGACGAAATTACTATTTAAAAAAGCATGTCATTCAATATTTGCTTGAATGTTTCAAAAAAGAAATCCCAGTAGTCAAATTTTGAGTTTTTCGTAATTTAACATGCGTTCCAAATTTCATTCAAATTGAAATATCTGAAAAAAAGTGTTTTAAAATAAAAACATAGAGGTAACTCACGCCCAGTCCACTTATTTTAGGTCTGAAAATACGTAGTACTATGTCAAAGCAATATTGGGACACCCTGTAAATGGAAATCCCCCCTCCTTCTCTCCGTCTCCCTTATATGACGGTGTAAGACAAAAAAATCACAATGTTTCCCATGTGATTACTTTTTCAATATCAGAACCACAGGTTACTTGTTATGCTAATTTGACCGGATTATTCGAAGAGATTCCCACCCCCAACTCAGCACACCCTCAAACCTCAAACATTGTTGATAGCGAAACCGCGAGTTACTTCACAACGCGTTTCGATACCGCGACGTCAACAGGCGCGTTTGCGACCCTCGCGACTAACACGTGCGTGAAGCAGATAGGTAGTTCGTTGAAAAGAGTTCGTATGCTGTTTATTTAGTCACAAAAAAGAGTTCTTCCACTGTAAGTTTTATTTGTCTTCTCTAGATTGTGTGTGTTGTCCACGATTTGAAAAAAAATATTACCTGCATTCTTGACGAAATAAAAATACCTCACAGCTTCGACAATTAAAATGCCATTTTATATGGAATTACATTAAAAAAAATGGCGTCTAGTAGATAGACTCTATAAATATAAATCGTTCCAAAAGGCGAAATCGAATCGTGATCAGGTACGATGAATCTTGGATCCCCGCATGTCAACTGAATGATGCAAATCTATCATATTTTTGTTTCAATGGCAGACGTAGAGAAAGTATGTGTGACTTATTATGTCAACAGGTGCATAGTATCACTAAGATTAGCAGTTTCTAAATAATAGAAGGTATTTCACTGACCACAAATATGCAACAGTTTACAACCATTTGCCGCAGCTGTGTTGTTTATCAGTGTGTCATAAGTACTGAGTCAATCTACTTGACGAAATATTCAGAGCCCTATCATAGAGGGAGTACCGCAAATTAAAGGTTAGGTGTAATGGGTGGTACATTTAAAAATCGCAAAATTCAGAAAAATATACTAAGTGACATATAAATCCGAACACCCAGTTTAAATGGTTTTATTTTAATAAAAGTTGGTGAATGTATTTATCTTACTGTAAATAACAAGTGAAAAAATTTTCAGCCTTATCAGTTGGACATTCCGGTTTTTATACTGCTTTTTTTTAATTCACTAACGCTCTAAAAATGAATATTTCAGCCGCAGTAAAGAATCAACGTTGGCGGATTTTGGTTCTTGACATCCTTTACGATCGGTTACGATGCCTAGAGTACGGAGACCTGTACGATTTCGTCAACTTAGTGAGTTTGATAGGGGCCGTATAGTGGGACTTCGGGAAGCTGGACTTTCTTTTCGGGCAATTGCAGTTAGAGTGCAAAGAAGTGTAGACACTGCGGTTAGGTGTTGTCAGGCATGGCTTCGAGAAGGCCGTACGCAAAGAGCAAGGGGCACTGGACGCCGCCGTAGAACAACAGACCGTGAAGATCGCCGCCTAAGATTATTGGCCTTAAGGGACCGTTTCTCCACTACCAGGTCCATTGCAAATGAATGGTTTGCAGAACACGGAAGACCTATTGGCATGCGAAGTGTTTACCGACGAATGAGAAGTTTTGGCTTGTTTTCATACCGGCCACACTGGGTCCTCCCTTTAACTCGAGAACACCGACGTAATCGCCTTGAGTGGTGCAGACAATGGTCACTCTGGGATCAGGAATGGAACAGTCTTTAGTGACGAGTCTCGATTTTGTTTAGGCATGCACGATGGTCGTGCCAGGGTTAGAAGGCGACGTGGTGAAAGGAGGAATCCACAGTTTTTTGTTGAAAGACATGTTCATCACACTGTTGGAGTTATGGTTTGGGGTGCTATAGCTTATGGTTCCAGGTCACCTTTAATCTTCATCAGAGGTAACATGAACGCGCAGCGCATATATATGTATATATACAGGGTGACTTTGAAGTTGAGTCGTTAATTTTCAGATAATGATTGTAGAAGGAAGATAAACCAAAATATGTGTGTAAAAATAAAAAAAAAATAAAAAAAAAATTTTACCTTGTTTTATAAAGTATCCTCCCGACAAGTATTTCAGTGCGGACCTGTATTTGATCGTGAGGTCCCCTGTGAGGTCTTAAGTCACCTGATTCACGAGCCCGTTGTACTACATTAACAAAGGCACGAGGGGTTGGTTGCACTCGATTGGGAAACCGATCCGCATAAACATGTGCCATTTTTTATTTCACTATTCACACGCGACTGAAACTGACTGTATGTACAACTGAACTGAATTGTAATCGTAAAAACATCGTTCCAAATTCTTTCGCTTTTTTGTTTCCGATGCGATGAACCGTTGTTGCCAAACACGAACACATGATATTATTGAGACAGGGCGGTACTCAAACTTCCAAAGGGCTATAACTTTGTTACTTTAATTTTACCAGAAAAATGGTAAAGGAAAAAAACATTTCTTTTGATCAGATCTACACACTGTTAAAATAAATGACTCAACTTCGAAGTCACCCTGTATATCGTCTAATACTATAGACGTTACATTTACAACAAAATAAAAAATATGTTTTTAAAAACAAGTTATCATTTAGCTGTTCATAAAATTAATTGAAAATTTAAAAATATTTTCTGATCATGCTTTTGTTTGAAAACCTGGGATGAAGGGGCTTGATTGTCATTTATATATTTCCAATTGTAAAAAATATTTTAAAATTTTTAGTTCATTTATAAAAGATTGTTTTTAAATTTTTTTTTGTTATTTTATTTATTTTAGTATTTATGTTGTCAAATATTTGATTTGGTAATTTTTATAAAGCTTTCATATATTTTATTAAATTTCTTTCTTTATTTGTATTATGAAATGTCGATAGATGATATAAACCATAAAATTATAAATCAATATTTGGGGGCATTCACCATAAGGAATTTAGAATGATGTTATTTGTTTATCGTGTTTCTCTCATTAAGCGTAGAAATTATAAACGGACATTTAGCGGCCGCCGCCATATTGGATCTGAAATTTTGTCATCTTGCTTGTCTTCTCTCCTCAAGTACTTTCGTTCGAAAATCGCCATTTTCCAAAATCCCGTCTCGTAAAAAGCAAGGAAAAATAAAAATGATCTGGCAATAAATCTGGTATATGAAACAAACGACTATCTGATCATTTCAAGACCTACCTAAGAAATTCTGTTTTTAGAAATAACTAAGGTTTGGCAATGGCAATGTATGACATATATCTTTTGGAATCAGAATTAAACGATCTATTTACCTGTGCAAAAATCTAATATCGCGTCCTTAAGAAAAAATAAAGTCATACTGGAGGGCAAGAAACGAAACATCATATTGAAATTCCAATTGTGCCTTCTTGTAGAAGAGAAAACTTAGCAACGTTAGTGTGCAATTTATTTTGAAATCCCACTACAAGTAAAGCCAGGAAAAAATCCAAACGATTTTGAGAAAATTCGGTTTTTTGGCTCTCTTCGGAAGTATTTTGGATTTGGAAACTTTCATTTTGGCATTTTACTATACTATAACTATCTAAAACTGTAATGACTCATCGATGTTTACGTGAACATCGCTTAACTACCAGTAGTCGGCTGTTCATAGGCGGGGTATGAATGTTTAACATGGGTGAACTAGATTTGTCACATGCCTAATAAAGAGTGGTTTGAAACATATTGTAAGTCAAAAATTTGGGAATTACCTTTATTCATCGTCGCTTCCACTTACATCTGACAGTAATAAACTGTAGCTATCGCTTTCCTCGTTGAAGTTGACTATAACTGGCTCTATGATGGTGTCGATGTGGTGATCAAGCTGCCACATTTTTGTTTCTTCCTTCACAACATGACGGATAGCATTCTGCCAAGCTTCGGGCGTTACTAGCTGTATGGAAGTCTCAAGTAAAACCGTAACGTCTGGTAATTTGAAGGTTGTGTTATGGCGCGCAATATAACCCTTCACTTGAGCCCAGATGAGCTCTATTGGGTTCAGTTCACAGTGGTAGGGCGGTAACCGCAGCACAGTGACATCACATTGACGGGCCATCTCATCAGTCACGTAACTAATGTTCGCAGGTTTGTGCTGTTTAATTTTTTCATACAATTCCGCTTTCACACATGAATCGTCAAACGGGATTCCTTTTTCGCGCAACCATTTCTGCATGTCACTTTTTCGAGATCCCATAGTCGGTACACGTTCGGCTCGACGACTATGGTAGGAAGCATTATCCATGACGATCACAGAGTTGGGCTCAACTCGCTGAAGCACCCCTTGAAACCAGCTCTCGAAGCAGCTGGCATTCATTTCGTCATGGTAATCACCTCCTTTCTTAGAGACGAAAATCAAGTCACACTCTTCTAAAAAGCCACTATCGCTACCAATATGAGTTACGATCAATCTTTGACCTTTCCCTGACGGTCCACGAAGACCTGTTGACAAACCTTCAATGCTTGCTTGTCGGTTACTCACTACGTTTTTGTCTATCCAGGTTTTTTTAACTGTGTGACCTGCATTTATCCATGTCTCGTCCAAATAATAGATTTTTCTGCTTTGTCGCCTATATTCAATCATTTCGCGTAGGTATTTTCGACGCCAGGCGACTATTTCAGGTCTCTCTATCAATACTGACTTCCGATTACGCGTTTCGTAACGAAAATTAAGTTCGTGCAGGGATTTCCTCATTACCTCGACGCTCATTTGGGGTATAATTTCATTTTCCTTGATCGCTGCATGTACAGCCTTGAGGGTTGGTATCTCATTCCTAAAGAAGAATGAATGTACGGTTCGCCTTAACGCCATTTTGCTATCGTCATCCAATTTAACGGCCTTTCGTCCCTTCAAATTAAACTTTGGATCCGTAGTAGCTCCAGTTTTCTTCTTTTCATGCACCACTCTGCGAATGGTCCACTCTGGAACGCCTGTCATACTTTCACAACGCGCGAGTGCATCTCCCTGCGACATAGTTCTGTTCAGATAATTGAACACGTTGAGCACGATTTCTTTCGCGTCCCTCTTCAGTGCTTTACGAAGCCGTCTACTTGTTCCCTGGCTTTCAGTACCTCCACTCGTGCCATTTGTACTCTCCATGGTTAAGTATAACCAAAACAGTAACCACAGAAACCACAACAATAACAATCACATAACAATTCTTATAAAAACACACAATATGCGATCGCTCAACGAAACACGTTCCAATGCGTTGCCGACGCCTATGAGTCTGCCGGTCGAGGCGCGTCTTTGATTTCATTGGTTCTACCGGCGGAGAATAATCAGCCATTATTTCCATCTCAGTCTGTGCTGTTGACCACCGCAAAGCCACAGAAACGACATATGTCGTACGCTGTACGGCTGTACTGGAAGGAAGCCGTGATCGAGCTCTGATCACGTGTTGATCACGCGTATGAGTCATTACAGTTTTAAATAGTTGTAGTATAGTTACCTAAATGCCCAACTTTGCCCCC